ACTCTATCGTAGCATGTGGTACAAACTTTCTTTCATCGTTCAAAGAGGAGGAAAAAAGGAATAAAATCTGAAGTGTCATGTTTTTGATTTTCCATTGTATGACTTCACATTGGAAGGATGAATGAATGAAAATTTAAGAGACTCTTTCGTTTCTTTTTGCATACACTTTTCGAATACTACAAGTACTTAAGTATTACTTCTACAGTAAAATAAAATTTTAATGATGGAATGCATTTGGAGTGGAAGTTTTCAGCAAACCATAAATAAAAGTTTTTATTTTAATTTTCGTAATTATAGTGCTACAGTTTCATACTGAATTGATCAGGGCAATCAAGAATCAAAAGTAGCTAAAATTCATTTTGACTAATTCTTTTGAATTTATTGCACACTTATAAATGATCATATTTTTTATTAAAAAATGCTGAAACATAGTTTTATGAAGCAAACACTTCCAACAAGTGTTTGAAAATGCTTTACAGTATTTTTCTATTTGTGGTTACATAACGCAAACAATTAAGTTTGATTAATATAACAAACTGCTTTAATTTTGTAAGTTTTGTTTTCCCTTTCTTAAAAATATTTATCTAAAATATTATTTTAAATCATTAGTAGCTAATAGAAGTAAATTGTTGCTGAAACAAAAGATGAAAAGTTTTATTCAAAAATTGTAACAGTTATACTGATTAACAGATAAATAATAGGAATCTCTTCTGTCACATCAGCGTCAAAGTTTAAAAGTTCGAAAAGTAATAAAATGCATGTAATCTTCACATTCTGTGGTAAACAAAGTAATAAACAAATGTTCAATAAAAATGCTATAAAAATTAAGGAACTAGAGTTCTAATGTGGTATAATTAACTGAGTCAGACAAAGATTTCAGAAATAATCATCGATTATCAGTAATTTCTTCAATTTTGAAATTATGACGCACAAGGGAGTTTTGTTGATAGATTTGTCACAAATTTACATGTTGTTACATTTGTAATTTATGCAAGTGATAACAATAAATATTATATCTAATCATTATGACTTTCATAAAAATAAAGAGAAGCCCCACGAAAAACATTTTTTTGTTCGCCAAGTTTGATATGTGTTTGTGAATGCACTCCTGAATTTGTGTGTTAAGAGGCAAACAACAATGATTACCATGACACATAAGTATAACCGCAAGCAAATTTGTCCAGATATGAAAACAGCCAGGAAAAAAAATATTTTACATTTTCTGCTTTATCCTCATTCTACTCTATTTCAAAATTACCCCCCATGTTGCTGTTCGTAAATCCCATAAAAACACACTTGTAACAAGATTAAAACAAATTCATATTTGTATACACATACACATAAATTCACATATGCATAGAGCATAGATGAATATAAGTTTTATGTATCTATGTAGCATGTAGAATAACAAACTTTTATCATTTCCCCCCTTAAAAAACTAGATGAAAATCAGGCATCAGGGTCTAAAAATAATAAAATTTCAATAACATGATATTTTCACAAAAAAACTTTCCACTTTCCCAAGGAATAAAAAGAAAATCTTAAAAATATAATATTCTACTGTTTCGTAGCATAAAAAACAAGATCGTTAGCATTTTCCATATATGTACATCTATACATCAAGATATGACGTATGGTTTTTAATACAAGATTTTTCTTGAAGCAGAAAAAAGAGCTTAAATATAATGGGAGGAAAAGTCACACAGTATCACAGTTGTATTAGGAAACAAAGATTTATTTTTGGTCAATCTTGTGAAACGGAATGAGAAATTATTCATTGTTCTGGATGACAACAACAAGGGACGAAATTTTTGTTAACTCCTATTTGGAATCAGTGATTTGAACAATAATCATATATAATTTTCAAAAAAATCCAGAAGTACTAAAAATGATTTAGTTTAAAGTTGTTCGGGAACTGTGGCTCACTTAGCTTGTCATTAATTAATTGTGTATAGAAATATAAAAATAAAATTCAATCTATTCCTTGTGGAAAAATCTTTTGGATTACCAAAACAAATAATTGAACTGAAAGAATACCAAATCCTTTGATATGATATGAAGTCAAAAGGATGTCTTCTTTAGAATTTTCAGTTACATTTAAGTGTGCAGTGATGGCAAAAGATTTTCAATTATGATAAAAATAGAAGAATCATTTCGAAAAGCAATGAGTAAAAATATGTTAGCATATCAAGGAGCATCGTCGATATTATAAAATGCCTAAATTTTATAGTGCCTTGCTATAAAATCATGCTATTACCTGTCAAAGGGAGGTGAACAATTACGTGGGAGGAGACAGTATAATAGAAGCGACAAAGTCCTGTGGAGAAAGTCGACGACGTGAGAGAAACGACAAAATCAAAACACAAAAGCTCAAAAGGCCTCGAACAACGTGTAATATCGCGATGTTTTACATAAACTTTTTTCTCAGTCATGAACAACGAATGATGGTGAAAATGAAAAGCGAAAGCGTGCACACAGAGACTCGACATACTATTCCCAATTGTAAATAAATTTTATGCTTATTTTATATTCTATTGTGATTTTACGGCAGAAGCTCTTTTTACTTTTTGCCTATGTCGATTTTAAACGTATTCTCACCTATTCGTTACTTGAATGTTTCATTTACAATTCTTCCTCATTTACACGCTCAGATGTTTAAATGATAATTTTTCTTTGTGCCACGTTGACATGTCTGTGGAATCTATTGTTCATATTAGTGTGCATTTAATATATTTAAGGATTCATCATCACATTTCAATCTTGAAAAAAAAAAGAGATACTAAAATTTTCAATTCGACATTGTCTAGATGAATTTATAGCTTAGTAGAATGCTACTTGAATTATTTTTGCATAAACATTTTCTAATTTCAAAAGATGCTACAATACTGAAAATTCAAACAATTGATTTGAAAAATTAAATTCAAAATTTGGGCAAAATATTTATATGTACACATTTTTGAGCGTGCATGTTAAGTTTTTGACTTTTAAAGTGAAATGCTATGCTCCGATAACATTCTGTCACCATCTATGATACAAAATCGGGAGAAAATATCATTCTTTACTTTACCTGTTTGACGCCAACTCTGTGGTAATTTTACAGTCAAACTGTGAAAAAAGCATTTATCGCTGTTTCGTTTGCAGCAGCATAGTAAAATGGATAAAATCTGAATAATATTCTCTTCATACAATGATGATGATGCCTCCAGTGAATTGTTTTCTCTACAAAACATTTTTCCCTCATTTTTTAACCTAAAAGCGGAGAAAAGTCAAGGCAAGGCGAATAGAATGAAGCAAGAAAAACTGTTTAGCACATAAATTAAAATAGTGAAAAAATAAATAAATAAATACAACATTAAAATGACGCTTAGTCGATTTTGCTGCATTTGAGATACAAAACATACGAAAGATTTAATACAGGCAATGCATCATTCTGTATTCTCAGCAAAAATCACCTGAGTTTATTCATTCTTTTTCTTCTTTTGGCAACTATCCGAGAATACACTAGATGTCATTTAAATTTTTATTGATACAGAATCATCTCCATAAATGAAAATAAGTCTTTCGTATCACTATGATCTCTCTCACAAAATAAGGATATTACCAATAATGGAAAATGGAAAATAACCAGTTCCTTATGATTGAAATTTTTATAATTGTTGAGTTAACAACAAAGTAAAATTCTTTTTTGTTTTCACGTTTCTGCAATGATTGTTTCTTGCCATGTAATTTAGTTTTTATATCCAGCATCCAACTGAACAAAAAATTTGGTTAAATTACGTTGATCAGGAAGAGTTTGGAAAGAGCTTTTCAATATTTTTTTGTATATTCGATTAGTGAAGTGAACTTCTCAAAATAATAGGTTTCTTGCTCCATAAAAGAGCATTTTTCCATTTACAAAAAATAGAAAATTTCTACGTGCATTTGTATTAAAAATACAGCTTATATAGTTGAAGAATTATGAAAATATTTTCCTAACTTGAACGAGTCCTTAAGTCGTATTATTATGCATACATGCTGAGTAAATCATATTGTAAAGTGGTTTTCTGCTTACCACTTTGTGTTTCTCTCATTGTTATAAATATTCATAGAAAAAAACAACGGAAACATATTGTACTTAATACCTGTAATCTTTTTGTTTTTAATTTTATTTTCAAAACTAAATACTATAACAAAAAGGTAAAACATTGCATCAGATGATGAATAAAGTGGAAGTAAGACTGAAAAAAAGATTTATACATTTTGATGCGAATTCAACCCGATTCATATAAATTTTATTTTATTTTTTTCCCTATATTTCTTTTTCTCTTCACTTTTCTTCATTCTGATTGCAGTGATGAAAAAAAAGAAATATCCAGTTCTGCACCAATAGCATAAAGGCAAGAATCAGCTCTCATTTCGCAAATGAACGGAGATAATTGAATTTAAAAAGCATCAGAAACTTTCAATAGCCGGTGCAATTGTGAATCCGGAGCAATTTTAAAAAATAAATGAAATAAAAAGGAGAAACTACATAACTCGAGGAAGGATCCCGTGTAATAATGATAGAGTAAAGACTGCAAAATTTGTCTCAATTTATTTATTTTATTTACTTTATATCGTCAATAAATAAATTTTCTACTGACTTTAATGATTGATAAAACATGACCTTTATGTCTCTAAGGAATGTGCAAATTAAGTTGAAAACTACCTGTGCATGGCAATTCACTTCAGATTACTCGATTTGATTTGAAACATTATTTAAAGATATAAATAGGTTAATTCTCCTTAGGTATAAATTTAACAATTATTTTGTTTTATGAAGTCACAAACTGAATTTAAACTTAAAACTTTTCTAAGTTTAAAGTTCAAAAAAAAATTCGGTTCCAAAAAGAATAACTTATTTTGCTTAAATTATCGAAAAGCTCAATAAGTTGAAACATTTGAAGGATATTGAAAAACGGGTTTGAATTATTTTACAAATATTTATTTCATTTTATTTTATTTTAAATCTAAAGAGAGATATTTGTATATGTTTACATTATTATTTTTGATATTATAATAATTTAATAACATTTCAGTTGTGTTCTTTTCTTGTTTAATTCTTGCGCGCTCAAATACAATAACATTAGGTTCATAATATCCTTTTAAACAAAAACAAATTAATATACAGCGATAACATTTTCAATAAATAATAGTCGATTAAAATTATTTTTAATATTAATTTCTTATGCATAAATGTCAGTAATAAGATTGGATTATATAAAAAATTATAGATAACTTGAGCAAATCTATGTGAAATCTTACATCAGAAGCTTGTGTTGAGAATTTTTATATATCACCAAAAATTGTTAAAGAATAAAACGTTGAGAAGAATGTTAAATAAGAGCAGAAGAAAGAGATGAAAAAGAGATACAAAAGAAAATTCAATTAATTAATTTTATTTCACAAGCGAGGGTGAATGTACAAGTCAATTGGGAGAAATAAGGAAACTTTAATGGCATTGACAATTACCTTTATTAGTTTTATCAATATCTCCCGACCAATCTACGCTTTTAGCCGTGTCAGTGTACTTCTGTTCTGTATTTTCAATCTCGTTAGCACTCGCTTGATATTTAGATCCTAAACGAATAAGAGTCATAGAAATGTGTGTATGTTAATGATTTTTAAGGAGAAATTTATTATCTTCTTTATTTCTTCCCTACCTTTATCACTCATGTGAACCGTAAACACGGTTGTCTGGCCAACTGGTGGCATATAATTGACAATTTTTTTCGTTGTCGTTGATTCTATTATAACAGCCTCCGTGGTTGAAGGTGGAACTGTCGTTGGAGGTTGCGATGCTGGAAATATATAATATATTTAATGTGTTAAGCATCTTTAAATGACCCTTAAATTAAGGAGACTGTTATTTATACATTTTATGCACGACAATATGCTTATTTATAAATTTTCTTTTAAAAACAAAGCCATGAAAAAAGAATCAAGTTCATTTGCTTTTGTAATTTATTTTAGAATTCACAAAATTCAGTTTGCATAAGATGAAGGAATTTATCCTCAGTTACTGCTTCTAGCATATTACAGTACATAATTTTAAAAATTACCAAAACAATTTCTTAATCTTTGCAGAAACAACAACAAGTTTGAAAAAATAATGTTGTTTTACTTACAATATAGCCGAATTGAACTTTCTGTCTCCCCACGAGGATTTTTAGCTGTGTATTAAGTTAAAGAATAATGTCAAATTTAAAAACCATTATAATAAATCACATTTTTGTACTTTTCATTACAAACTTACCGATGCATTTGTAAATTCCAAAGTCAGAATGTTGAATATTGAAAATTGTTAGCCTCATTATGCTTTTGTATGATGGTGTAGTCAATAAAGTTTCAGTCCTTAAGGCCCACAAAAATTTTTTACATTTTATTTTATTACATTACATAAATTGTTGAAGAGAGGAGAAAAAAAAATTAAATTGTTGTATTACGAGTGAGTAAGGATGAAAAAGTTTTTACAACAAAATTCTAAATGAAGGACATGAATGAGTACTTGATGTGGATGATGAATTTGTACTTACTTATATTTCTGTGAATCATAAATCATTATCTTCTCATTTTCCCTGCACCAAAATGTAAGAGAGGTAGGATGTGCTTCAACAATACACTCAAGTGTAGCATTGTAGTTTAAAGGTATGCCAACTAATTGATGGGGAACCACAAGCATTGGAGGAACTGTCAAATTTATTAGTGCAAGCAAAATTTTTATAACATTAATAAATTGAAACAATTAACGATCATTTGCATAATAACTTACAATCAATGCTTAATTTGATTCGTTTGCTCACAGAGGGAGGAATTCCGTTCTAAATTTTTTTCGGGTGAGGCATGGTAAGAGTCAGATAACAAAGGCAAGCATACAATATAATTGATTATACTCATTAAAAAGAATTGTACACTTACAGAAGCTATGCAAAGGTAAGCTCCAATGTCTACTCTCGAAACAGAAGTCATTTCGAGTGTGTCATTTTCCCATTCAGAAACCGCTAAAGATTTGTTAATGTTTATTTTCATAGCGTCATCACGTTTCCTGTAAGAAAATGGATTTTTTTTTTTGTTAAATTAGTAATTGCATTCACATTAAAACATGTTAAAGATCCAAACAAAGTTCACTAACCATTTAATTGTAGGAAGCGGAGATCCATTTGCACTACATTTCATTTTAACATTTGCTCCTTCCCTTACAACTATATCTAAACATATATTTTAAAAAAAAAATAAAAAACATTAAAATGTCAGATAAAAGTGAAATTTTTAAAAACGCCTTACCTGTCGACGTTTGCTGATCGTCGATATTCGGTGGAACTTTTCGTAAATGAGGGAAAAGTTTGATTTTATTTTTTCTATTTTAATATAATGGAGAGCTTACCAACAACATGAAGATATCCGAATTGAGTTTTCGCTGTCACAGTATTAATTTGACACATATATCGTCCCTTATCTTCTTCTTGCACATTTGCGATATGCAGAAACCAAGTTTTGTGCTTATCGTGCTTGTCATGTGTCACAGATATTCGTGGATTTCTAGTAATTACATGATTATGCACAGTGAGTATTGCTGATTGTTCGAAATGCATCCATGCTACCTGATATTTGAAAAAGAGAAAGATATTGACTTTTAATGTTGAATTTTATACGTTTTACTGCATTTTTTTCGTTCATATATATTTTGTTAAATATGTAAGAAAGTTTCAAATGGGGAAAATGCAACGTTGAGGGTTTCAAAAGTAATTGGAATTCTCGTTAAGGATAAGTCAAAAGAATACAAAGTGCTCCTTATCGAATATTCCTTCCGGCTCAATAATGTTCGTGTTTTCTTAGTGTGAGAGAAAAAGATAGAGAAAGACAGCATGAAAAAAGAAATTCCGCATTTCTTGACACTTTTTATTCAATGCAGCCTCTTACTTCGCATCTTAATTTTGTTCATCGTGATTTTTTTTTGTTGCTACACTTATTCTTTCTCTTTCACTACCCCAGAGGCCATATAGATAAAATGAGTGAGTTTTATTGAATGAGATACCCGAGAAACTTATGTTTTATTCGTGTATTTTGAAAAAATGGCAATTAAATGTGAACTGACAAAAATGAATTTGGCACCATAAAAACATTCCGTTTTTCATTCAACAAAACAATTCCCTTTTTGAATAGCATTTTTATCCTTCCTCTCATTCTTTTTCCTTTCATTAGTTATTTTCACTTCAATAACGTTGAGGAGAAAGTTTGTCGCATTCCTGCAAGGAAATTCTTCATCCATTTGTTCTCATTATGCAGCCGAATGATACTGTATTTTTAAAAAAGCTTTTTAAAATTCGAAGCTTTAAAATAAATTATTTTAACGAATGTTTTTACTTAAAGTTATAATGCCAATCAGATACTAATTATATTGATCATAAACAAGATCCATTAGTAGGTTAAATACTCAATATATTTCAGATTGTGTGCAATTAGTTCTACCAATTATAAAAAAATCTACGAGATAAAACTTAATTTTGAATAAAGCATGAACTTATAAAATGATTAAATAGTAACATAGTTACGCTAGAAGTAGAAGATAAATGGAAGCAAAATTTTTTTCTTTCTTTCCATTTTAGTTTGACTAATAAATTGTATGAGCTGAATGTATATTCCTTCTTTTTCCTTTTCTACGTTTCAGTGCCATCAGAGAAATATTTAATATTGGAAGACAATTTATTGACTTGTTTACAAACACATTACTCTCATACCGTTCTCATGAAGGCGCGACAAAAGGAAATTAAAGTTTTGAGGAGAGAAGCAAAAGTTATATTGTTCAAACTCGAAATGGGAATGGAAAAAAAATCGAGAAGAATAGCAGTAAAAAATAATAAATCGTTTTGAGTATTTTGTTCAACTCACTTTGTAGCTACCAAGATTTTTTACAGAACAAGCTAATTTTACATTTCTTCCAGCGGGTACCTAAATAAGAAATAAATATAAAATGATTCTTTCATGAATTTAAATTACTCGAGTTGGTCACTTACAGTGATATTTTCGATAGTTGATGTAAACTCTGGATCTTCATTTAAAGCTAAGGAAAATTGAAAAGAAAGAAAAAAAATTTCTATGAATAAATTGAGCATTGCAATCGGAAAGATATTTGATATATTTATTGACAAAGATATTATAATTTATAATTTTAATGAGAAAATTTTTAACTACATTTCTTGTGCATTTCTTGCCAATATCTATTTTTTCAATTTGAATTTAAATCAATTCGACAGTAAAAGTATTCTCAGAAGTATAATTCTCTCTTTATACTGCATCATATCGAAGTATCAAAAAAAAAAATAGTCATAAAGGCAACAACTTTTGATTGAATTGATCTATATATATTTTTTATTATTCCCTCTCTCAAACACTAGATATGACATTTTCTTTCGTTGAAAATTTATGATTATTGTGTATCGGTTTTATTATGTTTACTATACAATATCCTCGAATCTATATACGTGAGCGTTTACATGTATATAAGAAATGTGATTTTTCCAATTCTTTTCGTCGTATTATTCTTGTGATTTTCAAATTTCTATTTCCTTTATGTCACAAAAATGTCAAAACTTACTTCCGTCGAAAATCAATAGCGTCAAAAGGCATCGGTTTGTAAAAAACATGAAAATAGAAACATATTTTTTTCCATATACAACCCATACGACACACAATGGGTGAGCAAAGAAGTTTTTCTTTTTTTCTTTTGCTCCAAGAAAGTTTTAACATTATGTCGAATTTTATGTGGTTACAGTTTGCCGCTTCCTTTCGTCGTTAAAACCTTAATCATACTTGTGTGACGACAAGTGAAAAAAGTACAGCATATAGATTGTATAAAAGTTTGGGTGTTTTTGAAGGCTTCATCATCATTTTTTTTTTTTCCTTCTTCTGCACATCTAATGATATTTTCTTCTTCCTGCTTGATCGAAGAAATGGAAAATGGTGAAATTGGGTCGTCTTTATGCATATTCAAACTTTTTTCTTTCTTTATTCCTTTATAGCATTTCAATCTGTCTCTCAATTTTCCTTTCTTATCAACTAATTGAATTAACATTTATTAATAAATAAGGAAATCAATCTTAAAGCTGTTTTTTCTTAAAATGACATCAATGGTTCATTTGATAACTTCCGTGCAAATTGTATTCATGAAAATTCATTTCCTGAAAATTTAGTTATTTCATAGTGATATAACTGATTTATGAATTGAGTCTGAATTTTTTTCTTGAAGAATTGAAAAAGTTTCGTGGAAAAATCAAATGATTCTCAAAATTTTGTCTTTTTGTGAAACTTATTTAAAATTGAGATTTAGAGACAAAAGAGCTTAATTTAATTGTTTTTAGTGACTATAAACATCCTGACAATAGATTAAAATATAATCATTTATAACACATCATTTTTCGATAAAAAAAAATTAAGAACAATTGAGATTGATGAAATAAGTTTTCTATCAAATATCATCGTCAAACTTAATGACTAAACATTTCTCACATTTAAATGAAACCAATTTATCAGTCACAATAAGTGTTAAGAACAAGAAGTGTAAAGAGATACGTGGTTATGCATTGAGGGTGAGAAAGCAATGTAAAGATAAGACATGAAAAATCCTCACTTGCTTCTTCACTTTCTTCATTGCCTTTTAAAGTGTAAATAAAGCAGGAGAGTTTAATTTAAATATACGATGTTGGCACGTGCACACTACTATCATATAAATTTGAAGATGACAATTCTACAGAATATTTCATACAATTTGATTGGATATGGATGTAAAAACGATTACGAGTTCTTTGAAAACATACTCTATTTTGAATTACTTTGGATTACTTTGTAATTTTATTAGAATTCGAAAACGAGTATTAATATTAAGATACCGGATGCTATAGAGACTATATTCTAATCTTTAAGCATGATGCCAAAAACACATCTGCAGAATTGACCACGGTTAAAAAAATCAAAGAAAGTGCATGAAGTGTTTGAAAAAATAAACAAAGAGGGAAAATAAGCCAGTAACAAGAAAATTGGCCTTGCAGCATGTCCACAGAGTTGTTAAAGAAATTAATAAATTCTTATGCTTGTTTATGCGTCCCAGTGGAAGTTAAATTGCCCTAAGGTGAATAAAGTACCTTAAATTACTTTGGTTAAATTGAGATCCAATTCACTACAGTAAACTCTTCCGACATCTTCCTTCAAAATAATAGAAGTAATGAAATATTCCATTCTCTTTATCTAAACTTTCATCATTGCAATAACATTATGAAGAGAGTGGCATCAAGAGTTCGTCGTTGTTGAACATAATAAGAAATGTAAATAAAGCTTCCACTTGAAACAATTGCAATAAAGAAGGAAAAAAATATCAAATGAAGTCAGCAGAAAATATGATACATACTGAAAAACGGTTTCCCATTGTAATTTCATTTTCTCTCTCAATTGCACCTCAAGGCAACGCATTAAAAAATTTCCTCTCTGATTTATGGTTGGAAACGAAAATTGGATAAAATTTACTCGTTGTTGTTGCTTTTACCTCCTCCGAACGAGATGAAAATAATATCAAATAAAAGAATTTTTATCACGCCAATTCATTGAATCTTTTTTTTTCCTGACAAAAAATGTGTATGAAATTGTGATCAGCATAATTTATTGAATTATGAAAAAATAGAAAGTGTGGTAAATCAATTTTTGCTGCACAATTTTTTAACAATTTAAAATGTAATTAATTATGTCAGGATATTTTTGATGAAACTTGTCATTTTACACACAATCAAAATCGAATTATGATGATGTCAATTAAATGTTCATGAACATTCTACATCTGTGGCATTTAAACATTATTTACTTTTATAGCCAGACTCATGTGAATCCCTTTGTTATTTTTTTTTTTTTTTGATAAAAAAGGAAAGTATAGCATGTTATCTTGTAGGCCTTATCCTCTTTTAATTAATATAATTTAGCTTTATGAGAAATATATGTGTCTGCTTTTTATTTTTATTTCTTGTGTCTCATATAAACTTGCCTCAATATATTCAATAGATTTTATCTTTCTGACACCCATTCAGAATGAAAATTGAATTAGGTCATTATTCTCAAATTTGTTGAAAATATTTATAATTTATTGATGAAATTTATTTCAGACTAATTTTAATAACTTTTAATTAACTCAACTTAATTTTTGAGCTTTTTTAGATGCAAACTTAATTGAATTATTAACTCATTGCTATTTGGATAGTTTCATCCCTAGTAACCAAAATGTTCCATATAATCTTCCTTCGACGTCGATGGAAGATCAAATGTATCATTATTTATTATATGGAAAATATTTGTTTTACAAATATGTAACAGAAGTGTTCCATCGAAGTATTACCCGAGCCTGCTTAGGATCAAATCCTATGAAATATCATCAAAAAAATATTTTTTTGCAGGAAAATAATATTTGTTCTAAATTTGGCATTTGCCATATACTTCACAATTGCTCGAAGAAATCACTATTATAAGTTCTCTCTAAATTTGTATGGGGCTTTCAATTAATTATTTATCTTCCTCAGGTTTATGTGCGAGTCTTGGTCGTTCATCAGTATGCGACTTAATTAAATTAAGTCCTTTTGTTCTTTTTCGTAGTGTTAGTGTACTTTAATTAAGTACACACTAATACTTTTACAAAAAATTACACAAATAAATGAAAAATACAAAATAACACGTGGAATTTAACACGTGTTTTATTCAAAAAAAGTAATCCATTTGTTTTCCATTTGTATTCCTTTGATGTATTACATTGATGTCTTATTGCATTGTCCATTTATCTTCCATTTTCATAGGACATCATCTTCCGATGGATAATACATGGATAATACATATGTATTATCCATGGAAGATTCTCATGGAATACATTGATCTACCTTTTGGTTACTAGGGATTATTATTAATAAATGTATTGTGTCCTTTGTTTTGTTTGTTATACAAGTAGTAAAGTAAAAACTGCTACAATTAATATAAGTGCCTTAAAGGGTCATTAAACCTAGATTTTCACGATGTTTTCTTGTTTTAAGTTAAAAGATTAGTTTACAAATAATTAAATAAATGCAAATAATGAATAAATTCTAAAATTCAATCAGAGTTCACGATCAGCAAGATCTAAGGTATGTTCTCAGATTCCAACTCTGGTTTAAATTTTAAACTTGCATCATTCATTTATTTCCATGCATAAAATTAAAATTTTCTTGATGATAATAATATGAAATGGAGAAAACAATTGTATTTTTCATAATGACTAGGATAACAATGAAGTATAATGATTGGGTAGAATTGATCTGCTTTGCAAAACTGTAAATCACGATGATTATTGTAATTTTAGTTGTTTGGGTGTAATAAAAACACATAATTTGACGCTTGCGAACATGAGTGGTTTCATATTTAAATTCAGTTTTTGTGACTGAGAAATCACAACATGTGACATCATGCATATATCATTATAAAGTGAACTTATAAAACGCCTCTGTCTCTTATTACTTATTTCGACAAGTCATGCAGGAAAATAGCTACAGTTCAAAATATATATTACTCCTAATGTTTTATATCTCTTGAGAGAATCATTCAACTATTCGTTGCTTTTTGTGAGCAAAAACATCAATAAATCACATTTTTTGTGCACTATACTTCCTCTCCTACACGATTATATTTTCGTTGGTATGGTAGTAGAAATAAATGTCGCACGATTTCAATTAGCATTTAACAGGTTCACTTTAGAAACATAGACAGTGCTTTTGTGAAAAACAAGTTTAACGAAATTTTGTGAGTGTTACGTTATTTTTACTAATGGATTCATCAGAGACGATAAATTATTTGTGTACGACAGGAAATTTTCTTTTGCAGAATGAAGAAAAAAAAATATGAAGATATTATTTGAGCTCCCTTCAAAAACTCTGGCATATGTGTAACATTATGAAGACACATGCAATTCACGTTTATGTACCTACATATTCATATACACCATCCTTAAAATATATTATGAAGCTGAACATGAATTCAAAACTGAAATGAAAATGAGAGTCGAAGTGAAGACTGAATGGAGTTCGTTTAATGAATCTCAATGATATGAAAATTAACGAGTATAACCTTCTCTCATATACAAATTTTCACACAAAACATGTATCAATTAAGAATACAAATTTCTTTATGTTGTCTATTTTTTTCTTCTGTCTCTTCGCTTTTAACGACACTGAAGAGAGTTTAAATATTCAAAGACACTCCACGAAAATTTATTGCAAGAATGTAGTTTTCAAAAAACATCAATTTGACTATTTTAAACAAATGAGAAAACAAATTATTCAATATTTTTTGTTTGTTTAAACTTGAAACAATGTTAACTGATAGATTAATTAATCATTTTATTGGCCAAGTCACCGTTTTATGGAAAAAATTATAGGATGTATAAATTGTGATATATCATTCTGTAGAATTGCCAACATTGTATAAATAGCAGGAATATTTTTGTTGTTTATAAATTTACTTTTTAATATTTTCTTCTTCTTTTTCTCTTTGTCACATTCAACGACATACCGAGTAAGATCAGTAAGTTTATTTTCATTCTACGACCATGATCATCATTTCAGAAAACAAAGAAGGGAAAATGAACGAGAAATAGATACATTTCGTCTTGTTTCTCTTTTCATTCGTATACATGAGATAAAAGAATCCATGACACGCGACATTAATGTGTAAAGATTATAATTAAGGCCGCATAAAACATTTTTTGTGTGTGAGTTGGAAAACAAAATAAGAAGAATGGAATGAAAAAATTTCATCTTTAAATATTTTGTATCCTATTAGTTTGATTACATATTGTAGATTTATTGCTCACTACTATTTTACTGATGATAAGTATGGTGAGGGTGTGAAAATGATGCAATTACGATTATGACTTTTTTTATGAGGGTGAGACGAGACAATGTTTCTCACGCTTCATAATTCATTTTTTATTAATATTAATACGAAATATTCGTAAATCAAGGGCAAACACAAAAACTATTTTCTATCTTTTCAATATTCATATTTTCTCCTTGAAATAAATTTAAAACAATTTGTAATATAATGAATAAATTCAAATTGAAGATTCCGCAAAAATATTCAAGTCTTATTGTTGTAATCGTATCGGATTGAAGATAATTAAATTTATTCTGTTTCTCATTCAACTAATTAAAACTAATTCTTCTTTCTATTCATAATGAAATGTATTGTTTTCTTATCACTGTCACATTTTCGGAAAACTTACCGTTATTTCCAGTAACACTACCAGCTGAAGCATCAACATTTTTGCTTAGTGCAATCAATAGTAGTAATAACATCTCCATTAAATGTGATAACATGTTTTCTTAACTTCTATTTCAATCTGTTTCACTTATTACAATTTTTTATACTTTCTCTCCTTTTGGTTTTTCGGTATTTATATACATTTATATATGTGTCGGCAGAACAAAATAGGGAATATTAGAATTTATCACGTAAGATATTTGCCAAGCACGTGGATTTGGAGTTTCTTTCTCGTTTATGATTCTTTTGTATTTCTCTTCTCTATTGAACAAACAAAAAAGTAACAAAAAGTATTGTTTTATATTTTGATAACTATTAAAGCACTTTTGATGATATTCATTTTTTTCACGTTTTTAAATTAATTATATTTCTTTTTATAAATATTTCTAAAATTGACTGTCCTTCTCTTTACGGCTTTAATTTATCTTTTTTGAAATATTATTTTTTCACAATTTTTTTATCTGTGTTTTGTATTCATTTCCTTATAGAATTTTAATATAAAAAATAAAATATTTTTGAAACATACTGTAAGAATACACACTGTTTATATTGACCAAGCGTGCCACGAGAAACGTCTGCTTGGTTGAGATTCTTCCAACCATCTAACAGTAATACCAGCAGAACATTGCACATAAATCTTCGACTATCACCGTGAACGAGTGGAGTACAAAAAAAAGACACAAGAGAAAAATGTTGGAAAAATTATTTTTTCTATGTTGGAAACGCGCAGCATGCAAGACATGTTACAGTTCTCACGAATACATATTTTAAAGCTACATACATATGTTTTTTGTTTTCATTTTCTTCTTTCCGAAATACTGTCGCACTTAACTGTGTGACATTCTTTTTGTTGTGTTACTTACAATGCTCTTTTAACCGCAGCATAAACACAACAGTTGCTTGGAAAATGAATTTGCCTCAATTTTAAATCATGAATAAAAAATTTTATTACCTTAATTTTGTATAATTTTAAAATTTATAAGCTGACTTTTTATACTTAATATTATCTGTGTAGCATTACATATTAAATTGACATGTCTTATTTATTTTAAAAAATAATCCAAAAGTAAAATGTATCACGAAAGTTGCACAACTTGGAAAAACACGATTGGAAAATTCATTTTCTTCACGTTCACATTCCAAGAGTATTTTATAAATAGATTCCTGTGTATTTACAAACCATTTGTTAGTTGTAAATTGGAATTGCTACAGAGCGATGATGAATGTTGTCTTGGTAATTACAGTTCTCTAGTAGTTAAAAAATGCAACCGTTAAATAATAAAAAGTATATTTGTTCTATAGATAGAATGTTCATTATTTAATGATTTTATTCATGTGCTAATTGTTTCTAAGTTAAGTTTCTAATTACTGATATGATTGGTTAATTGTCAAATAACAAAATTGAAATATTATTCTAAGTTCTTGTTTTAATAAAATTAAATGCAAGGATTAAAATATGATTTGTCAAAGTCTCTGCAAGGATCTTTACTGTCATGTAGCTTCATGAGTGGAACTCTATAAAGAACACCTTTTGGATAGCAAACGCATAACTTGTATTGTAAATCGCTATTCCTTTGCTTATCAACAATGGGCATCTTTTCTATGTTCAAATAAATTCCATTTTGTGCTGCTAATCCAATCGAACCATTTGAAGATTTCAGATAGATATGCTGTCCTGCTGATATTAAAATGTCTTTTCCATCCATGACAGTGCCTTCAATACCACGAACAAACATATTTAACGATTGTATCTCCAGCTTCTTATCGATTGGACTTACAATTTCTCTAGCATTAATAAATGTTGATTCTAAACTTTTTGTTGGCTTCTCCAAGTGATATACTAATTTTGAGGAAGTAGTGAAAATCGGTATATTTGTTTTGGGATCACGAATAGCTAAAACATTTAATCCTTTGATTTCAATCCCGTCATTTTCCATAACAAAACGATTGTGTACTTGATTTTTTCGATCGATCAAATTAAACTTTATGGATCCTTCATTAGCTAAAATTGGAAAATTTATGAATTTTCACTTGCTATTTTTATTGCAAAATATTATGGAAATTACATTCAATTACCGCAGGTGTATCCTTAAAGCTCTCCAATTGTCCATCTTTCTTAAAAACTTTCAAAAAATCTACAGATCCGTGAAATTTTACTGTTTTCCATTCAGGAATTAACTGTATAGGCATTCCTATGCCTATTTTGAAGAATGAAATAATAGACAATGTAAGAATAAAATTTCCTACTACGAGTATGAACAAAACAATTATTAACCCCCAAAAAAAGATTGAAGTGGGGTCATTTAAATTAATTTTTCCACAATTGTTTGCCTTTCCCATCTCGATTGAACTATTTTTGATGAAATTTTTTCTTAAAACTTTATGATTTCGAAAATCTTTTAAGAGAATTTTCTCAGGCATGCGCATTTCCTTTATTTTGCTTCCAGTTACAATTCGCTTTTCATTTCAAGCAAATTCAACTAAGCACTCACAAATATAAGGTTTTTCTTTAAGTTCGAGATCAAATTTCATTTATTCAATATAAATTAACTCCCAATCAAATAAAATTAAATTATATAAGTTAATAATTTTGTTTATTTAAAAGTACACGTCAAAAAATATATAAACATGTGATCTATCTAGTGATCTCCAATATATCTGACTTCCATTTTCTTAGAATGTTAATAATTTCTTCTCAAGAATCTTCCACTTTTACTATTTCTCTGACTCTTACTAAAACTATCCACTATGGCTTATAAATCTTATCCAAATACTGACGATATTGAATTAAAAAAATTAAATGAGGACAATCCTGAAACAAAGGAAGGAAATAAAGAAAAAAAACTCGATAGGACTGTAAATTTTTCTTCTGACATTGATATTAATGGAAACAAAATGCCCAGACCAAATAAAAATGTTCAGTTCTCAACTCAAGAAGTTTCATTTGAGAGTGAATTTGATGAGTTTGAAATCAAACCAAACCTTATACCAAACCGAAAGAGGTAAGACGTAAATTCATTGGTAATTAAAATAAAAATGTCAACCTTAAAAATTGTAGGGAGGAAGAAACGGTAATGGAAAACTTAAGAAAAAGAGTTGGCGAACTACAATTAGATAAAAATTTTAAAAGGAAACCAAGAGAACTAGAAATTAATGAGGAGGAAAAGCCTTTATTGAAGGTAATAAATACTTTTAAAAACTCAATTTCATCAAATATATTTGAACATTTTTATTTCTAGACCGTAATAGAGCAAACTACCGATAAGGATTTTATAATTGATTGTCTCTGTTGGCATAATGAGTATCGAGCACGCCACAGTGTTGCGGCTTTAAATATATCTATGAAACTTTGTGTTTCTGCACAAGAATGGGTGTGAAAATTCTTCTTTTTAAAATATATTGAAAGTAATATTAAGAAGATATCTGTTTATTTTAGGCAAATCACCTAGCTAGTCGTAATGAACTATATTATTGCCCACAACGAGTTTTTAATTTTGGACAGAACATATTTTGCTGTGTTGAAGCTTCTTTAGGTGTTACTGGTCAGGAAGTTGCATCATATTGGTACTCATCTATAAAACGATACGACTTCTGCAAGAAGCCCCAACTTCTTCATACAAACGTCAATGCAGGACATTTTACTCAAATAGTTTGGAAAAACACGAAATTTATTGGAGTTGGAAAGGCTTTTTCAAATACAGGAAAAATTTTTGTAGTTGGTAAGGCTTTTGAACTTTTTAAGACTTTTTCATCATGGATAATTGATTTTTTATTTTAGCATTTTACTATCCTCCTGGAAATATTATATGTGAATTCCATGAAAATGTTCTTCCACCTATAGATGAATCATCGAATTCTGTGCGTAATGGCTCCGTTACTTCTATTAACAAATGAACGTAACATACAAAAGACATTTGCAATTAAAATTATATAATGATTCGCTTCCATTTTCAAGAATTATTAAGAGCCAATTTTACCTGTTTTTTTATAACTGTTGAGCTTTTTGGTGTTAACAAGCATTAATGCATTCCATTTATTTATAATATTTATTCATAAAAGTATAAATTTGATACAAAAATATACAATACAACAACCATATAAATTTATTAAGCAAATAACAATATAAATTAAATGAATGTTCATCTTTATTTTACTGTGCAGCAATCTTAATATTGTTAAAATAGAGAAAATGTTATATAATCAGTTCATAACCAGGTATTATTTATTTACTCACCACTAGCAAATTTCCAGATTTGGCACGTGTTATAGTGGTAATACTTGCAGTTCCTTTCTCTACTTGAATCATTCCTGTCTTTCCAGATCTCATGTTATGTGAGAATCTAACAAATAAAAACCTTAATAAATTTCTTACTTTCAGTGAAACAAACTTACGAAGCACTGTCCATAATTTCAATTATGTTCTTATTGTTTGATGCAGTTATTATCCAGATGCAACACTCAATGACCTGTGGAATGTCCAAAATCAAATCTCCTTTATCTTTTTTCAGCTCTGCGGGTATTCTGATAAGCATAAGATTATCTCCCTCTTTAGTAACGACAATGTTTGGAATTTTGTTAAATGGAATCTTATGCTTGACTTTATATGTCTTTGAATCCAAAAGGATCAAGTTCTTTTCACCAATTATAAGAACTCTGTCACGTGGCTTATATCCTCGACGATCGTATTTCATGCAATTTGTTGAATACTAAATACAAGCATGATACATGAAATATGTGTATTCACAATTTGAAATTTATACTTACAATAGCTCTTTCTCCTTGCATGGAGGATGTGATGAATGATGAAACTTGTGGTTTATGGATATCAGAAACACGATCTTTAACAAACCAATATGGTAAACTCCTTTCATAATTCTTCTTCTTTCCCTTGAAAATTTCTTCAGCTAATATCTTTAGTTCGAATTCTTTACGTCTTTCAGCTGATATTCTATCGCGATATAATTTTGCTAAATACAGCAAATGCATTTTTCTTAAATGTTCTGATGCTTCCTCACAATGAGCTGCTGGTTTTGGCCAAACGTGATTCATAAAGCTTTTGGGTAATTGTTTCGATAAACGAATTAACCATAAATGCTTGACAAGCTTGACAAAATGTTCATTACACTCATTCGGTGATTGATTGCGCGTAATAAAACCTTTAATAAAGTAACGAATACGTTCAACAGCAGCTCGACGTTCTGCTAGACGCTTTTTAGCTAAATAGCGTCGACAAAATGTTTGTGTAATAATAACTGCCGCTCTCAACTGTTCATATTTTCTACGCTGTAATTTTCCCTTCCATCGTGCTTGAATCAAAGATGCAACATAATTTTTCCTGAGTTGGAATGCATCTTCTGTCTGGAACAATGTCTTTGGCAAACGAATAAATATTTTTGTCTTCCCCATTCTATAATCATTTGTTCCATAGCTTAATTCATCCGCAATTATTTGAACACCTACTCTAGGATCGCCTTTCCAATTTGGCCATGTTTTTTTGCTCAAACATTTATAGCGCTCTAAGAATGCTTCATATGTTCGTCGATAAGCAAAGCCAGCTCTTCGGACTCTTAAATTTTCCATTAATCCTAAGTATTTAACTTGATGACGTACCAATTCAACATTGAAGCTGTTTGGACCTTGGATGTCGTTGGGTTTAATGCAACGAATGTAAGAAGGCTCTTTGGAAATCAAAATTTCCATTAGATTGTTCAACGAATTTTTGAACTGTGTAATGGCAGTATCTGGACGTTTTCTGGATGTTAAATATTCACTTGATGGGAATAAACCTTTCAAAATAATATTATCAGAAAGAGACATAGCTTCTTTCAAATTTCTGAAAAGCAAATCATTATTTTTATCTAGGAATCCCTCAACATTGTATTTAACGTCTCCAGCATAATGACGTAATTGGAACTCATTACGACCTACTAATTTTTGGATTTGAAGACTAGCTCTTGAGCTGTTAAATATATAATGTGGATGTGATGCAAGACGATCATTCATTTTATCTAAGAATGTCAAATCTGTTGCATCACCAGGACGCAAACATTCTTCATCCATCAAGGCAATAATTCCAACATGTTTTTCTTCAATCAAGTCGCAAATGACTTTATTGTTAAAGTAACTTACTGGTGTCCATTCGATTCCTTCTCTCAAATATTCTTCTTGCTCTTGCTTTAAAGTGAGTTCAATAAAAAGCTGTTGTAATTTCTCATTGCAGAAGTTGATGCAAAGCTGCAGAAAAATAAACCTTTAGATAAAGTAATTAACAAATTTGATTTGCTTACCTGTTCAAACATGTTTGTTTCGAAAACTTCAAAGCCGTAGATATCAAGAATACCTAGGACATGGTGATTGATAGCTTCACAAGATAGAGTATGAAGCGATGTATTGATTCTTTTGACCAACCAGTCAAAAAGTCGAGCATAAACTGCTTTCGCTAATGCATCTCGACCATAGAAACTCATGTCTCGGTCTAATGGTGATGTTACCAAATCTCCATTTGCATCAATTGTTCTATGTGTTAAAGAATGCTTCAGTTTATCAAGATTTATTCCAAGAATCTATTTTTGTAAATTAAAAGATCATATAATTGAATCCATAAGTTTAATCAAAACTGTTCAAAACTCACATTTGAAATTGCATGAACATGTTCATTTTCATAAACAGTAGCTTTCGCAAGTTCATCCTCTCCAAAGGTTACATTTCCAAGATGTAAAACACTTGCAATAATTTCAATTAGCGAATTTTGTTCTTCTTTTGGCATTTCCATTGTATTCCATGCGTTATTGACAATTTTAAAGTTTGAAGCATCGTCTAAATTCTTATCGCTCATATTGCCGACTTTATCCTGTACAATAAAATTGATAGCCAATTAAGTTATTAACTGAGAGTATCAAAAATATTTCTTACGCCATGACTTAAGTATGTATAGCTGTTTAAATCTCGCTTAAGGTGCAGCTTTTCTAATAGGGAATCATCAGCACCATTCAACAGTTGATAGAAAATATGAAAATTTCTCTCATTCGCATTTTGATGGATTATACGGGACTTTTCCAGTAGATAGTTTAATATGTTTCCTCCATCAGGAATGCCTTGCCTATCAATCGATCATTTTTATTTGATTTTAATTTGAGTACACAATCAAACACTAAATATTAACTCACCAGTTGAAGTTAATATCCATGTACTTTCCAAAACGCGATGAATTGTTATTTCTGTTTGTTTTGGCATTTCCGAAAGCTTCAAGAATCGGATTTGTTTGCAAAAGTTTATCCTTAACAGATTCAACGCTTTGAATATGACCTGACGCGGCAGCAATATATTGCAACACTTTCTTTGAGTTCTCGGTTTTTCCACTTCCACTCTCGCCTGATTGATATGAATAAATAATATGAATTAATTTATTCGCAAATAAGATAAAGCCTAAAAATTCACCTGATATTAAAATACATTGGCTTCTGCTTTCCTCTATCAGTAATCGAAAAGCGTTATCACTTATGGAGAAACTACAACCAAAGGAAATTTTTCAACTGTTAAGATTGTGTACTACACATTCAATATATATTGTGTTGATATTGTTTTAAATCTTAAGTGGCATTTCGCTGATATAATTCACTTTTCGATAAGAAATTATCAAATTATATAACAGTGTGATACAAACGTTTATTATTTCGCAATTGCTTTTTAAGCCATCTAAAATCACTATTTATGTGAGAGAATGTCAATTCTTGATTAAGTTGTCAGATAAATTTCTGATTTGATAATTTTTCATTAATAAGGTATGTACGTATACTAAATTTGTATTTATTTTGAAATATTTCCAAAATTAGCAATTCCAAAATTGATCCATTTATATACTTACACATGAGGAGATACCTCGAAAAAATACTTTTTCCTATAAGCTTCAATATCGTCTTCAGAGTAGATGGATAGTTCTTTGTAAGGATTAACTGATATCAGCACTTGACCAATATATGTCTAAAAATAGGAAGTACAAATAAAATTTCTAATGAATTCTGACAATCTCAATTTTTGTTGTTGTAATTTTGATAAAGTTACTTTACGGTAAGTGCGATGATATCATAACTTACGTAAATTATATTTTCGTTAAATCTTTTTTCAAGATTTTCAATGAACGAATTTTCATTGGTATAATCTTCAAGTAAAACCGCATCCGATACTCCTGCTCTATCGCGTTCATTTAATTCTCTTTCCATTGTAGATACCTAATATTAGAATTAATACAATTGAGTGTTTTGTTCACGAGACAACTTAGTAAACACGTGTAATTGTTTCAGCTGCTCAACTACGACTGTATCATATTTTTTTCTTCACTTTCATTATCAACAAGTATTTGTAATCAAATGTTTTTAATATAATATTGATAAGGAATATTTATATGGTTTTATCGATATCGACATTTTTTATAATTAAACTTAAATCAATACATTCAAACACAATTGTTTCAAGTATTATCTCGCCAAACTTATTTGATTTTCCAGAATTTTCTTATAAAAATATTTAAAAAATTCTTCAACTTATATTAGAATTGTAAAATGTCTTTACAAAATTCTATTCAATTTTCGTTAATTTTAAAAACATGAGCAATTGAGTTCCGTGCCATCTATGTGTCAATGTTTTTCGTAACAAGGAAAAATTAATAACATGCACTAATACAATGAAATAACTGGAAGAAGATCATACCTTCTCAAATTCAAGTTGAAGACTTTTTCAGTCTTCAAATCATATTCACACCAAATTTTCAATGTATTATAATCAAAAAATTATTTGCATGGTGCATCAAAAAACAGAAAAATGCTGTTTCTGATGTTTTTAATCGTTATGAACTTAAATTAGAATTTGAATTGATCAACAAAATCTTACTGAACAGATTTTCATAATTAAATTAAAAGTTTTCTTTTCTTTTATGCTTTTGATCTGCAATTGGTTCATTTACTGGTTCAAAATTAATTAATATTATATTAAACCGCCATTTCGAAACAAATTTGTTTTGACTCATTGTTCATATTCATTTTAATGACGTGATTTATTTCAAGATATTTTCAAATGACATAATTAATGAAAGTCTTAAATTTTATGGAAATAATTTTTAAAATCTTTCCTAAATAATGGAAACTTCAATGTATGGTGTGAATACCCGCGTGAAGCTTGATCTGCTTTATTCCTAGTTTCTCATAAGAATTTGTTGCACGTGTAAAAATATTCATATTTTTAGTCCAAAGTTTAAATTTTGAGAAAATGAGAGACATTTGCCGGTATTTGTTTCTAATTGAATTTTAAAGAAGTTTGGCTAATAATATGGCATAGAAGCACGAGTAAAGTTCGAAAGCTTGTTATATCCTCTTAGATTTGTATATCAATCCTAAAGAGAACAGTTCAATTAAATTGAGAAATAAATTGAAGTTAACCAGAAATACTCTCATTTCATTTTGTCTCGTTCAAAATGAGAATAAAGCCTAACAGATGTATGTTTGTTGATTATTTTTATTTATATTTTGAGCTTCAAATTGGAAAGACCGAAAACTGAAAAATTCAAAACATGTTTCAAAATCTATTAAAAAGTTTAGTGATAAGGAAAAGCAGTTCTTTGCGAAAATTTCTTCCTCTTTACTCGACTAAGTTACAGTCATTTTCGACAAGTTTTATTAGTAATTGTAAAGTTAACGCTAGCATAAACATTCAAAATGAAACTATAGAACTGACTTCAAATGTTAAAGATTCAGATTCAATAAAAGCTCTTAAATTTCCCTTTGTTTGGCTACGTGATAATTGTAAGGTAATATTATATAATATAAAACTAATTGCTTTTTAGGCTTAATAATGAGAATTGTATAATGTTTTACAGTGCGAAAAGTGTCATCATCCAACTTCATCTAGTCGAATAATAAATTGGGAGAAATTTGATGTGACAGTAAAGCCCAAAAACATTATGGTAAAATAATAAATGATCACATATGGTTCACTTTAGGGATTGCGGGAGGGGGTCGAAGATTTCATGACAGCTTAAACAAAGGAAATTTTTTTCCATCCAAATTTTTCGACAAATGGGGAGAGGGTGGTCTAAAGTTCTGGTTTTTAGATGGACGTTTTTTATGAATAGCCTCTATAAGATGTATAAATAATTCAAAATTCCCTTTTCAGTATGATGATGAAAATAATATTTTAAAGATTGAATGGAATGATAAATCTGGACACATTTCGGAATACGAATATGATTGGCTTGATGAAAGAAATTTTTCGGATGAAAATCGGAACATTTATCTAAATAAATTCTATAGACCGGCCAAAATACTTTTAAACAAAATTGATATGCAACACAAACTTGAATATTTTGACTATCATAAAGTTATTCAAGATGACATGGAATTATATAAATGGCTTCGCAGTTTAATTACACATGGAATAGCAATTATTACTTGTGTTCCTGAAACAGAAAGTGAAGTTCGTGTCTTAGCCAATAGAGTAGCTTTTATCAGAAGAACTCACTATGGCGAGGAGTTCATCGTAAAAGCAAAAGAAGGAACATCAAATGTTGCTTATCTACCTGAAAATTTACAAATGCACACTGACTTGCCCTATTATGATTACGCTCCCGGAGCCAATTTACTTCACTGTCTAGTGCAAGCAAAATCGGAAGGTGCAGAAAATCTTTTAACAGATGGATTTTATATTGCTGATAAAATGCGAAATGAATATCCTAAAGAATTTGAAATATTAACAAAAGTTTTAGTGAATTGGTCTGATATAGGCCAGGAGGACAATATTCATTTCCATTCACTTAACCGAGCACCGATGATATGTTTAGATTACGAAGGAAACATAGACAGAATAAATCATAGCATACCCCAGCGTGATTCATTCTTTACTGTTCCATTGAAAGATGTTAAATTATGGTATAAAGCGCTTGCATTGTTTGTAGACTTGATATATAATGAAGCACTTGAGATGAAAACTAAAGAAGGTATAAATAGCGTAATTTTGTTGTTTCTTAAATACTAAACAATTTTTATTCGTCGTTGTTTCCATAAACAGGAACCGTACTTTGTTTTGATAACACCAGATTGATTCACGGAAGAAAAAAGTACCTGGACACAAAAGATAACCGACGTCACATAATTGGAGCTTATTTGGATTGGGACGAGTTATATTCTCGATATCGAGTTCTTCAAAACATATTTGAAATTTAAGCATGATTTATTGGAAAATAGATATAAAGTTACAAAAATCACAATTTAAATTTTCAATCAACTATAAGATAAAATGTTAGAAAGCACCTTAATTATAAGTTCTTTTGATCATTGAAATAGTTTTGTTAAACATCCAACACAGCAAAAGTGCGATTTTAAAGGTGTGTAAATAAAAAATTTACCAAATCGATTAAAATGTCTAAATTTTATCCAAAAATGACTTCAACATTATGCATTGAAATATTGGAAAAATCAATTTATTCTATTTTAGTTAAGTTTCGTTCTTTCGTCTAATGTTAAGGAAAAATGTAAAATCTAGTGAACTCTATTGATTATATATTCAAAAAAAATGTTATCTGGTTTTGTACATTAAATATATTAATTCATTTAGGAATTTTTGTGTTAAAAAAATTAGACTTTTAAGTCTTTTAATTCTCAGTTTTTAAACTTTTTAATATCACTAAAATATCTTTTGAAAGAAAATTCTATAAAACTTAAAAATTTCGTAGTCATCAAAAAATCTTTTTAAAATTGCAAACCTTTGATTTTGCAATCGTATACAGTATTTGCTATGTTTTTTTAAAAAAAAATTAGCATTCACTATGAACAAGAGTATCTTTAAGGGCATTCAGCTGTTCTTCTCCAAGTTTAATCTTATCAGCAATTTCTCTTGAATCAACAATGAGTTTTGCTTTCATATTAATGAAATAGTCATAATCAGCATATTCATCTTGTGTTAAAGATTTTTCCAAAATTTTTGATAAATTTGTTCCTCGACGATCAATATCTTCCTTAAGGCTTTTGGCTTCATCCAATTGCTCTAAGAGTCTGTCTCGTTTGTTTTCCAAAATTTTCTAAAACAAAGGTTTAAAAAATTATTTATGACTTAAAAATTAAATCCTCAGAACTTACTTTATCAGTACTTTTTTCACCAATGGTATGCAAAGCATTCTCAATTCGAGCCAACCGTCCTGATAATGAAAGCAATAGCATGGTTATATAGCCAATATCATCAACATAAGACCTAAATTTCGTAGAATCTCCTGGTTTAAGTTTCTGTGCTACTTTAAATGCTACTTCGTGACCAAGACTTTCATTAATAGAACTTTCTTCGGCTAATATAGTTTGTTCAGCTTCAAGAATTTTCAATTTTTTACCAAGTCGCTCGACTAGCTCTTCCTATTAATTAAAATTAATTTTAAAACTTTTTGTAAAGACTTTTTTCAACATAAAATAATATTTCCAAAAAAATATACATTTCACAGGTGTACATGAAGTCTTCATTTCCTCTACTTACTTTCTTCTTTGTTAAATCACTAGAATCGCTATTTATTAAAGTCATCTCACGACTATATCTTGTCATTAGTTTTGCTTTTGGTTCCGATGTGGAAAAGTAGGTCGAATTCGATGTCAGCATTTCCATTGAACTAAAGAAATGAAAATATGAAATTAAAAGAAAAAGTATGGCTAAAATCAATGAAATTTTTCACATGACTACTTACCTTTTGATCATTGTTTTCTCTAGTGTTGATGTTGATACATCTTTCTTCGTTGGACGTATAGTAACATTAATTTTAAATAGATCAGATATATAATCTGCGGATGATTTTACTGTTTTTGGAACTAAGAAGACGAAAAAAAAACGTTAGAAATATTTTAATATATAATATCGACAAGAAATGAATGTGATTACCTAAAATATTATGGAGTTTGTCTGACGGAGACAACTGACTTATGAGATCTTTTGACAACTTTTCACAATCAAACTCTTCTGGTCGCTGATTAGGTGTAAACAATTTTGTAAAGTTTGTTGAGTCTTTATTCAAACTCTCATCTTCTACGTTTGATAATGATATATTTTTATCTGAATCCTGACTTTCTTCCGTTTGACAAGCCATATCGATTTTATCTTGTATTATGGGCCGAACCGTAAGTGTAATTTCAGTTTTTTGCATCACCTTTGACTCATCAGTTTCCTCTAGAATTAACGGTTCTTCTTCAATCTCAGAATTAGTAGATTTCTCAATTTTAATTTGTTTTTCGGATTTTTCATTCATTGCTTTTTCTTCTAAAGATTCTGTAGATGTATTTTTTGTATCGTTCAGATTTTCATTCGATTCTTCTGGAGATTCAACCATATTCAACTTTCTCACAACAGCTATTTTATTATCACATTCATTTAAAGATTGTATTGACTGTAGAGAATTACATAATATTGTTTTGTTCAATTCTCGGCATGTCTCTTTTTGTTGATGATAGGCTTTGATCAATTCTTCATTTGTATACAATTTAGGGTCAATAACTTGTGTCATTTTTAAATCAATTGTTGATTGTGATGTATATTTTGGACTTTGCAAAGAAGTCGACTGTGGACTCATTGCTGGGATAGGAGATCCATTATTAAACGAAGGAGAAGAAGATATTGACTGAACAGGAGCAGTTGATGGTGGAGACATGCTATTCAAATTGTTACTCATTTGAAAATGGAATATCGATTTCATTGGATTTCCACCTAAAGTTGGAGCACTTTGTGGAACTAATTGAGAATCTGATGAATGAAAATGCGGTGATTTCATATGATTGTGGTAATGATAAGCATTTCGATATGAATTGTGATATTTCACATTCACGGGTAACACATCTGGTAGATTGCATTTTGTTAAATCCTCTTGATATTCTACGTTAATATTATCACTAAGTTCATGCAGTGTCAACTTATAACTTCCATGGTCAGGATCGAGTAATTTATCACGTTGTTGCCGTGGTAAATATGATGCCTTTGAATTGCTTCTGTAAAAATATTAAAAAAATGCAGTATAATTTTCCACATGATGAAGAAAAAGTAATTGATTTGAACTCAAAGAAACAATTAAGTGCGCATTAACATGCTGTGGGAAATCAGTTAATGATATTATGTTCTGATATTTCGCAAAAAAAGAAGCAGAAATGTTAAGATTATGATTATAATGGAAGAGGAATGCAGATTCAAGATGATATAATTTATATTTATTGCTTTACTCGTGCTTGTGATACATTATGCTTAATCAAATATATAAGTGTTGATTAAAAAACAGAAAATGAAAACTGCAATTTCATAATAACATATATGCATATGGATTACGTCTTTACTTCTCGCCTCATTGGAATATAATTTTCTCATCTTCTGCAATTCTCTTACTTAATAGTAATGAATAAATTATTAATGCATGCAATACCAGTTTTGATCTTTCTTCCTCGATAGATATATTATTGAATTGCATATCCGCATATCCGGATTTTTAACTCTGTTTAACTCTAAGAGAGTTTAATATAGTTGATGTCTGTACTAAATCCGATGCATGTTTTTAAATGGCACGAATTGAACGAAAACCAGTTTTACAGCTACTAAATAATGCTTACGAAAGTCCAACATATTTGTTCAGAATGACTTTTTACTTTCGGAATTTACCAATTTAATGTATGGCTGTGTTTACAGTCTACACAAAAAAAAACGTTACGTAATATTTAGAATTTTAAGATATTGATGAAGAAATTTCGTGAAAAATTTATTACACCGTTGTGTGTTGCGAAAATTACCAGCAGGTCATCTGTTATTGCGAAGATATCATGTAGGAAGTAAAATAATGATTTATTGACAAAATTAAATCAGTGTTTAATTAATCACCTCCTATTTTAATTGTAATTTAAAAGCTCTTCAACAAGAAATTTAAAGTTTTTATTATAAAAAAAAAATAAACTCAACAACATCAAAAAATGGTAAATGTAAGACGAGACAGTCGCATGCTCATTTTTTCTTCTTTATTTCAACTTGACTTTCTCGTTTTTTTAGCAAAAGATAAAATAAGAAATTTCACTTTCATCAGATGATGTAAAAAATTAATTTACTTAGCAGCTCTTATAGTGCTTTTGATGCTTCTTTTCTGTCATCATGCATATATAAATACATATAAATACATAAACGTATATCAACGTCACCAGTCTCGGGAATGATCTCACTTATTCATGCTAGGTTGTTTTTTTTTTTTTCTTATAATACAATCGTCTTGTGAATGAGTTTGAAATGCTTGAGATAATTGCATTATTCTCAAGTTAAAGTTATAATCCCAGCGTTACATAAAAATAATTACGACTCTATTCTGTGAACGTTATTTTATGAACAAAAAGAATATGTCTACAATACTCCTAGTACAGTTATGAGCATATATCTGTCATTATTAACCGTAAGTTAATTTATTAGTAACGCCTTCTGTTGTCAATTTTTTTCAAAAAGCTTAAATATACATACTCTGTCTCTCACATTATTCATAAAAGTACCACTGTACTTTACTATTTCATGGCTGGTTTCAAAGCAGGATAATTTCAAACTCGATTCATTTTTCTACTTTCATTAAATTTACATTAATTTACTGTAAAAACACAATATCATGCGTTTTGTGAAAGGCGAAAGCTGCTACTCATTGATAATTTTTTCTTGTGATCTCCTGCCAATTATGATGACATTTGGAAAAAGCACAATACTTTTACATATCTCATAAAATGCAAATTTGTTTCTTTCTCGCATGCCTCATTTACTAAATCCAATGTCCAAGAACTTTATGAAAACAGACAGGCAAAGCATGAATTATTTCAGGGTTTTTTTTGTAATTGTACGAAAATTGTAAGCGCCACAAAGTTTAGTTTTGGCAATTGAAATAAATGTTTATAAATGCATTACTATTATTAATATCCTTGGAATCGAAAATATTTGGCAAAAAAAAAATTGTAATGAATCTGATTTGCAATTTTAAAATATCGAAAAATTTATTTATGTAGATCATAAATTTTGTTCAAGTCTATCGCTAAGTATTTTTAATTTCGTGAAAATTAATGTGAATTCCAATTGATTAGATTTATTTCAATAGATCTCAACTTCAATTTAAATTTTCCTTAATAGAATGTACAATTCATTTAAGTTATGTCCGAATGAAATCATCATTGATGGCTTATTTTCTTGAACTTGAAATTTGGAATAATGCCAAAAACAAATCACTACATATGTTATCTATAAATGTGTGTTTAAATGAAACACATGTTTTCCAATCTTTATATTCAAACCAATATACGGTTTTTAATTTTAGATTAATTTATTTATAGTTTGTTGATGAAAATTTGCAATTTAGCGGTTTAGTTAAAACATCAAATTCCAAAATTCAATTTTGAATTTCAATAGCTGTAGTATTTTGATCTGCGTATAAAAGTTTTAATAATTCAATTTTTTTGAATAAATATTATTGATTAATAACTTTCATTTCATTGTCATCTGCATATTTTATAAAATTGCAAAAGGTTTATTTTCACCATGTCCAATTAATATAAATTCAATAATCAAAATGAAATTCTAATCCAAATTGTTTTGTTTTCTTCGCAATTTACGATAAAATTCCATTCAGAAATAAAAGTTTTATTTAAAGCTAGGATAAAAAGAAATCTTGAGATTCAACAATATTTATTTGTGAAGCACATAAGACAGGAAATGTGTCAATTTTAAGAATTTGGAAATATTAATGTTAAAAAAATGTATATAGCATGTAGCAAGTCTCATTAGTGAAACGATTTTATTTTCACATATGAAAGGTTGTTGCAGAAAGGAAACACAAGAAAGAGAAAAACTTGGAAGAGCAACTTTCCTCCAAAAAAAATAGTAACAATTATGCAAATTAAGTAGAACAAAAGCAAAAAAAGAAGGTAAAGACACACTTTTACTCTACTTTATTTCTTACTTCAGTACATTTATGCATTTCATATTTTTCTTCTGTTTTTTAAATTTCCCTTTTCAGTTCTTTTCTTTTTTCAAGTTTAATCGTTACCTTCGAATTCGGAATCTATTTCCAAAAACCATAGTCAGTTGTAACAGACTTTAATGAATATATCCAATACTTCAGCTTGTGTATTTTTTCACTTTTCTATTTTCTTAATTCATTCACACAAATTTGCTTTTTTTTTGGCATTTGAATTTAACGAATTGTAAAGCCACAATTTAAATTACGTGCATTGATGCGCTATTATTTTAAAATCCATTGTATCACCGCAATCATACTAAATGATTTATTTTTATTTAATTGATCTTAACAGAGTCAACAGTCCTTTAGTATTCTTTTATTCTTTGCATTGCATTGGAAGATACGTGTCATAGCACTTTACAAAATATTTCCTTTATTTTTTATTATAATGTTACTTTTTAAAGAATAAGTAAACGCCACTATAAGCAATTCTTATTTTTTTTGTATATACAGTTCAATCCGTGATCATTTGCTGTCATTATGTTTCATAGTATTCACTTTGAGCGAGTTTCAATACATCTATTAAACACCTCTCCTCTGCATAATGCAGCGCGAAATAAAAATTTCACTTTAACCTTTTGTGAAATAAAATTTTTTTGCAAAACTTTTCAATCACATTGTCAGCATCGTGTTTCTTTGCTTATACGTTTGCGACTGAATATATTTCATTACTTTCCTACAAGAGTGCTGACTGAGAAGAGAAAGAAATTGCTCTCAAAAAACAGTTTACAGTCATAAACTTCTCTTTTCTCTTTAAAAAATTATTCAGATTCAAAGTGTGTCTTTGCTGCTTTTAAGCTTTCTGATGTTTCGGTTGCTCAAGATCACTAAAACCACGAGGAGCTTTTGAAGAACTTATATTTTAAGATTATTATTTTCATCTGTTTAAATTTTTTTTTCATTACCATTTAAAACTAGCGCAAAGAAATTTAAAATTTTATCATTAACTTAATCAGGTATTTTACAGTATTTTGTTATATTAAAATTCGTTTTTGACGTCCTTGAAGCATTTTGAAATTATTTCTCAATTTTGATTAAAAAAGTGAAACAAAGAATTTTAAAGAAAACACTTCAGTTGATTTCGAAACATATAGATCATCAAAGATTTATAAGCATGAATGTAATAATGAAGAAAATTTTCAATGACATCATAAAGTTTTAAATATCTTTTACTTACCGGACTTTATTATTATTAACGACATTAAGTTGTGTTTGAGTATTGCTCTCGTTTTGGTTCCGCATTCTCGGCTTCAACGGAGGTGGCGTCACAGAGTATCCAATGCAATCCTTTGGCGAAGAATTGTGAGCTCGTTTTCTAATTGAAATACGTTGATCAGGCAAACGATTTGGTGCTACGCGCGGAGGTGTCATATCTTGCTCATGGTGATTGAAAGTAATTTGCTCATTAGAGCATTGCTTTTGTACAACCGCTCGCTGTGCAAGTACAGTGTGATCTTGTGTTGGTTGATAAATCGTCGGCTTTGTATTGATAGTCATTATTGGTGTTGGAACGATTTTTGGCCTCATAGGAATTGCAGGAGGCGATAAATGAATGTTTACATTCTTTATGACTTTTGGAGGTAAACTACCTTGTCCTGCAAAACTATTTCGTCGACTTGGTTGATGATTCATTCTCATTTCGTAATCCTGTTTAAGGACTTCTAATGGTGGTAATGGTAAATTTTCATCTTGTTCACTTAGCGGTATTGTGGTATCGATTGGAGGAGGTGGTAAGTCAGGGGAAGGAACTCGTAACGGCATAGTATTTCCAGGTCTACTTTTAGGCTTCGGTGGTCTCTCTGGAACCCAATCATCTATAGAAATAATTTTTCCTAATATCATTGGAGCTAATAAGTCTTTCGATAAGTGCTGACTTTGATGCAGTATTCTATCTCGCGTAGATGAATATTCCGAAGCAGATGAAGTTCTGCAATTAATAAAAAATGTATTAGCAAAAATTCCAATAGACTATGTATGAACTCGTTACCTTCTTAAAATGGAACTCTTTCTTGGAAGCGGTGGTGGTGGTATATTATCGCCAGCATTTGTATTAAGATTAATATCACTGTTTTTACAAGTTTGGACGGATGTAGCATTTGTTGAATTGCAATTTTCAGTCTTAATTTCACAAAATGACGTAAAAGTAGTATTGATTGTTTGATTAGTATCATTTACAATTTGATGCAATTGGCTTTCAGGCATTGCTGAACTTATTGCATTATTTTTCATGTTCTTTTTGGCTACATCATTTTTGTTTCTCATCATAATATTCGAGTTTATACCAATCATAGATGAAGCATCACTTGGCCAATTTGGTAGTGATGAACGTTGACTAGTACTAAAAGATGGTGATGGAGGTGAATTTCCAGCTAATGAAGTATTGGATAGTCTAAGATTGTAGTTCATTTTTTCTTGGTCATTTATTCTTAATTTTGTTACATCATCATTTTCAACATTGAGTTTAGATTTGCTCAGTCTAAGCGATTGTTGTTGTAGCTGTTGTCTTTCAAAATATGATTGAACAGCGTTCTTTTGAAATGCTTTCAATGTCGAACTTGGTATACGATTTGTCTTACTCGGATCTAAATAAGTATAATTTTGTCTATTATGATCGTGAATTACTTGTTGTTGGTTCTCTAATTCACTAATACGATCAGCAACTGATTGCCATTGTTGAATATTGGCTAGTCTACAAAAGTCAAAATAGATAATTAATATGAGTCAACACAAAAATAAAATGTGGCAAAAAAATTTTACTTGTTTTCAGGAGATGGTAACGAAGGTGATGTTAACGAATTATTTTGTATCGCTGAGCTCTCTATATATGTGCTAATCGGAAATAATCTATTATCACTTCGGCTAGATCGTTGCTGTGAATTATTAAGTAATGGATCTTCCGCAGAGTTTGCAGAACAAATACTTTCTTCGTTCATGTAAAGTACACTTTCGGAATTATGTCTCTGTGGGGTGTGAACTTTTGAGCTGTGCACAATTAACTGTGAAGATGCTGCTACAAGAATATAAAGTAAAATACAAAGAATTAGTTTTATTTTAATTTCAACATTAAAAACATGAACATTTCTTAACAGTCGTAGATATATTAAAGAGAGAGAGAGAGAAGAAAAAAATTGGAGTCTACGAGATGGAAACATAAAAATTACTTTTCAAGGTAGATTTATGCATAGTTAAATTTAATAGTTAAGCATTCAAGGTTTCAAATAGTGTACAGCAAATAAACGGAAATCTTTTATTTTGGTTAACAACAAAAGTAGTATTGTTTTCACGACATTTTCTTCAAACTTTATTGGATATAAATTTTATGTTTATGTCCGAACAAAATCTGTCTGAGATTTTAGCTTTTGATTAATGATCATAATGATTATGCAATTTTTTCCTCATCATTACAATTTTATTTTAATATAAATAAAAACAATGAAATCATGAACAACGGTAAAAAGTGAAAATTTATGTCTATTTCTATGATTCAATTAAATGCAAATTATTTGATTATATTCTCTTACCAGAAAGCGTAGATGTGTTCGTTGCTTGACTAACCACAGATACATCACTCATCGATCCAAGCCATTTTAATGTTTCCGTTGAAGAATTGCTCTCTGAACATTCTCTTATATTGCCAGTACTACTTGAAATGCTGTTTGTACTACCATTGAGATTTTGCGTTTGGAAATCTTGAGACCAATTGATGCCTCGTGACTGGATCAAATGACTTTCTTGACGTAACCTATATTTTATGATACGATAAAAAAATTAATAATAAAAAAGAATAATGTATCTTTATAATTATCATCCATAATTAATGCTTTAATAAATTTCTTTTCAAATTCATTTTTAAAGAAATTCTTTAGTTCATAAATATCAAAAACATGATAATTATTTATTTGATATAGACACATTGCAATTTTTTTGCATACTTCATAGTAATACGAGAACTTTTTTTCGCAACTCTTTTGCTAGTTGTCGATTAAAAGCTATAATATCAAATCATTGTTATTTTAAATTTATTAATTAAAAGTTTTCATACTGTTTACGCAAAATTTAAGCATATTTTCATTTCACGAACTTTCTCGTCAGCATATCAGCATCAGTGAAAATGCCAAATCATTATTATTTTCGAAACATAAGGAGAAAGCTCCAAAAATCTGTTTATATCTCCATTTACACATGATGACCTACGAGCTATTACTAATATTAAAGTATTTTAATTTAATTAAATTTTCTTACTACCGCATACTCAAGTTGCTACTAATAGTTTTTTGAAAACATGAGTACTTGGATATGCATTGTCTATGGAAAATTTTAAGTGCGCTCATTAAAAAATTACTCTTTACTGATATGAGATATCTAATTGATAAATTCTGATACTGGAAATTAATTCTTTCAAATTTATGTTTATAATTACGAAACAATCAAGGTATACCAACTTGGAAAAAATTCACTGAAACAGCACACAGCAGAAAAATGTACTTCCAGAATGAAAAATATTCAAACAAATTTTCTTAAAAAGTCGTAAAAGTCGTTCAGTTAAATTTGGAGGAATTACGAATGTTTTTGGATTTATGTATGAAAAAAATGCCAATCATTTCTCAAAATCATTTCCAAATGCTTCAATTATTCTAATATAGCGTTTATTTCAATTTTTCATTTTTTTTTCATTTATTCTGCGACCTCAGTGTGCAATTCAGTGAATTTTTTCAAAGTTGATGTACCTTAGAAACAAATAAACTTTTTCAGTACATAGACATTTAAAAGTATTCTGTCAATATTCTTAATTTAAAGGACATTTTGAAACTTGAGTCATCCCAGGTAAATACATATATCTTAAATTGTTGTTACATATGAAATACTACAAAAGTTTTTGTTCCTTAAACTTAATTACAAAATGGATCGCGAAGAATGTTTTTTTTTAAACTTTGTTTCAAGTTGAACTGAATTTGCCATGTAATTAATAATTTACTGCTTAAAATATAACAGTCAAGAAAACTGTATGTTCCACGTAAAAGGTATTAATATTGATTTGTGGTTATATTGTTATTGGTAATTTTTTTTCCACGACAGTACACTGAATAATAATATAATAAAAATGTAAGCAATGTTACTACACAAATGAAACAAAAAACCAAAGAAAAAATTACTGTACGTAATCCTTATACAATTATGTCTTCTGATTAAGAATCTTTTTTTTTTCGTTTAGTGATCATATGATTTCAGTAATATTTGCAAATCTAAACGAATAACGGGAATATGAAAGAATTAAGAACTTATATAAAATAAGCTATAAATGATGTCACAAGAAGAATATATTGATTTGCATATTATATATAATCGAACATGGTGAGTAAATAAAATTAAAATGATAAATTCTATTGATCTTGGACGTTTTGGGATAGACTTGATTTTTAAGAGCTCTTAAGAGTAACAGACTAATTCATTTTTGGCAATATTTTCAAAAAATACAGTTTTGTGAACTTTATTTTATTTTTAAACATCAGGTTATACTACACTTTCTCCTTCCTAGAGTTTGTCTCGATGTATCGTCAATATTTGAAGATAAAAAAAAAATATGATAAAGAAAGGTTCTTTACCTGTCTAAAAATGGTGTTGATGTAGAGTCTGAACTTGATACGTAGCTGTGATATCCTTCAGATTGAGCATATGATGACTGTTTTTGATGATTAAATATTACATTTTGATCATAATATGACCGACTATATTCTTCTAGACCAGCTTGTGTTAAAATGTATTGGTTATTTCCATTCAGCTGCTCATTCGACTGTAAAAAAAGAATAAAGGAAGTTCGTTAAGAATTTTGACTGAAAATTTTTCAAAACGAATATTTTAGATGCTTGGATATTTCCTGAAATAACTGCCTTATTATAAAACCTTTAAAGTTTTGACAAGTCGAGCAAAAAATGCAATAAATATTTCAATTACAATTTTTAAAAAGCTTGCATTCCAAATTTTCTAGATTTAATGGCAATAAAAAATACTGCTAACATCAATTCTAAAGTAGGAATGTAAAGCATGTAAAACACAAATCTTAAAAGTTGAATGGAAATTGATAAAATACAGTTTAAAGATGTTATTTAATTGTTTAATCGACCGGTTATTATTTTTATGGTAATGGAAATTGGGTCTTATGCATGATATTTAACGCATCACACCGCTAACTACTAATTGCTTCCGATTGTGCTTCCTTTAGATATGTAGTAACAATAGAATCGTGCTGTGAATTGATAGCCTATTGTAACACATAAATTTTTATTTTCATCATTATTGATATTTATTTAAAATACTTTTACAGTTTGTACCTATTCTGAAGAATCTCATCTAGGTAAAAAAATTTATCATTATTTCATGATGATATTGGAAACATGGAAATTGTGCGATTTATTGGTTTTTTGTATGCTTAATTCAATTCGTGTTTAAATGCACTAGTTTTTTTTTATTGTAGAAAAAAGTCAGCAATCATATGTATATAGGTAATAGTTATTTCCATATTTTATATGATCAAAAAGTGAGTAATACTTTCGTTATAAAGTCGGAAATGTTAATGCTGAAAAAGTTTTAAACATTAATTAATGTTAAGGCGTACTAAGTCAAATAAATCTCCATATATTTTTCACTCGAGCTTTACTTTGGTAAATTAATAGAAAGCACTTTATCTTTTTCATGTATGAACCCTAAATACTCCAAAAAATTTAATTTTTAATTAATTTGAACAGGTCTAATTACATACTTTCTTATGTATTCATGCTTCAACAATAATCCAAGTCAGATTTATACAATTCTAGCTATAGAAAGTTAAAAGTTTCAGCATTCTACTCTCATTTTATAAACAAAATCGTCTTAAGCTGCAAAGTGCCATTAAATCATTTGAAACTCCTTGTATAATCTTCAAATAAATTAGAATACAATTGCAGTAAATTGAAAATGTAGTTGTCGACTTCGAAACGTTTCTATAGTAAACTATTTTTTCAAAAGATTTTTTCATAGCTAGTAGTAAAGACAGATCGTGGAAAAGTAACTTAAAAAGGGTATACAAGAAGTATTGAAAACGCATAAAATACACCATTTGTAGGTCAATGTAGCCAGCAACCTTTTTTTTCACATTGAGAAATTTTGCATCAATTTACATAATTTCTATAAATTTCTTAACGTCGAATACATTCACTAAGTTTCAGTGAATTTTCTATTACGCTTTGCATTACAATAACCCTTCACATTGGAAGTACAATTATGAGAAAATGATTTCTTATGTTCTCAAAATCTGATATGAAAAAATGAATTAATTATGATGGTGATGCGACACTTTATGATTCCCTTAATTACTTTTAATTCAGGGCAGCAATAGCTTAAATTTCCTAGTAAATTTTAAATGATGTACGATTTAATTAACTCTATATAGGTAATATTGATAGGTGCTTCTAAATTAATCTAAATGCTTATTGTTCCTTTCAGAAAGAAAGATTAAAGAAACTAGAAGATGAGATCACGAGTAATAAGAAAGAAATATTTTCTTTGCAAATCAAGGCTTAAAAAATCTTTCTCTTCTATCAAATGCCCACATACAGGCAACATATATACGTCACCCTGACCAACTCACCTATCAAAAATTATGGGTGTATATGTAATATTACTGATCCATCTGATGTAGAGGCACACATATACCTCTACTTTTTCTTTTACACTTTAAACTGGTTTCTTTTTGAATATATTGTTATATTTTCTTGCTATTTTTTCTTCTTTCATAACAAACACTATGCCAAAATGAAAACTGCTTTAAAATCTCATCCACTTCTTTATTACAATATATAGCTTTAAATATTCTGATTTCTAATACTCTTCGACTATATAAAATTATCCTGCGCTGTAAACTTTTTAAATTATTAATTTTTTTTTTCGTACATTTTACTGCATTTTACACTCATTTAAATCTCTTATTATAATAGTTTTTTACGATTTTGTTATTTCAAGGAAGAGACTTTTTATTATCTACTTATATAATTTTTTTTATGTTTTCGTCTCTGTGTTTTATTCCACATTAAAATTTCTAATTTATTTCAAACAAATTCTGAAGATTTTTATAACTTGAAGCAAATTTTACAAAAACAGCTTTTGATGATGCTCTCTCATGAATAGTGTGATACAACACTAGTCGTAAAATATGACGAGATTTAATAAATGTCTATAAAATATGCCTTCATATTCCTATAAATATGATAATTTAAAAACAAGATATAAATTTCATTTTCAATTCAAACATCATTTTTGCAAATCAAAATTTTCTTCATTTTCTTATTTTTTGGAACCAAAAATAAAGTAATTCGTTAACAATGAATGTTTTGATGTTGTTCTATTAAGATAATCTATTTTAAGTTAAGTTAGGATTAAAAGTAATCAAATTTTAATAAATGCAAGCTCTTTCAAAACTTTTTATTAAAGTCCAATCAATTAGCAGGTATTCAATTACTCGATATATTTATTGGTTTAAAAAGCAAACGAGTATATTTTAAAACCTACATATTTTTTGTGTGTTGGTTTAAAGGACATTATACAATCATTTCCTGTTTTTTTTTCTGACCATTATACCAAAGTGATGGCTCATGAAGTTATACTTTTACTGACATTTACAAAAAAGATTAAAAATATATAGAATAAGCTCCTTTTTAAGGAATGAGTGAAAATTTAAAAACAGACGCAACCATTTCATCCGCATGTTTAAGATAGGAGAAAAAAATGTTGCACACGAGCCAAAAGTTATTGGAGCCTATCAGTGGAACGATCTTTAAGCAAATCTCCTATTATTTTATTTTCAATGTTAATTTTTTCCAATTCTCATTTGAACTTGACAATATTATGAGCATTTTCGCATCGCTACGCATGTGTTTCTTTTAAGAAGATATATTCACGGAACCGTTGCATAAGGGCTTAAAGATAAAAAAGGTATCTTTCGTCTGAGTATGTACGTTTTTGTGTGTACAGTTTAAAATTTTGACCTCAACAAATTTAGCTCTGTTTAAGACTCAATGACATTTAATACAACTAACATACGAGATTTATTGATATTTGTTATGTATGGAAGAGGAATAACAGGCATATAATAATAAAATGCGATATTTTGATACAAAATTTTATTTTATAGATGTGTGTTAAGTTAAATAGTATAGCAACAAAATTTTGGTAAACAATGTTAATTTATTTTTCGACCGTTTTCGTCATTTCAAGATAAAGTTATGTAATTCTGAACTAAAGAGAAAACCATATTCAAGTATTTCTGCATATTAGGACATGTAAATAATATCACTTTTCATTTAGCGTTACTTAAGCAATAAGGAAGAAATTTCAGGTATTAATGCTGTCAAGATAAAGACCACCCGCACCGTTAAGTTTTCTTTTGAAACAAGGCTTGCAAAAAAAATATAAAAACTAATTAATTCGTGTCAGCGGTTCCTTTAAACCCTCCTTGTCAGTCTTTTTGAAAACCAGCAATGTTATATGATTCTTAGAAGAATGTTTAAAAATTTTGAGTTATTTTTGAGGCTGTAACTTGATATTCTATTTAATTAGTCTTTTTCCATAATATTTGCACAACTATTCCAGCTCATCGGTCAACATATATGATAATGTATAAAGTTTTTAAAACAATAACAGTTGCTTAATAAAGTAAACAAAATTTTAGGATCAATATGCCGAGCTTAGCATGCGACTATTAAATTTCAAATGTTTATTCAGGTAGGAATTTATATCTAAATACACACAACACAGCCGATATTTTTCATGAATATTACTTATTTTTTTTTTCATTTCCTCATTGTTTCCATCAAAGCCCAATGATAAAACTTAATACAATTTCTTTTCACTATAGTATGCTGAATAATTATTTGGAAGTTTTAATCATCTTCAGCTTTCAATTTGGAAAGTAATGTATCTCTAAATATGGCAAACGTTGTTATCTCCTGAATAATCTCCAAATAAATCTTCCGTGTGTTGCACATTTTTTTTTCTTCCTTTTGTTAAACAATAATTTATGTTGTTTCCTTGAAGGGCAATTTATGATGAAAATATCTTTCTTTAAAAAAAAGGATTTTGAAAGGCTGAGCATATGCTCAGAGTCAAAAATCCTACGAACTGAGAAAGATAAAAAAAAAATATTGAAGCTTACTTTTTTACCTTAACTGTGTGCATGTATTTTTTCTCTCTTGTGTGTCAAGAGTTTACAACCTGTTATATCTAACACATTTTTGAAATAAAAAAATCACAAAAATAAGACACAATGTCATGAATAAATTTCAAACTTGTGCCAAGATTTAATTTCAACATGAACTATTTCAATCTTTTTTCCAATCTCCTAAGAGACAGAACTCCATTAAACTGATTTTTTCAATGAGTTGAATTAAAGCAATTCATTCTCTTGGTAGAGATGCTGAATCTAAAGTTAAAGAATGCAAGAAGAGTAAAAAATATAAGAGGTAGAATAAGCGTTGCATACATCTATAAATGATGAAAGACTTGCAACTTCTTCATACTGTTTCTCTTTATTTATCCATTTACACATTTAACAGATAATAAAAACAGGTCCTTTCTTTTTGGTTACTTACATTGTAATGTTCAATATTCATGCTCTTATGCCATGGGAGTTAGAGACAGTATCATACTGGGTAGATGAATCGAACTTTTTCACAGTCATACATATTTTGCGTATAATAATTATAAAAAAAATTCTTATTTTTGATGCTTATGGTGTGAGATTGTAAATTAGTGAAATAAATGGAAATAATAAAGTCTAAGTCAGATATATAGTTTGAAGGAAAAGAAAACTGCTCTCAAAAAACTACTTAAATAACAAAACGCAAATGAATGAATTGAAAAAAGAAAAAATAATAATTCTCATAAAGCAAATTCAAATGAATATATGTTGAATTGGTAGATAGAGAGTTGCCCATTTACACAGAAAACAAGAGTAACATTGAGATTGAGAAAAAGTATTGTATATTCCACTCAAGAAAAATTTCATGAAACGAACAATGATGATGATCGAAAAATAAAAAGAAATTGGAAGTCTCTTTGTACTTTTGAGGTCATAATTATTAAATCTCGTTTTTTTTCCTCTCGTCTTGGCGGATATTTCATTTAATTCCATTTTCAAACTGCAACTATGGATAATTTAGAATATAAAATAAATCTATCAGCATACTTGATACATACAATAGTGCAAAAAAAACTACATGCGGTTTGGAAGAAAGAAAGGCAAGAATGTCACACTGACTGTTCGTTAATAAAATTAAACCAAAGGCCAAAGTACAGCCAGGCCTGCGAGAAAATACATAAGAAAAGTGAAAACTATTTTTCATATTGAAATTTTTCAGTACTTAAACTTTAGTTGCTTGTGTCCGATCTGAGCATAAAATCAATTTTAATGCGAGACATTTATGTCTTCTTACTCTTATTAATTTTTTTTTTCACAGAAGAAATCAAAATTTCTCCTCATGAAAGGAATGGCAAATAGTCTATATAGCATGCAAAAGTTTTTTCAATAAAACTTTTAATAGTCTTATAATTAAGGAAAAAGGACTGTTTGCAGAAACATGAATGTAAAGTCTTACCTGAGTATTACTATTTAATGATGAGCATAAATCAGATGATGAAGAACTAGGAAATGACTTCCTATGATTAATTGATATATCCGAAGAACTATTGCGAAATCGTATTGAACTATTTAAATTATTTCCATTTTTCTTTGTAGCTACTATTTTAGATGTAGTGGAATTCGAATTCATGATTGAGACTTATATTATTTGTTTTCTATTCCCTCTTAAAGAGTGCCACAACACACATATGCAAATATTTCGTATAGAACGACTTGCAACCATTCGTAAAAGTATCCAAGTTCCTTTATATATTTTTTTCTTCTTACTTATAAGTTGGATTAGCAAGTTTGCTTTCCTTACCAACTTTTATTTCTAATAAATATGTATGGTTTCTTCTTTTGATGAGGCTCATAAAAAATATTATTTCACTTTTGTAGCTGAAGGAAACGCGTTTTTATTTAAAATCACAGATATAAGTGTAGACATTCACTAAGTACATAGAAATTTTTAAGCACTAATATTTTCGTTTTGCACTATTCTTTTTTAAAAAGACTTTTTCTTAGTTATATACACAATACATTTTAAATTTTATCATCGCCGGTTCTGTATTTTTTCCCATTATCCACTCTTTTGTATGTGTGCTTGCTGCTCTTGCTCTCTCACTGCTTAAGAATAATATAAATGGAATCATTGACTCGATTCTTAAAAGTATACTCAAGTCGAGCTTTTTTTCTTTCTTTTCTTTCAAGATTCAAATTACTTATTCAATCTTATATAGTACATTAAATTTTCTAGTGCTATTGCGAAATATCAAATTCATTGTTTCTCACATGCAAAATTCACAAAGTAATTTACTTCCAACACTTAACACATTTTAATTAATTTTTTAATCTCTAATTTATCTTATATACCTTATTGAATTTTATTTCATACACACTGATAAGATAAGAAAATAAGAATGAACAATTTAGCCATCATTCAAGATATTTCCTTCTTTTTGTAAAAAAATCTTTAATAACTCAAAAAAAAGATCTATTCACACCACACATGGTTTCAATCTTCACTAGCCGAGCTCTAACATACAAATGAATTAATAAAATAAGTTTCTTAAAGAATGAGTATTGGAGTGTACAACAAGGTAAAAGAGAAGAAGAGAAAAAGAAAACAGGGGTTTCGACACATTTCTATATGATCTTTTATGTGCATTGAACGTGCTTTTTGGTACCTTATACATTTTAAGTAAATCGATTGCAGACAATGTAGCTATTTACTTAAAAAATACATTCATTGAGATCTAATTTTAATTTTATTGTTTGAAAATTAAAGCACACATTTTACTTTATCATGAACATTCCAAGATTATTTTTTGGATAAATAGACCCGACAGAAAATAACAATTTAACAATTTTATTATTATTATATTTTTTATTTCTGTAATCTATGATGTTGGTGATTATTAATGGTCAAAATTTAAAATGAATTGGCTTTATGCTTTGGAATAAATGTGAAACCATCAGGGACTTTACCTAAAAACATTTCGCTGATTTTTACCCAATCGCTTGATTGTCTGCTTGCCATCAATGTCTCTAAATCATCTCTTCCAGTATAATAATCGTACTCTGGACGTTGATTAATTTTTTGTGGAGGATGCTCTAATATACCGTAAGGAACGTAACGATAAAGGAATGATAACCATTCGAGAAGGAATCTTCTTGTTGTTTCTACACCTTTTGTGTCGCTTCCAAAGCATTCAAGTCCATAATTGACATACTTTTGAACAATGTCTAATCGTTCTTGACTGCTAATATCATAGACTTTTCCTTCTTTGATTTCCTAAAATTTACAAAACATCATATATCATGTATAAGTGAATTAAAGTTTTTTTTTTAAATTAATTAATTGCCTTAAATATCCAAGGTTTGATTAGAGCACCACGACCAATCATAATCGACGAAACATTTGTATAAGTCTTCTTGATATGTTGATAATCTTCAAGATTTAAAACATCGCCATTGCCAATAACAGGCATTTCTTTTACTAGTGAGGCACACTCATTAACGTAATTCCAATCAGCTGATTTCGTATATCTCTGTTCCTTTGTACGGCCGTGTATTGTTACTGCCGAAGCACCCCATTTTTCGAGTTTTGGCAAAAGTTCTTTTGCCACCAATTTATTAGCATGTATACCAATGCGAGTTTTAACTGTAAATGGCTTATCTTTAAGAACTTGTGAGCAGCTTCGTACCGTATGCTCTAGAACTGTTTGTCGTCTTAACAATGCAGAACCGCCACCTTGTTGAAAGATCAAGTCAATAGGACAACCAATATTTAAGTCAATAAAATCAACGTCAGTTATTTCCGACAATACTTGAGCAGCATAAGTAATAAGTTTTGCATTATTTCCTTCTATTTGAATACCGAAAATATCTTCAGAACTGTGTCGTCTAGTAAGAGCCCACTCGGATAAATTTCCGTTTATTAGTGGCACTGAACATGCCATTTCTCCCACTGTTATATCTGCACCATATTCTTTACAAATCCTTCTAAATGGTAAATTACCAACAGTTGTCAATGGACTTAAGACCAATTTATTTCGAAAGTCAATTTTCTTCTTTTCTACCAGTCGTGTGACTACATTTTCGTCATCCTCACAAGAACCAACGTCCTTAGTTTTCTTTGATATTATTTCACTAACACTTGCTAATATGTTGTCTGAATTTGTAAAATCATAAGTCTTCTTTCTTAATTGGACTTGAAGTTCATGCGACAAATTTACTCTCTGTTCATTCTCGACTCGAATTGAAGAATTAGCATTCTTAAAATCTTCAGTAATATGTTCCTTTCCAAAACGGCAAGTTATACCATACGTACAAAATCCTTTTGTTGTATATAATGGACATTTCTCAGCAATATCTGGAGGCTTCATTTCCATATAACTTTTAACATCATGAAGAAATTTGCAATTCTCTCTACTACATTTATCCAATTCTTGTCCATCAACTAATGCACGACATAATTTTTCATCAAATGCTTCTTTAAATACTGGTCGTTTCTTATTGCGTCCACCTTTATGCTTTTTCCTTGGTGGTTCCTCAATTTCATGTTTCTTTTCGGGAATTTCAACTTTTTTTGCATGAAACCTGAAAAAAAAAATTAATTTTACTTTCTAATCCTTTAAGACGACTATTGATTATATGTAAACTTACTCTTTTTTGATATAGCAAATAGTTGGATCAATTGTTTCCATCTCAAACTTCTTCGTAAATGTTAATTAACGTAAATGAATTTTTATCGGAAAAGATCACGCTAGTTTTATTTTTGTAAACAAACTGAAGGGGCAATAACCAAGTTTTTGTGACTTCTCAATATAAATCTACTTACTATTCCCTAAATTACGCTAGCAGTAATATTTCCAAATACATGAATTTATACTTCAAAACCTGTAAAAAGTGATTGTTTGTAAAATCGTTTTGAAGCATCAGTTAATTTTTAAAATGCCATTTATGCATCAAAAGATAGGAATTTTAATTCTCTTTTTTTAAAAACATAATTTTAGAAATTTTTGCTTGTAAGCATAACGAGAAATTCATAAAATACAAACCGTCACTCAAGTACAATTTGTTTGTGACGAGGCCCTACACAATTTAAGATTCGCGAAACATAGTTTGAGAAGAACTTAACAAAGGTAAACAAAAAGTTGTACCGAAAACATGTCAATGAATTTAATTAAATTAAAATGGCCTATAAACTTGCAACAGACGTTATTAGGTGGACAATCTTTCAGGTAATAAAAATGCGTATTTAGTGGATATAATCAACAAGTAATTACAATATTTGAAAGATTCTATTTTATTTTAAAAATAGATGGACACAAAGTGATGAGTATTTTATTGGAATTTTTGCAAATATTGCATGGAAAATCAAAGCAGATGAATGTGATTTAAGTTACGAAGTAATAGGAGAACTACCGTATCCAACTGATGCAAATTGTCTTAGAATCAAAGTGGAAAAACCGAAGATTACATCCAAAAAAGGACTTGTGCTGTATGAACAAAAGTATTATGAGCAGTTGTTGAACAAGTATTTTCGTTTAGATAGCAATTTAGACGAAGATTATAATATCTGGATCGAAGCACATAAACACTTTAAATCGAAAACATCAAAGGATCAAACATTCATCACTCAACTCGACCAGGAAATTGTTGAAACTCTGTTTAGCTTTATTTGCTCACAAAATAATCACATTTCACGAATATCATCACTTGTAGAGAAATTGTGCACTAATTATGGCGAATTGATATGTTCTACAGATGGACGATCATTTTACAACTTTCCATCTTTAGAAAAGCTATCAAAAGATGAAGAAATGGAAAGTAAACTTCGTAATCTAGGCTTTGGATATAGAGCAAAATATATTGCAAAAGCAGCTAAAGACATTTCAAACAAAGGTGGTGTTAAATGGCTCGATAGTTTGACAAGACTGAACTATCCGAAAGCTCACGATGAGCTTATAAAACTGCCAGGAATTGGACCAAAAGTTGGAGACTGTATATGCTTAATGGCACTTAATTTTCTTGAAGCAGTTCCAGTTGACACACATATCATCCAGGTAGCCCAACATTATATTCCAGAAGTTACAAAAGTCAAATCTATGAATCTCAAGTTGTATCGTAAAATTGGTGACACATTTAGATCAGTTTATGGGTTAAAAGCAGGTGTTGCACAAACTGTATTATTTTGCAAGGAATTAAGCATCTTTAATGAGGGTGAACCTGTTGAGAAGAAGAAGAAGAAGAAATAAAGAATACAAAATAAAAACGGAGTTGCGCTATTTCAATTTGAAATCCATCATGTAACGTTTTTAACGATTTAAAAGTGTAGACCGAAAAAAGTGATTATTTTTTTCTCTGAAAGTTGAAAACCCCGTCGTTCGAATAAATTAAAAATTTATAAAAATTTGATTAAATAAGTCATTTGTAAGAGTAATTTTATCTATTTAATACCTTGAAATGATAATTCAAGAACCTGTACAGGTAAATAGAGTGCAATTTCGCAGAAAAAGGCAGTGAATTAATAAAATTTCTAATTTTTCTTTCAAGGTTGCTATTTGGACAAATTTAAATTTTTATGCTTACGAAGATGCGATCTTCTTGGCTGAAAGACTTTGTGCAGAAGGTAATTATGCTATAAAATAGTGTGGCCTAAGTCAGTTAATAATGAAAAGTGTATACATTTTCAGTGGAAACTTCAGAAAGCTTATATTTGCTAGCAACTTGTTATTATCGCTCAGGACGAGTGAATGAAGCATACTGGCTTTTAAACACAAAAGGAGCTTCTACTCAAAAATCCAAATACTTGCTAGCTAAATGTGCATATGAGTTAAAACAGTAAGACGTAAAAATTAATAGTGGATGAAAGTTTTGTGAAAAATTTCAATTTTTTTTTCTTGTTTCTCCATTTTCCTTTAAGCTATTCGGAAGCTGAAAATATTTTGTGTCAGAATAAAACACCCAGAACTCAAAAAGACTTGGAATCAATATGTAAAGAGTATGGAGTAGAACTGAGTGGATTCGTAATGCAACTCTTGTCAAAGGTTTGTAAGCAAACGGAGAGAATATCGTTAGCAAATGACTGTAGTAGAACTTCATTAAGACATAATCCATTTCTGTGGAATTCCTACATTGACTTGTGCAATCGAGGCGAAAGACCAAATCCAAAAGATACATTTCAAATAAGAAACGAAGATTTTTTGATTCAATTAGAAAAGCAATTGCATCATAATCATTCATCAGAACATAGTTATATTACATTAAATGATAAAAATATCAGTATTTCTGGGATCCAGCAAAATTGTGTGACAACACCGAACAACAACGTTAATCCAATAAATTTCAGTGTTACAACAGTCGATGATACTCCATTAACAAAGAATCAAACAATCGAAAATCATATTTATGAAGTCGAAACACCATATCGCAAGCAGTTTAAATATCTACATTCAAACATTAGTCCTGTCACGCCAAGTTTTGGGATTTTACCTTTAAGTAGTCCACATGAAAATATCAAGCAAACAACATTATTTATAACACCATCGCCACCGCTTCAATCTCAAATGATTGACTCCGATAAGAATAGTAGTAACAAGAAAATTAGAGGAAATTTAAATTCTTTAGTAAATAGAAAAGAGATTCCAACTACTCCACTTCAACAAAGTCAGCATACAAAATCGGTAGTTTTAAATCAATCTAGCAATATAACACCACATCGTACTCCGCAGGAAGAAAAATGTCAAAGCGTTCGACGCTCTTCTCGGATTTTTAGTAATTATTCAGTTAAGGAAAACAATAAGTCGCCAAAATTTACCAAATTCACACAACCTAGATCACCCCCACGAAAAACGAGCAAGCGAGTCTCGAAAACGTCGACTAAATGTACTTTAAATGAGCTAAATGAAAAGAATTCATTGCTTAATGAAAAGGAAAAGAATGAGACTGTTACGTCTGCGCAGTTAATCACTGATGTGTCGTATAATTATCAAATTGCATCAATGAAACGTCAAAGTGCTGACGGATTAATGCTACTTCTTCAGACTCTGGGACAAGTTTATTTGCATTTACAACATTATGAGCTTGATGAAGCTCTTGAGATTATTGAGACAAAAGTTCCACTTCATCATTTTAAAAGCAGTTGGGTTCAATCATTAATTGCCATCATTCATCACGAGCGGAGAGAATATGAAGATTCCGTTAGAATTTTCTCAAACATTCGTAAAGCTGAGCCGTATCGTTTGCAATACATGGAAATTTACAGTACCGATTTATGGCACTTACAAAAAGATACTTTACTTTCTGCATTAGCGCAGGACTTGATGCAACATAACAAAATGTCAGCTATTACTTGGTGTGTCGCGGGAAATTGTTTCTCCGCATTAAAAGAACACGATACTGCAATCAAGTTTTTCAATCGTGCTATTCAAATCGATCCTGAATTTTCGTATTCCTACACGCTGCTTGGACACGAGTTAGTCTTTACTGAAGAACTTGAGAAGGCATTAGGATGTTATCGAAAGGCAATACTAAAAGACTCAAGACATTACAATGCTTGGTAATTTATGCTGCAATAATAGCTAAACTGTTTTCTTTTATGCAATGTTTATTTTTTCATCATTAGGTTTGGAATCGGAACAATATACTCGAAGCAAGAACGTTTTCAACTAGCTGAAATTCATTTTCGTCATGCATTAAAAATCAATCGCAAAAATTCTGTAATTTTAGTTCACATCGGCGTTATGCAATTTTATTTGAACAAAAGAGAACAGGCAATTCAGACGTTAATGGAAGCTATAAAGCTAGATCCCAAGAATCCGCTGTGTAAATTCCATCATGCTTCGATGAACTTTAACATTGGAAAACTTCAGGAAGCTCTCGAGGAACTGGAGGAACTTAAGCAGTTAGTGCCAAAAGAATTTATCGTCTATTATCTAATAGGAAAAATACACAAACAACTCGGAAATATTGACCTTGCATTAATGCATTTTAGTTGGGCCACTGATTTAGGTAATAAAATCCTATTTTGGTGTTCCTTTCAATGGTCCGTATTCATCATTCTTTTTTTTTTTTTTTTTTGATAGATCCAAAAGGAGCCAATAATCAAATAAAAGACAAGTTTGATTCAGTAATTAGATCTCACCAACAGCAAGAGCAATCAGATGGTGACATTAGGTCACGAGAGGATTTCGACGAAGAGGATGACGTTTCTATAGATGATGTAGCATCATTATCAAATGACAACAATAATAGCAGCGGAGGAATTGAATCTGAAAGTAATAATAGCATGATTCAGGAGCATTAACAATTTTCGTATTAGCTTGGTTTTTTAATAAAAAAAGTTGCTCTTTTTTGCTGATGAGAGGAAATTAATAAAGTAATGATACATTATCTATATATATATATATTTAATATTCGCAAAAACTAGATTTTTCTTCAATTTCTACACAACTTTATTGGTGACCTTAACGAAAAATCGATGCCATAACATTGCTATTTTATAACGGTTGTCTACTTTTTAAAACAACCCCTGTTACTCATCCAATTTTTTTAAAAATAAAATAGCAAATTAATGACGTAATGAGAGGTATTATAATGAAATCACGTCACTAGTTGTTTCAAAAGCTAAATGATTATTTAATTAAAATTAAATTTCTTTGGATTTTCCCGCATTTTTCAAAAACTAATCCTAGTCATTTATAGTTCATTTAAGAGAAAATTACTTGATTTTGGTTTTCAAATTTTATTTGACTGTTATCGTTCATTTTTTTTAAAATTAAATTGCAATAGGTCAAAAGAAATCATTTTCCTTCAAAAAATTGTATTTTAAATTGGTTTAATTTATGAAAAAAAATTAATAGATTAGCTAGAGAAGATCAGAAATCGATGAAAAAAGTCAAAATTCATTGAGGGTGGATACTTTTTAACGGATTTTTTAAACTTAATCACAAATACTACAACAACAAACACGACATATATATTTCAAATTCATTTTTCAAAAAACTTTCGCGAGAAAAAAAGAGTACTCAATAATTAAGAAAAAAATGTATTAAAATGTTACTTTTTCTTGAGAAAATATCACAGTTACATTCATAAGAACAGTTTAAGCTAAAATTCTATTTAATTAAGCTTAAAAAACGACCGTGAAAGCATAAAAATAATGTTGAAGTTTTCTTGAAAATCGCCATTGATCCAAAAAGTTAATAAGAAGAAAACACATACAGTTATAAAAAAACATACACATTTTTGAGTTCTCGCAAAATTTAGAAAATTTTTAAATAAATTAAATGAAGGGAAGTGCATAAAGGAATAGCTAGTAAAAATTTTGATAAATACCATAAAGGTTATTCAAATCTATGTGTAATTAGTGAAAATGTAAATTATAATATATGTGAATGTGAAAAAAAAATTGAAAAAAAGCCTTTACATAAATCGGATTTACTTGAAGTGTGAGAGAGCAAAAAAAGTAAATTTAATTGAACATAAACATAATTCAAGAAAGCCGAAAGTAAAGGTATTGAAAGTATGTTTCTTGAATCAGCTAAAATATATAAGGTCATAAAATATATCATAATACATAAAAACTTTAAGTATTAGTGTTGAAAAAAGTATATAATAATAATACGGAGATAACTAAACTACAAAAGCAAGGAAAATAAATGTGAGAGCATTGCATATGTATTGGATGAATGTATGTTTGAACAGCAGTTGAGTTTTTCTCGTCGAAATTCTTTAATGTGGAAATTAGTTTTCTTTAATAAATACTTTTATTTATTCGAATAATTGTGAAAATATATTTTAAACTCGTCAATAAACATAAATACCAGTTTAACTTAATTAAAATATGAACGGTAAAGAGAAAATGAGATGCAAACTTGTGAAAACTAGCAACATAATATTATTAATAACAATAAATGACGAGTAAATAAAAACTGAATCTTATGGCTAATATTTTTTGCTATGAAAATAATTAAATGTAATAGACATTACATGTAGAAAATTCATCTCTAAGTGCTTATCCGCCATTTTATGCAAAAAAATTAATAGAAATAGCGTGAATAAAATATTGATAAATTCTTAAAAAGTCAAATATATATATATATATATATATAAATATATTTGTAAGGTGTACATATAAATAAATTAAAGACTATTTTAAATCACATTGCACAAATCCAACTTGTATTACCATTTGTTGTGTGTATAGATGGAAAATTGATTCCATTATTTATTACACGGACAGTTTCTTTTACTTACTTTTATTCGACGAACGAGAAAAGAAAGAAAAAAAATTATATATATATATTTTTTTTTAAAAAAAAAAGCATAATTCTTTGTGATTTTGAGTTTTATATGCTAAGATTCGAATAATTGAAGTGAAGTGAATAAACAAGAAGATACTTTTCTCATTTATGTGAAAGTTGTAAAAATGATATTACAACAGCCATGACGCATCAGAACCAAACTAACGGCGCAAGTTTGGAAGATTGCCACACAAACTTTTTTGCTTTGGTGAGTACAGTTCATGTATTTTTGATAATCATATTTTACTCTCCAGTTTGGCATTTTCTTCTATTTTTCTTTTACACAGAATGTGCTACTTCCATTATTTTATTTTTATTTTATCTTTTATTAAAGTACAATTCTTTCCCTTCATCTCTCACGGTTTGGTCTGTGATGAGTCTATGCTATATCATGCGAATAGAGGAGAAAAAAAAATGTTATATAGTACATAATATCTATGAAAATGTAGTAATATACAATTGCAATTGGCTCTTTTACTTTTTTGAAAGTGAGAGAAAATTTGTTTAATTTTTTTACAAAACAAAAAAAAGAAAGAAAAAAATATACATAATAATGTGAAAGACATGATTATGTGAATCGAAAACGGAATACCAGTTTATTTTCTTTCGGTATAAATAAAACAATTTATTGAAAGAATTTTTCATAGATATCAGTGTGGAGGTAGAAATATGCACATACGTTGTATATAAGAATCTCTGAACAGAGCAACGAGAACAGACACAAATGTAATTTTCTTCGTTTTTTTCGTGTGCGCTAGCCTATTCTCATAATATTTTTTCTTCTCTATATATATACAAACCGTAATGTAAGAGTTACATACATATTGTTATTTTCTATCTTTTATATCTTCGCCATTCAACCATTCAACAGTCTACAAGAAATTTCGTCACATTTTTCTTCTCTCTTCTTCTGGCGCGGTCAATGTATGCAACTGCTTCATGTACATTACTTTTCTCCTCATTCTATCTTTATTATTATTTTTTATTTTTTTTTTTCTCCATTCATATTATAAATTTTACTTTTTTTTGTTTTTTTTTTTTTCATTTTTGAGACTTTTTTTCTATTCAATGGCGTTACAAACTGCCGCTATATCAATTCCTACACATGTGTATCGGACATAAATTTAAACTATTTTTTTATGTGTTTACTTTTTTCGTCTAATTTAAGGCTGATTTGTGCGGAATAAAATGGAAGAAACTAGTATTAAATGAACGTCCTCAAGCAACTGGAGACCCATTAGACGATCCAGTGCTAAAATCTTATACAAAATGTTTGGCCAAAGATATCTTGTGTGTATGGCGTAGAGTAACGCAACATAAAAATGACTTGGATCAAACAGGTGGCCTTGGCATGTTTGACATTAGTCAAAACACATCAGTAATTCATCCACCATTGTCACTGACTGCTGCCAAAGAGCTATGGATATTCTGGTATGGCGAAGAGCCTGACTTGACAGATTTAGTGTCGCCAGAACTACTTAAATCTCCAGGTGATTTCAAAAAAATTTCATTTCCTCACCATTCTTTTTACTAGTTAAATAAATCCTCTATTGTATTTAGATTCTGGAGAACAAGGATCATGGGAAGGCGGATTATCTTATGAATGCAGATCATTATTATTTAAGGCACTACATAATTTAATTGAACGATGTTTACTTTCGAGGGATATAATTCGTTTGGGAAAGTGGTTTGTTCAACCATCGAAAAGCAACGAAGAGAAGAGGTAAGGGAGTAAAAAAAAACATGCATTCTCGCTATTGTTGCTATTTATTGGAAATGTGTGCAAGAATTTATATTAAGAGTTAAATATTTTTCATCATCACATTCCATACATTAATTTTGTGAGTTCTCTGAAGTTGTCATCTTTAGGATTGATGAAACTTTCGTATACTCTCTACATTTTTTCCTAAGACCACGACTTGAATAGTCCTAATTATTATTATTATTACTATTAAACATAAATTTATTTTTAGCTCGATGCATCTATCGTTTTCTTTTGCTTTCTTCGTCCATGGAGACAGTACAGTGTGTGCTTCAATGGACATAAGGGAACATCCACCAGTACGACATTTAACAGAGGATTACCTAAATGATATTGTTAAGAATTCCCAACAAAACTTGGAAAATTGTGAACTTGAAGATGACGAGGAGAAAGAAGAGTTTAATGTTTTTAGTATGAACACACAACCAGTAATATTAGCTCCTTTTGGATTATCAGCAGTATTAACAGGCAGTAAGAATGAAAATTCTGAACAGTATACTGAGAAAATTGTCGAGGACTGGAATGCATTTTATCCAATGAAGAAACACGAAAACGAGCGATCAACGTCATCTAAATTACCAAAACTCGTCGAAGTCATTTCAGGTAATGATAATTATATTGCTGTACACAGCACTACACAGGTATTATTTCCATAGATGTTTCTAATGCTTTCATTTCTTTTCTCTTTTTCTTTCTTTTTTCTCTACTCATTTAAACAATATTTAAGGTGGTGTTAAAATGCTTTATCCATCAAAATATGTATTAATTACCGATCTTGATATCAATAAGCAAAACAACAATGGCTTAGCTTGTGATAACAAATTAAACTTAGAGAAAGAAAAGAAGTTGTGTAAATGTGAAAATCACTTAGACAATAGTTCAAAATCAAGCAGTATATTGTACTGTGATGGTATCCAAAAATCAGCAGCAGGAATTATGCCTGAACGAATCTGGCAAGACATTATTATGAATCCTGCATATACAAATGAAAAAAGTGAGCATATAAAAATTGAAAATAACCGAGAAAATTCGATCAATATTGCTAATTCTAAAAATGTAGAAAATTCTACAACAAATGTGAAAACGACAGACTCTTCTTCCGGAGAAGTCCTTTGGAATTTCGTGGAGCCGTGTCTGAAAAATTCCTGTAATTGTAAACGGTAAGTTGTTCAAAACTTTACTTTTTATTTATTTTATTTAAAAATAAGATGATTATCAACAAAAAAAAAGACTATAACAAAATACTCCTTTTATAAAGAGAACAAACAAAAACAAAAAAAAAATATCAATAACTTATGATTTCTATCAATTTCACTTAAATCTTAAGTTCCTTAAAAAATCACGATAAGACATAAAATTATTTACAAGAACAACACACAGAAGTATTAAAGCTTTAATGATGTTTAAAATTTTTACAGAAATGGAAGTATTTCATCATTTAAATCTACAGGAAATTCTTCCTCTCTAATAAGTGGCAAATCAAATTTTCGAAATAACAGTAACCGTACTCGAACGCCCTTTCATAAACGGTATTAAATTAATCTCTTTTATTTTTCACAATCACATTCTAATTCAATACTGTGTACTATAAATTTAGATCTGAATCCTCGTTATCTTCATATAAGTCTAAGGACAGATCCTCAAATGAACCATCATTAGCAACAAAAAAAGTCAATATTAGGTTTGTTGATTTTACTTAATAATTATTAATTGAGTTTTGGGTTCACATTGCACTGACTACATTTCGGCATTTTTGTACATATATTTTCATGAAATTCATTATTATTATTCATATTTTGCATAATATTCTTTTTATTATATCTAATGATTCTTATCATTAATAAATGCTTAGTTAAGATAATCATGCTAACACTAATCACTATTATTTTATTAATATAGTTTGTTGACTAATGATGTATATATATTTTTTTTTGTATTAAAACTTGCAGATCTTCAGACAAAAACAGTTCGACCCACAGCAATGAAGTACAACAAATGTCAATTGGATCAGTCGGCAGTCAATCTCCTATGCAACATAGCCTTTCGGTGCATTCTCAACCATCATCTATACCTTTAAATGATCAAAACTTAATCTCGCCTAATCAACAACCCGATACATCACCCCAAACGCCAAGTCATGAGAATAGCGATCAAAAACCTGAAATTCAGAATTTGAAGACATTGGAGGAACAAAGTAAATTAGAAAGTTCTCAGCAAAATCGCGAGAGTTGTGATTCTGCCAAAGTATCACAGAATTTTTCATCGAAGCAATTTGAGAAGGAGAACCAGTCACTTAAACGTCCTGCATTAATGATTCAAGATTGTGAAAATAATACAGAAGAAGATTATTCCTCTAATCAACTACTTTACGATTACTCAACCTGGGATGCATGGTATGAATCATTATTTATTTGGTTTAATTATCAAAATCTACTCTACACTATAAGTTCTCTTAAATACATAATTGCGTGATGAATTTTAAATTTTTTTGGCTCCTCCCCCCTCGTTAAAATTGCATAAAATTTTTAAGGAAATTTCGGCTAAAACTTAATGACTTTCTACCAAGTTGGAATTTGCATTTGTGAAGTATATAATTTCATACAAAAATTAGAATGACCAATTTTCTTCTTCGTTTTGAGTTTCTGATTGTGAAGCCTGTTAAGGGTCCCTAATCACTAGTATATTTATATACATTTAATATTTTTTTTTCCTCTACAGGATGAATCATCCAATAAAACGTTTCAAGTCTGACAATGTTGATCAACATAAATTGAAAAACAAGAATTTAGATTTTAATTTGTATGCAGGACATGATGAATTGACTCTTTCGAATTCAACACAAAACAAGCCAAATTATTTAGCACAAGATATAAAAAGTGAAGTGGAGAGTCTATGGAAAAATTGTGAAGAACAAAAGACTAGCAATAGTGCAAACAATGCAAGTTGTATGAAAGAAAATAAGAGTGAAATAGATAATGACAAAATATCAACAGACAGCTTATTCACCAGTGAAGGTTTACAACCCTCATACGCAGATCTTAACAAGATCTTTGATAACTCTGACGATAATTCTAATGATGATCATGTAAGCTATTTATGATTAATTTTGATGGCTTCAACTCCATATTGATAAATTTTCTTTTCTTATAAGCTCGTTGATAATACACCACCACATTCAAATAAGTCAATGGGATGCCATCCAGATATGGAGCTCTCGGAGAATGAAGCTAAGCGAGACAAGATGACTTTTGGCAGTTTCACTAACATTAATAGTAATGGACAAACCAATATAATAAGTAGTTTAAATAGTAATAACTTAGGCACCTTAGGAATAATTAGAAGTGAGGAGTTATCGAAAATGTTTCCAACCCCACCAAGTATAGAGCAGCATACAAACTCAAGTCCTGGACCAAGCAACGTTTGCGGAAGCGTTACAGATAATTTAATAGAAAATTTAGACACAATAGTTTTACACAAGATGGATTCTTATCCGAATTTTGGTAGTCCACAGGAGGAACCGATTGATGTAAGACTTCTTTTTAATGTTTCTATAAATTTTTTTTTATTTTTTTTCTTGTGTTTCTTCTTTTAGGATTGGTCGTACGTATTTATAGCGCCAAAAACAACAAAAATTGTTGGATCATCAAAATATGCACCTTTAAATAATTTATTAAGTCAGACATTGCCGCCGATTACCCTTCCAAATGAATGCAACTACAAACCTTCGTGGATCAAGCAAAGAGAACAAGAGGAGATACGACGCAAGCAAAAGGATTCAAAACCAGAATTAGTTAATAATAATAATAACATTATCAAGAGAGAGCAACAAAGCAAAGTTTTACTTGTGGATATTAAAAAAGAGATCAAAACAGAGGTGTTAAGTCCATTGGGTAGTTCTATACCATCAAATAGTGCAAAACCGCTAAAAAGTGAAAATACAATTATTAATAAACTTTTATCGCAAGGTCCTACAACACCCTCAAACATGTATCTTAATAATAGAACAATTCATCCTTCTATGGGTTCGCCGAACTTTACATCGTCAGCTCCGTATAATAATAACACCAGTAATATGATGGCATCTGATTCATCATTTAGAAAATCAAATATACCGAGTGTTATAGGACAACAACATTCGCAACCCCCTCCACCATATGATCTTGCGATTCACAGTCCATCTCTCAATTCTAACGTAAGTTCTGTGAATGGCAATGACGATATTAGCAACAATAACAACAAGAGAATCTCAAGCATGAAGTGTGGTGGCACATATATGAAACAAAATAATGCAATGAACTCAACAAATAGCAAAGTTTCTGAAGCAAATTCACTATTAGTCAACATACTTTTATATGATACATCTCTCAATATTTTCCGAGATCACAACTTTGATAGTTGTACAATTTGTGTATGTAATGCAACTCCAAAATGTGTTGGAAACATCCGCGGCTCAGATTCAGGCGTTTATTTATCACTGGCCTCAAATTGTCATTTCAATTTCAATAGCAATTTAACAAATCTTGTTGAAAAGACATTTGAAGTGAAATGCAGTGCACAATCAAATGAGCAACAGAGCGAATCAAGATATTTTGGTAATAGTAGGAATTTTACAAATGTATTTTCCGACGAATCACCTTCGTCGCTAGTTTATTATTCGTCGTCAAGATCAACGAATGTGTCAGCACTGTCATCTCAAAGCAGCAGCAGCAGCAGCAACCACAAAAACAATATCAACACTAGTATATCCACAGATTTAATTCCATCGTTTATGAGTAATGCGCAACAGAATTTAAGTGGATATGCTGACGATGATCCGATATTTTGTCGGTGTGGTTTTAGTGCAGTAATTAATCGAAGACTTGCTTATAAAACAGGCTTATTTTATGAAGACGAAATGGAAATTACCGGCATGGCAAGAGATCCTTCAATCAACAAAAAGCATTCAATACTTAAGTATCTTCTCAAGTTACACAATGAAACCAAATTTGCTCCAAACGGCACCAATGAAAATGATTCCAAGCAAAAGTCAAATGAAACTGACAAGGACGTTCATGAATTAGCCATGTCATTGTTCGACATTGTAAGGGACCAGTGCACATTATTTCAAAATACATCAAATACAATTCAACGTGCAATAAAGCATCTAAATCAGGATAAATATTCACCAATCTTGCCTAATTCGCAAGTCAATGTGTTAGAATTTATAGATGCTCTAGATATTGTTAGTTTGGCATTAGAACAAAGTAAATATATTTTTGAGAAATTTGATGGATATAATAATCGTCAAGTTTATGTGCCCCAACAACATCACAAACAATTGGAAAAGAAAACAACTCCTATACAACATATAATTAGTGTTCATAAATGGCCATATTTAAATGCTGGAGGTCCTAAAAGTAACCAAGATATAATTCGTGTTATGAAATCTATGAAAGTATTACTTCAGAAAGCTTTCAATCAAAATGGTACGACAGGTTTATGGGATGCACCATATGCCGTTCGAGGTCCATTAACGTGGAGAGAATTTCATCGATTAGCTGGACGAGGAATTGGACAATGTGAGCCTCAACCAATTCCATCGATTGTTGTTGGACATGATAAAGAATGGCTTTGTGTGTCACCATATGCATTACAATTTTGGGATAAGTTACTTTTAGAGCCATATTCTTATCCTCGTGATATTGCATATATTGTGATATCTCCAGATAATGATTTTATTGTATCGAAAGTAAAGGCATTCTTTAAAGAACTAAGTACAACTTATGAAATGTGTCGTCTAGGAAAACATCAGCCAGTAAAAGGATGGGAGGGAATATTAAAAGTAGGAAAATCAACATATGAAACTAAGCACGATGAAAGTCAAAATGAGAATATTGAGAGTGAAGATGATTGGTTATTTTCAATTGACAGCAATAAGAAGTTAAATGGAATAATGAAGATGTATGATGCAGCTTTTCAACAACATTTGGTGCCTTATCTATCGAAAATTCCTCATGACAAGACCTTACTCAATCCACCCGAAAGCTTCTATAATTACAAAGATCATCACCATAATAATAATAGTCATCATCAAAGGACTTCTTCACTTCCAAGTCCAATGCTACCACCACCACATACGCCAGAATCTAATAATATGTCATCTGGCAGCTTAAATTCAAGTATTACGTGCGATAAAGGTCCAAACACACCCAAGTCAGACAATGATTCGGAATCTAAGGAAAATCTCAATTCATCATCATCAAATAATGATCTCAACAATCAATCAGATCAATTAAACCCACCACATATTGTTTTATACATCATAGAGCCAGCTACAAATGGAACAGATTCAACAAATCTTGAAAGAGTAGTGAGCCTTTCAATTTTAAAGCACTATTTGAACGTTCTCAATTCAATTCCGGAATCAATAAAAGCCAATATAAGTTTTCAAATTATAGCCCAAGAAAGTATATTAGAATTAGGAAAGAACCGAGATGTTAACCGATGGAGTGATCATATGCGTAATTTAGCACTGAGTGTATTCACCCAATCATATCGATATCTATCACATACAAATAATGTCAAGAGTCTTACGGGATTCGGAACAGCAGCCGTAGCAGAAGCTTTTTTGAAGACTAAAGATGAAAAGAATCGTACTCCTTTAAAACTATATACACCGCCCTATATACTGTCAACAAGGCACGCTAAAAGCGAAAATGTTGAAAACTTTGGACAATCTATCATTGAGCAACAATGTACGAGCATTATGTACTGTTGTTATTGCTTATCAGAGGATCAAAGCTTATTACTTGCCGTCATCACCGACGAGCGTGGTGAATTTTTAGAAAATTGTGCTATTAATATTGATATTCCAAATCGAAAAAGAAGAAGAAAGACATCTGCGCGAAGGGTCGGATTGAAAAAGCTAATGGACTTTATATTAGGAATAATGTCTCAATCTGTCAAATCTTGGAGGCTTATAATAGGGCGCATAGGAAGAATTGGTCATGGCGAGTTGAAAGGATGGTCGTGGCTCCTTAGTAAACCAAATTTAGTCAAAGCATCAAAGTACTTAAAAGATATCTGTAAACAATGTTCGGTATTGTATCCGCAAGCAGTTCCAAGTATTTGGAGTGCTTGTCTCGTTACGCTCGAGCCTGACTCTAATTTCCGCGTAATGCCAGATCAATTTACTCCAGATGAAAGATTTAGTCAAAGATCTACACAATCTCCACTATCCACGCCTCAAGATGTTACATGTACGCACATCCTCGTCTTTCCTACGAGTGCCATTTCTCAGGTGAGCTTTAATTTTTGACAATTTTAAAACATAGCTAATTATTTTGTTCAATTTTAGTCTTCACAAACAGCTTTTCAAGAACAACATTTGGAAAACGCATTAGATTTTGGCGAAGATCTAATGATGATCGATGACACAGATGATGTTGATGAAGATATTAACGGTATTCAACATTTGTTTGATGAGTGCTGGAATGATAGTAAGTTTGCAACATTTATTTTTTTTGCATTTTTGAAAACTTGTTTTTAAAATGTAGCTTAATAATAAACTTTGTTCGTCATAAAATTTGGAAAATACAGCATGTAATGAGTTTAAATGTTTCTACGGGTATATTTTGCTGTTTCATTTGCCTTAACTTGCTAATCAAATACTGATCGCTGCGTCAAAAATGCGCTAGTCTTTCGATCAATAACTCGAGGACTTTTGTAATTTTTTTTTTGTCACAACAAGAACATATGTTAATAATTAAATTATTTTATAATTAGGTGCTGTTGGCATACCTCAAACAAGTCCGACGAGAGATTCTCATCGTGGAAGTCCAATTGCAATGGATGAGAATAAGAGTAGGCAAAGTCCAGGAATGACTGAACAGTCTGGATCTTCAAGAGCGTTATATTCAATGCAGGAACAAGAAGAGGTAATGATTACTATTTATTTGGCAATAGAACTATTCAGAATTAAACATTATTAAATAATTTATTAGGTTGGAACACTATTGCAACAGCCATTGGCATTGGGATATTTAGTATCAACAGCACCAACAGGACGTATGCCTTCATGGTTTTGGGCTTCTTGCCCACATTTGGAGAACGTTTGTCCAGTATTTCTGAAAACTGCTCTACATCTACACTCACCATCGATTCATAAGGAAAATGATGATATCTATTTCAAGGAACAATCATCGAAAATGGAACATCCACTAGATTCAAATATTACGGCAGACGTGCTAAGATATGTACTAGAAGGTTACAATGTACTTTCATGGCTTGCAATGGATTCAAATACTCACGATCGACTTTCTTGCTTACCAATACATGTACAAATGTTAATGCAACTTTATCATTTACATACGGCTCTAGCTTAGAAAGTCAGTCACCATAACTTTAACTGTATAAAGTTTGGAGAATGAACTAAAGACGGAATGGAAAGAAACTACCTTAAATAGCATACTTGTTATGCTTTGTCTTATATGTTGTGAGCATACAAAATCTGAATTACTGATTGCTCTTGTCTCATTGTGACTTATAATTTCTCTTTTGAAGAAGTTAAAGGAAGCGAAAAAAAAGAATATAATAGAAAGGAATAATAATGCTGAAAAGAGAAAATCTGAAAATCTGTGATAATTAGAGATTTTGAAGTTTACTTAAACTTACAAAAACAAAAAAAAAGAAAAGTGGGAAAAAATCTCTTGTATTTTACTACTCTCAATTTTAAAGTATGTATATAAAAATACATAAATGCAGGTTTCAAATCATAATTATCAAGAAAAAAATAAGTAAACTAAATAATATCATTGTAGTTGAATCTTCCTCTTGACATTTTTTAAACATTTTATATCACACAAACAATTATTGAGATTAAATGTGAAGTTTAAAATTTTTTTTTTGTTAATGTCGTCCTTTTCGAATTTTTTTTTCCAAATAAAACAGTGCAAATAAAAACCAAGATTTTCTTTTATAAGTAAATTAATATGAAATAAAAACTGGTAATTAGGTAATTTTTCTCATTAGGAAAGTTTTTTTCTATTAAATTATCCTCTTCTTTGAGAATCGAAGAGACGACATGTTTTAATTTAATTAAAATGCAAAAAACAAACCCTTTGTAAATAGACAGGAATAGAAAATTTGTATTTAAATTAATATAAATTATTTTAATTGACAAAGTATTAAATAATAAAAGGTATTATATGAAAACAAAAAGGAATAGCTTATTTTTGATCAGAAAGAAACTAGTAAAGCATAATAATTCAGAATCGTTTATTCATCTCAAAATCTACATCAAAAAATTATTCAATTCCAAAAAGTATAATTTGAATGTATATAGCTACAATCAAGATCCCTAATTTAATGTTATTCCCATGCAATTTGCATAAAAAGTCTCTATTCACAAACAGAAAATCAAAACGAAGAAAAAATTTTTAAGTTCAAAGTTCGAACCCTATAATTTTTATTTCTATTCTAATATCCAAAATTATGCTTGGAATAGCTTTACAATCTTTCCTAATGACAAAAACATAGTTGGAATCAAGAATTGTGAAAGAGTTTTAACTTTTGTGTAAAATTACATGCTTCACAATTTAAGAAAGTTTATAAAAACGCATAATGCAATCACGCACTCAGCATTTAAGAAAACTTTAGCAGAGATAATTTGTTCAAATGTGGAGCAAAAATTTTTCAGACTACCCTTGTCGTAAAATTTATATTGCCCTTAAGAACAACAATTTAGACTTTTTCGAAAGTATCATCCAGTCAAAGTGAAACAATTAGTGCTGAAAACAAATTTGAATGCTTTTAAAAGGTTTCAAATCAAATTAATTTATTTAGTGCATTATTTAAATTTTAAAAAATATAAAAAAGTAGGATTTTTTTTTTCGTCTATTCAGGTCAATAATTATAAAGTTTTTTTTTTAAATGTCATATAAAAATATCCACAAAATCACAATCGTTGAGTGCATCAAACACTATAGTCATAAAATGATGAGTTTAATTGTGCGTTTCTAAAACTCGAAGTTCTTCTTATCTAGAGAAAATTGTAAATAAATGTAGATTTGAGATATTAAAGTATTTAAGGTATGTTTTGAAATGCACATTAAAAGCTTTGTGACACACAACATGCAAAAGCTTTGATGATGTTGGAATGCTTATTAGTATTTTTGTATTGCAGAAAATGAACTGAAAGCTTTAAATTAGAGCTTTTTTGTTGAACGTGATGTGTAAACTCGTTTTAAAAAATTAAAATCTTAAAAGCTATGGAAGGAATGGAATTGCCAAACATTTTTAAGGATTCTATTCTAAACAAATTTAAAAAATTGAATGATTATGAATTATTATACTAAACTGTTGTTACAGATTGTTGTTGTATGCTGAAAAAGCTTTCATTGCTACATCCAGAAAGTTGATCATTTCTGATTTTTACAATACATGATCCTGCTCTCGGAAAATTTAAAGGCTTCAGTGCTTCTATTTGATTCTTTTCAGGATCATATCGTTCAACAGATTTTGAATATTCCGTTCCATTAAATCCACCAACGGCTAAAATGTAATTTCCTAAAACTCCAACGCCAATTGAATCACGTCCTACTTCGAGATTAGCAATTAATGTCCAAGTATCAGTAATTGGGTCATATCTTTCAATAGAATTGGTTCGTTGGCACTGAGGATTAGAAACTGGAAGATCGTAACCTCCGAATACATAAATAAAATTCCTGTGTGCACATGCAGCAACTCCTCCTCTCCGACGATTCATTGGTGCCTTAAATGAAAACTTATTCAAGTGTGGATCATAACATTCAACAGTTCGATGGCAAATTGAAGATTCTCGTCCTCCGATAACATAAAGTTTCTCGTCATAAACAGCCACGCCACATGTAGATCTCATTGTTTGCATCGGTGCAACAAATGACCAAGTTTTCGTAGTCAAATCTAATCGTTCCACAGTATTTATATACGACCAACCTAATTTGATTTGATTTACACAAAAAATTTCTTTAATTAATTTAACTAATGCTTACCATCATGTCCTCCTATTGCGTAAAGTGCATTTTTTAATAAAGCCACTGCCAAACCATGACGACTAGTTGCCATTGGTGATGAAAGTGATGTAAAATTCATTGTTTGTAGATCTACGGCATCAACCGAGTTTAATGTCTTCAAACCATCTCTTCCACCAACTATAATCAGCTTGTCCATGTAGAGCGCACAGCCGAATTGGAGTCTCCTAAGAAAAGTTGAATATTAGCGACAATTGTTAAATTGTAACGTATTTTAAGAACTCGCCTAGTTGGCATGCTTTTCAAAAGTTCCCATTTGTTTTCCCTCAGATCATATGATTCGATATTAGTTGTTCCTTTATTGTGATCCATTCCGCCCAGACAAAGGAGCTTTCCAACAGTTGATTTTCGAGGAATAGAAAGATTATTGGAATGGTCTCTTCTTTCAGGAATCAACTTATATTTGTAAGCATCAAGTAACATTTTTTGAGTTTCTAAAGTCGTACAATACGTCTCTACTTGATCAGCAATAAAAGCTGGAGATAAAAGTTGAAGCTTAACTAATGGAAGGAGTGTTGAGATATATTGCTTTCGATCATCAGTAAAACTTATCCACTTAATTAGAGCCTTGAAAACGTCTTCTTCAGATATCACATTAATGTCATTGTTTTTTAACAAATTGCCCAATTGCTCGACACTTAATTGTAAAAATTCTTCAGATTTTTGATAAATTTCCATGAAATTACTTTCGACAAACTTTAGGGATATCTCGTAAAGATCAGAACAGCTCTGCTGCTCTGCAAACACTTTAAATCCGATAGCATTCGAGAAGTGTAGTTGCTTTCCAAGAAAATTAGAGCATGCACTTACAACATTTGACATCTGGAAGCGACATGCAGTAGATAAAATTCTTTCGACGTTGTCTTCATTTATATTGATTAATCCACAATAACAATAATTTATCAAAAGCTGTAATGTCTCTCCGTCTACTTCATTAATTGTGACTTCTTTTTCTCTGTTTTCCTTCATATCTGAATTAAACATTGCATTGAAGAAGGGACTACATACCGAAAGAACAATTTTATGGGCCGGAATTCTAAAAAGAATAAATTATTATTCTGAGTAAAACAAAAATAGGAACAGATTAAAACAAAGAAATTGAAATGAAGGAAGTGAATAACTCTTGTAAGGAATGTAACTTGGAATGCTGCCAAAATATCTGGTTTTTCCATAACAAAAAACATATGTTCCCTTTAATAAAGATTAAATTACACGAGAGCATTAGACTTACTTCTTATTATCTACACCAGATACTATTATTGTGTCAATTAAATGTCCAGATTCGAGCGCCTGATGAAGTGAAGCCAAAAACTCCTGAGGAAAATCAAGGTTCTTGAAGAAATCATCGGATGTGATTGCCAAAGATGAGATTGAATTTATACTATTTATAAAATTAAACAGATTATATTACATTATTAATAAAGCAATGATAATTGTTGCGACTGGAAATCGCAGGACCGTGAATTCTAGTTGGTTCTACACTGATTTCCATTATTCAGAATCATTAGTCCAATTAATTAATTTATAAGCTTCTTCTTACGCAGTAAAAATTAAAAACATAAGTAATCATAAACAAAATTTATTTACCTTAAATATAAAGATTCACGGGAATCGTCAGGAGAGTTATTGGACATCTTTTTAATGATTCTGAACACGTCTTAAGTCTTAATATGATCCTTTGGACTGAAAAAACAGTTTGAAATAAAGAAATTACTTAAATTACATTTTTAATAAAAATGAACAAAAATAAAGTTTTGCAAACAAAAGGAATCAGTAATGAAGTAAGTGAGTATACGATTCAAGAACGCTTTTTCCTACCTTAATGATCCTCAAAAAATCCTATTAGACTAAAACATATATGGGGCCGTTCACTTATTACGTTACGCAAAAAAACGACTTTTTTCACCCCCCCCCCTCCCCCTTGTTACAATATGTTACAACACACAACCCCCCCCCCCCCCTGAACGTTCATAATTTATTTTATTTTGATAATTTTTTATTCTAAAAAGACGGTTAAAGTTCTTTTGTATTTTTTTTCTTAAACTTCAAAATACTGTACAGCTTAATAGGTCGTGTTTTGATTGATACTATTAGCATTCTCATGAATTATTGGATTGAGATATAAAGCAAAAATTTGTTTTTTTTTTGAAGAAAATTCAAAAATGTCATGAAAAATATTATGCCCGATCGAATTTTGGAAAATTTAATCAACTTTGAATGTAAATATCACAAGGATGGGATCATATTAATCATCATTTGAATGACAGATTTAGAGAGATTTACTTTTAAACTTATGATTGATTTAATTTTGAAAATTTCCATGATTGTATTTTAAAGTCTTGTAAGCCAGTTTTCTATTGATTTGTTACTTTATATAACAAAAACTATGTATTGCCTAGCTATCAAAAGTGATCTAGACATTCATAAATCATTAAAAAGGTGGAAAATTTAAAAAAATGTTTTTGATGTGAATTTGTTAACAAATTTTAAAAGACAGACGACAATTAGAACGTTACATACTTCTTGACCCCCCCCCCCCCCTTGTTACATTTTGTTACATACTTCTTGACCCCTCCCCCCTTGTTACAATTTTTCAACCCCCCCCTAAAGTGCGAACGTAATAAGTGAACGGCCCCTTTAGCCTCTTAGACTTTTCCACGTTTGTAAGTGATGGAAATATTTTCAAGATTCCAATGATTTTTGTGACTAATACAGTGGAATAGACAGACAAAATGAAGACATATCTAGAATATCTACGAAAAATTTACCATAAATTTTACAAACAAAAGGCACAGTTTAAGATCCATGATGTATAAAATTACATACTTTTTACCACATTATTCTCCACTCTTTTGCTACCAAACAGTTGAGTATAGCCTGACTGATTAGCTGTTGATAAGAGGAACAAAGCTTAATATAATGTAAACATGAAAATTAACAAAGATCAATAACAAAATTCGCGTAAAAAATAAAGAGTTCAAAATTTGAACTATAAATAAAAACTTGAGAGTGATATCAGCGATTTTTTGTTATACACAATTTAATAATTTTCTGAAAAAATATGAGTTCTATTGGAACAGGAGTAAGTAAAGTTATTTAATTATGTTAATTACAGTTTATATTAATCATTTATTTATAGTATGACTTAAGTGCAAGTCAATTTTCACCTGATGGACGAGTTTTTCAGTGCGAATATGCAATGAAAGCCGCAGAAATGTCAGGAACAGCAATTGGATTGCGGGGTAAAGATGGATGTGTATTGGCTGTTGAAAAAGTGATTACTAGTAAATTGCATGAGCCTGATTCTGGCCGTAGAATTTATACAATTGAGAATTCTATTGGAATGGTAAGAATTTGTTGTTGAGGTTACTTACAAAATAATGACAATCCAAAAATTATTTCGTATTGTAATGTTTGTTTTTATGCTACATATATTTACAGGTAGTATGCGGCTTAATAACTGACGGACGAGCTGTGGTAAATTATGCATTGAAAGAGGCACAAAGTTATCGTCGACAATATGGTCAAACAATTCCCTTAAAGATCTTGAATGAACGACTTTCGAGTCTATTTCATGCCTATACTTTATATAGTGCTGTACGTCCGTATGGCGTCTGTATTATTCTCACAACTTGGACTGAAGAAAATGGCTCAGAAATTTATTCTATCGAACCATCAGGTGTTTCATTTGGATATTATGGATGTGCTGCCGGCAAAACAAAGCAAGGAGCCAGAACTGAAATCGAAAAGTTAAAGTTGAGCTCATTGTCTGCTCGAGAATTGCTGAATGAAGGAGCAAAAATCATTTATCGTGTTAACGAGGATTCAAGTGATAGTGACACAAAATTCAAGCTAGAACTTTCTTGGGTTGGCAAGGATACAAATGGAATTCATCAGATGTGTCCAGTCAATTTATATGAAGAAGCTAAAGCTGCAGCTTCAGCCGCAATGGAACAAGGAGATAGCGATATTGAATAAATTTTCCTGAAATTCATTTGTATTACTCTAAAATTTACTTTTTATTAATAATAAAAACTTATGTTTAACATGAAGCATAATCTTGTTCCACTTTGTACTTATTTACTTTCTGTGTCCATCTATGTCAAACTTAATGGATTTTGAATTTTCCCGCAGTTTAAAATGTATAGAAAATATTTAAACTTTTCAATTTCACAAAGTCTTATTGCGTTTAGTTTATATATTATGTTTGGGAAAACTCTATGTAAGCCAGCATAATTTTACCGGAAAAGCAATTGAAAAAAAAAACATCCAAGCTATGAAGAGGGTTCGAAAGTTTCGGTGAGAGCTCTGCCAACGAGATGCAAGAAATTTTCTAAAAAGTATCGAAAAAAATTAATTTTTGATAGTATCATATCAGGGATTATTGGAAATTATGGCTTCTAAAGGTGGCTTTGTTCCGCAAGGGACAGATGGAACAGATTTTTTGCATAGACAGCGCGTTGCTGAACATTATCAAAAAAGGTGAAAATTGTTACTATTTTTAATCAGACAGGATAGATTTTCTGTACTACATACTTATTACATTTTGAGTGATTCCTTTCAATCTTTTCGTGCATACATAACTATGAGATTCAACAAATGTTTTATGATGCTTAATAAGTCTTCATAAATAGTTTGTTTTTAGCTCAATTAATCATGATTATTCATTGAAGGAACGTCTTGTTCTGCATTTATTCACTTCTTCTATTTTAGCTAATTGAAATTATTGTTTTCTTTTCTCTTTCTAAAAACCTTTTTTTTTATTATGCTGTACAGTGCTCTCAACAAATCTCGCCTGAAATTCTGTATATTTTTTCACTACCTACTGTTTTTCGTAATGATTGCAAAGTTATCGGCTGACATACTTGATAAGCTTGACATATTCATTTTGGAAATTGAAGAATTGAGAGTCCCAAAGCCCCTGTGGTAAAATTAAACACTTATGAGTATCCTCTTTAGATTTCACATTTACCCTTTTCATTGTAGGTTTGAATATATTTGGTGTGTATCAGTAGTTTTATCGTTTATAGGATTGTCAGCTGTACGTTCAAATAATGTCTTAAATATGCAAAAGTATATGATTGGAGTTGTGGTTTTCGGTCTATTTCCTGTTTTTTACTGTATTTTACACTATATGAATGATGTCATTGATTATATTCAGCTGGAAGATGACACTGACGTTGAAGACACTGAAATTAAAGTGTGGCAGGTAACATTTAATTTTTTTTTTGTGGTCCAAAGCATGTATCCAAAATCTAATGTTATTATTTTCTCCTAGAATCTCCCATATGGACTTCTATGGTACGGTTTTGCATTTGCTGCTATTCAGGTTCACGGATTCTCACTAGTTTTTGCATGGAATTTGACGAGTGCATGGAAATCCAGAGGATCAAAGAAAACTCAATAAATCATAGGAAAATTCAAAAATTCTTGTAACAAATCTTTGATGTATATCGACATAGTTTTTTGGTCTACTTTTTGATCTAAACGATCTTCATCCTAAGACAATAAGTTTACAGTTCATTTATAATTTCTTTATTATGCTGTCCCTTTCATTCATTTGTAAAACAGTGCTTAATTTACTTAACAATCTTATGAGTATAGATGAATTTTACTGCAATTTGTTAAGAAACAATTCATACATGACAGACGTTCTGCGGGATAAACGAATTTCAATGGTGTTTTAAAGCGAGTGAGATGTAATAAATTTAAATTATATAAAAAAAAAAACAGATTCTACAATATTCAATCACGTTTTTATTAAATAATTTCTATATTTCTATATAAATATTGGTTGTCAAAGAATTGAAGCTAGAGACAGAATAAGCGTTGAGCATAGTCGAAATAACTTATAAGTTTTGTTATATTTTATTAAATATCAACGAAATCAAATAATATTAAAAATTCAATTAATTAAGGTATAGTTAACAGGATCCATATTCAGCCATCCAGTCTTCAAACTTCTTAATGTCTGCTTCTGATACTGACTTTTTAGTCTTACTAATTGCCTCATTAAAGTCTTCAGCGGTTACAGGAAGATCCACTTCTTCACGTTTAATCATTTTAATCTCTGCGGGGGTTTTACCAATTATTTTTCTTCGCATTGCCATAAGAGCAGCATCTCTGAAAAAAAAATAATTTTGCTTTATTTTTTTAATCTTTGGATCCCACAGTTTATATTTACCGCGCTACGCTCGCAATGTCGGCACACGAATATCCTTTAAGGCAATCAGCAATTTTACTGATATCCAAACTTGTACATTTCGAGATATTTTTTAAATACAGGTTTAATAATGATAATCGACTTTCCTCATCCGGAAGACTTACATAAACTCTCTTTTCAAATCGTCTTCTAAATGCCTGATCAATTCGATATGGATGATTTGTGGCAGCTAAAACCATTACCTTGATATCCTCTTCATTATTGATATTATTTAATCCATCCATTTGGATCAAGAGCTATTCAAATAAATCACTTATTTTAATATGTTGTGCCATGCCTTTACAAATTCAAACAAACCTCAGCTTTAAATCGTCGAGATGCTTCATGTTCAGAATCTTCTCTGCTTGATGAACATAAACTGTCAATTTCGTCAATAAAAATTGTTGACGGTGCATGAAATCTAGCCATTTCGAAGAGTAATCTTACAAGTTTCTCTGAATCGCCACGATATTTACTCGTTAATGTGCTAGACGAAATGTTGAAAAATGTTGTGTTGCATTCGGTTGCAACAGCTTTTGCCAACATTGTTTTTCCAGTTCCTGTGAACAAACTTTTGCTTTTTAGAAATATATTTCCTTAACATATGAGCATACCAACATTACCTGGAGGACCAACGAGAAGTATGCCTTTCCAAGGTCTTCGGATTCCTTTAAAGAATTCAGGCATTATAATAGGCAAAACGACAGCCTCTTGAAGAATACTTTTTGCATCTGATAATCCAGCAATGTCATTCCATTGAATTTTCGGACCTTTTTGAAGGATATCCTTTTCAATAACGTCAATAAGACTCGCCTCGTAACCTATCGTATGAAAGACTTTTTGTTTTCCGCTCACCTTCTTCATAGGGGATTTTCTCATTTGTTTCGGTGACGACGAGCTATTTGTGTTTGAGTTTTCTTCTAAAGAATTTTCTTGATCATCTGAATTTCCTTCCTCTGAAGATGACTTTTTGGGGTCTTTCGGATGCTTTGATGAAGACAGTTTCCTTAAAGCTCTTAACCTCTCGACTGATCTTGACTTTCTAAAAGCTGATTTCATATTAGACGAACGATGTTTTTTCGGTTCATTTGTGTATGAAATACTGTTAACAGAACTCGAATGACTGTTAATGGAAGGCAAAGTTGGTTGCAACTCAGGGTCATGCCTTCTAAGCGAACTTCTCCAACGATTATCTTGAGGATTTGCTTGTCGCATGATAGGTGCGACTTCTAATTTAAAAGAAGAAGAAACGAATCAATTAAGATATGGATATGAGCTAAGATCCTGATATGAATAAATATACAAAAAAATATAGTCACGCAACTTTAATTTGTATGAAGGTGAAAAATGAGACTGGAATATATTGAAGCATGTGTTAAAAGCGCATTCATTGATCTCAGACCTTAATTATCGTTATTTTTTTTTGTTTTTAAATTAGGAACCAACTAGAGAACAATTTGAGCTGAATCTGAGCTTAAAATTATTTTATCTTCCTTTATTATAAATCATCTTACTCCAAGCACCTTAGAATTTAGATGTCATAAGAAAATTACTGGCCACGTGTAAAAGTTTCAATGCTTCTTTTACTTTCATTATTCAAAACCCGTCAATTAAACTTCCACAAGTCTTTCATATTAAAAAGATTGCTTATCACAGATAAGACACTAACAGCCGCAATAAAACAAGCATAAATTAGGAAAAACATATTCACGCACCAATTCCTTAAAAAGGAAACAAAAAAAAATTGTGCGGAAACATCCTTCCCATTTTCTCATTTTTAAAACAACATGCCACAATTATTTTACTGACGAAAATCGTGTCCATTCTTTAGCATTATTAAAAGAAAGAAAATAAAAACCCTGACGAATATGAACATGTTGCTATGTGAGTAGAAAAACTAGTAATGAAGCCGATCACGCTTCACGGGAATATTCACACAATCCTATAGAACTCTCTATGTATTGTTCAGAAAATCTTTAAAAATCTTCTCTCAATAAAATGTAAGACTTAATATCAACATTTTGCTGAACTTGAAAACAAGATCCAGTAAAGTTTTAATAATTTCTGCAACAAATTATCATGATTCAGTAAAGTTTTAAGCATGTCTGAAACTTAAAACCAAGATCCAGTGAAGTTTTAATCATGCCTGAAGCTTGAAAACAAGATCCAGTAAAGGTTTAATCATGTCTGAAACTATAAACCTAGATCCAGTAAAGTTTTAATCATGTCTGAAGCTTGAAAACAAGACCCAGTAAAGTTTTAATCATATCTGAAACAATAAACCAAGATCCAGTTAAGTTTTAATCATGTCTGAAGCTTGAAAACAAGATCCAGTAAAAGTTTAATCATGTCTGAAACTTGGAACCAAGATCCAGTAAAGTTTCAATCATGTCTGAAACTTAAAACCAAGATCCAGTTAAGTTTCAATCATGTCTGAAACTTGGAACCAAGATCCAGTAAAGTTTTGATCATGTCTGCAGCAAATTACAATGATCCAGTTAAGTTTTAAGCATATCTGAAACTTGGAACCAAGATCCAGTAAAGTTTCAATCATGTCTGAAACTTAAAACCAAGATCCAGTTAAGTTTCAATCATGTCTGCACCAAATTACCAAGATCCAGTAAAGTTTTAATCATGTCTGAAGCTTGAAAACAAGATCCAGTAAAGGTTTAATCATGTCTGCAATTCAGTAAAGTTTGAAGCATGTCTAAAACTTGGAACAAAGGTGCAGTAAAGTTTAAATCATGTCTGAAACTTGAAACCATGATCCATTAAAATTAGAGAAAAAGTTCTAAGTGGGCTTTGACAATTACAATTTCAATTTTATAATTAAGAAATAAGAAAAAGTTCTTAGTGAACTTTGAAATTTTGTTGAAAGTGAAAGATCATTGTGAAAAATTGATTAAATAATTTAATTTGTCAAAAATTTAATACAGTCCACTTGAAAAATTGAAATTGAAATTGTGCTATCGTTGGAACCAAGATCCAGTAAGTATACAGCAAGAAAAAAATCAATGCTGGAACCAAAAACATATTTCCATTATGATACAAGTAAAGTATGTATTCAATAACATAGATCCAGTAAGCAGAATCTTGTGAAGGAACTCGCTAGTTCCAACATTTTTCCACATACATTTAACTTAATGCATACTGTCACAACCATTTTATTAATATCAAACTACTACCAACAAATATTTCCGTTGTAAACAAAAAATTAATATGTTATGTAATAATCGGTTAAACTTTTCCCATACAAAAATGTTTATGCATCTTTTGCCTCACTGGAAGCATCTTATGACTCCAAAAACAATACAGTTTTTACGATAGCTATTATCTATCAGAAGCAAAAAACCGGAAGTCTTAATATTGAGTTTGAATCGAGTTTTTATATATCGAGAACTGGAACTGCCAAATGAAAAATTGTTTTCACCATTAGATAGGTATTTCGAGGCACAAAATTTTACAGATCAGGTATTTGGGTTGATTCCGTAAGCCTGAAGCAGAAAGTTAAAAAAACTACCTCAATCTAGAAATCCCTAAAATGCAGCTACCCTAATATGCAGATAGTACTGCCAAGATGCAGATGGTACTGCTAAAGTGCAGATGAAATTTATTTTCCCTAAAATGCAGATGAAATGCTGTTAATTTAAAAAAGGTATAATGCAAATGATTTTTATCGTATAAATTGCAGATAAGATGCTGCCCAAATGTAGATCGTATAATTTTATTAAAATACATCATATTCGATGACTTTTTTCTTGATAAGTGTTAATAAAAAAAAAAATTCCATACAAATTTTCACCTTCAAGTGATTTAAAATCCCAAAATAAATCCCCATACAAAATGATTTAAATCATAAATCAAAAATAAGTTACTTGGGAAAGATGATTTAAATCCCCTCCATGCTAATTACATCAAAATTTCGTGTGGCAAAGTAATTTAAAGTTATAAAGTTTGCAATATATTCAAAAATGCATTTTTGTTTTCCTAAACTTTTTTAATAACATCAACTAGTGTATCGGGTAGAAACCCAATGCGGATATATTCGCACCGTACCATCAAAAGTCTTGTGGAAAGACCAAGCTTAGCTCAGTATTAATTTGAAAGTATAAATCTTTACGAACCAGCTGTTTGGAGGTTTAAAGCTTAACGAGCATTCTTTAAAGTTTTTTAAGAACATTTTTCATCCAAAGTTTAATTTTATAAAAATCACAGTAAACTTTTGTTTTAAAAAATTCGTAAGAAAGGAAAGTTTTTTGCTTTTTCTGAAGCAACGACTGTTCCTACCTTGCCCCAAAACTATACAGCTACTCTATAGAGCAGCACGGATCAAATGTAAAAAACTAGAAGTCTCTACGATGTCTCGTTATTAAGATTACTTGCTGATTAACTTGCTTGCTTGCTTGTTTGCTTACAGAAAGCGTATTTTGCGATTTTCTCAGCAATGCCACAACCAATTTGAAATCTGTTTTTGAAAATGATGTAAAATTTCAGGCACAAACTTTACTTCTGAGACTTTTTATAACCAATTTTGCTTCGTTTTCTCACAAAATGCGAAAAACTGATGTTTCCATTTGAACAAAATCAATAGATTCACACGTGAAAACGGTGTGAATTTAAAAAATACATTTGTAGATATATCAATGAAAGCTGACAAAGTTTTAACAAAATTCACACCTTAACTTTAGGAAGTAAGTTCTATGTCAAAAGAAAGCAATTTTTATTTTTTACAAGATATAATAACTTTGAAATTTGTCACTATTGTGGTTTCGGAGATATTTAAGAAACCAAAGCGTCACTCACGAATAATTTTTTTGTTCGTCGGGGCCCAAAAAATTAATATCCAATGTTAAATTATCTACATTATACGACATTTCATCTTTATTTTAATAAAATTATACGATCTACATTTGGGCAGCATCTTATCTGCACTTTATAAGATAAAAATCATCTGCATTATACCTTTTTTAAAGCAACAGCATTTCATCTGCATTTTAGGGAAAATAAATTGCATCTGCACTTTAGCAGTACCATCTGCATCTTGGCAGTACTATCTGCATATTAGGGTAGCTGAATTTTAGGGATTTCAAGATTGAGGTAAAAAAACTGATTTTCCGAAAAACCAAAAACAATAAAGTCACAAAAATTGAAAATTTTGTGTGAATATGAAAATTATAATGACCACAAAGCTTTATAAATTCTCAACTAAAGTAAAAGAAAAGTGAAAAAATTACAGTCAACGTATGATTTTCAAGAGGCGATAAGTAGTTGACCTGAATTCTTTGTAAAAATTCAGTTGGTATACTTTATGAGAAAAACTTTGACTCAATTAGTTCTAATGCAACATGAAAATGTTTCAATATCCTTGAGACGATGTAAATTTGGTCAAAGAAATTTTAACATACATGCATGGATATATGTGAAGGACGAAGCAAAAGAAAGGGTGCATGAAATGATGATAAATCATAAACAAGTACCTTGAGTTGGAATTTTCTTATGTATGTTATTTGTGCTGCTAAACTGTGAACGTATCGTTGAAGATCCATTGTTATTTGATTGAAGATTTGTTGAACTTGTTGCTTTTTTCACGGGTCGGTGTGTTGTGATTTTTGTTAGCGTATAAGGAGTTGATAAGCTGTCTAATATGAGAGAGTCCATCATTCGAGCCATTTGTGAGAATCCATTTGCTGGTGCACTGCTAAATGAAGAACAAACATGATGGAGAAGATTAATTACCCTAATATTATGAAGTTATTAGGTACGGTTAAAAGACTTCTAAGAATTTCAGATAGCCTACTTTCATTTCATATTCTTTTTTCACGCATTTCCTTTTTGTAAGTGGAATATGTACTAGGATGTAGTTCATATACTATAAACACTTTAATTTTATGAATGAAGTGTATTAACCCAAATATGAATATTGTAATAGAATTTTTTTTTTTTTATTATTCACTGCCTACATAAAGCCAAATGAAGCTAAACTTGTTAATCATTTGACCCAATATTTTGACATTTGTGTATTAGTACTAATGAATTAAGTTCTAGGATATAAGGGCATAAAAGAAGAAAGATTTCTAGGTCGTACATATTTGATTGTAATTAAATCATAACAAACAGTTTTAGATATTTTCGTCCGTGCACATCATAACTTACAAAAGGAAAAAATGTAAAGTTCTATATTCCATTAAAAGCACTAGGAGTGATTATGGTAAAAAGGGGTGAACGTCCGATGAAACAATAACAAAAAGTAGAGTAATATGAGCAAGTAGACAGGTAAATAGAAAAATTATTTTAAGATATATAGACCAACTGTCGATCAATATGTGATGCATATATTAATGACATTTTTCTTATTCTTGATGGACTTGAAAAATTCAGTATGTCAAGAATCAACTTTACCATTGATGTAGATTCCATAAAGAATGGTGAAAAGGAGCGTGTCTTATTATTGGAACCGGCATGGAAACTTCGTATTCGACGTGACAATCGTTATTACGGTGATTATTGACGTTTGAATTTGAGACACTTCTGTGAATTTTTTGATTATTATTTTGAAATCCAATTTGAGTTTGCTGATGATGTGATGCAGTACTGGTATTTCCAACAAAATAGTTTTGATCATACATTCTGATTTTTTTTTAATTGGGTATTTTCACTTATTAATCACTATCATGCTTCCGAAAAAATATTTCAACGTCTTAACACAAGGAGCGAATATAAAACACTAAAGCAGGACTAAAGAACTGACCAACATTTTTTCCGTTCAAAGTGGCGTAACGTTTTCAGGCCATATTTTTTCTTCTTCTATTAATTTTTCGGTAGCATTTTGTGTTGTGTGGTTTTATGATTGCATGTTGAAATAAAATATCAAAAGCAATTTAAACGAAGGAGTCACCAACACATAAGAGCAAATTCTTTTTGTAATTTTCAACAAACAGCTTCAATTTTAGCACTTTCTTACACTTGAATGTCTACTTTAGATATGAGCATCTTGTTAAATTATCCAAATAGAATATTTATAGAAATATAAAAGTTAATGGACTATTATAAAGGAAGAACGAACTTAATTCATCAACTGTACTAAATTATGTGAGTTCACGAACGAGTTTTAAAAGTGCGGAAGTAATAAACATTCTTATGCTTTTCTTTGTCGTTGGACTTTAAAGGTCATCGCACTATTTTTTCCACATTTTCACCTATTTTTTTTTACCTAAGTTATAAATTATTCCATTCATAAAATATGCTCAATTGTATCGAAATTACTTTCATATTTATCCGTCAATTTAGATGCCTATCTCAAAAGGCTTTGAGGTCTCATGATAAACTAGGTTATTTAATAACCTTAATGAGCACAAAAGTTGTTTTTAATTTTGCTTAAATGTCTTTAGCTTGTTTACATATTATAAATAGATATAAGGAACAAAAAGTTTCTCGAAAAAACTTACAAAGTATGTTCTATTTTAGTGATTGAAGCATTCTTGATGATGATCCTCTCTCGTATAATTGTTTCACCGCAAAACATTATAATTAAGAAATTTTAAACTAAATTAAATTTCGAAAAAATATTCTTTTTTGTACAATTTAAGATGATTGGAAGCTGCGTTCAGTAAATTACTCATCATTGCAGATAATTCTTGAGCATTCGAATTCGACACTGTCCTTCCATTTTCCAGGACATGCGTACAATAAAGGACAGAAAAGGACGATAGAAATTTTCTCATTTCTCTCTCTCAAATATTTTTGTTTTGTGTCTTTACGTGAAAATATCAAAATAACATTGAAAGTAACACGCGCAAGCTAAATAATATATCAATGATTCACTTCTTTTTGCGTTTTAGTTTGTCATATCTGCAATCAACAAACAATTTGTAAAAATAATATTGTGTAATATGTTTTTGAGAAATGCCGGTTATGCTCTTTAAGAAAACAAGGAACAGATGATGTTTTCATTACAATTTATTATACAATCCAATGACATTAGCAATTTTGATAGAAATAAAATATTCAATAATGTAAAAGATAGATGCTTAAAAGCTCCTTTTAAGAGCTGAAAACCTACAAAAATAAGCTTTATTAGAATATTCTAATTGAATAAATTCAAGATTATCATGAATAATCTTAGTAATGTAATATGTTTTTGAGAAATGCCGGTTATGCTCTTTAAGAAAACAAGGAACAGATGATGTTTTACAATTTATTATACAATCCAATGACATTAGCAATTTTGATAGAAATAAAATATTCAATAATGTAAAAGATAGATGCTTAAAAGCTCCTTTTAAGAGCTGAAAACCTACAAAAATAAGCTTTATTAGAATATTCTAATTGAATAAATTCAAGATTATCATGAATAATCTACAATGAGATTCATTGGAAAATCTCTGTTTAACAAAGCTTTATGCACAATCTTTTAAAGTTTCATCATGCAGCCTTTTATTTAACGAGGGTATTTTTTTAAACATTTTCTGATAAGATTAAAGGTTTTGTTTTAGTCAACATCCGTTTATATCTGTTTCCTTGGTCAAATTGCCTTGTACAAAACTGATTTTGGATCAAATGCTTGAGAAGAAATGCTTTTGATTTTTTGATAAATTATTATGTAAGAATCAGAGCAATAAGTTGTATATCAATACATTTTATCAAAGTTAAATAATCCAAATTTATTTATACGATGATAATTGAATAAATAACCATAAAATCACATGATTTTCAATTTTCATACACGCTTTCTCAATTTCTTCGATAGAATAGATTTCATAATTGCGATAACAACAAAGGCAAATACCAAATATTTGACAAGTACAGAAGTGTGGATTTTTTTAAAAAATAACAAATAAGCAACATGCTGAAAAACATTTTTCTAAAATTTGTTGCAACACATCAAAAAATATTGAGCAAATATAATCAATTGATAAATAATTATTAAGAACGTTATGTAAATTAACACGAAGATTCTTGTAATAATTTCAAGTCTAAATTCATCATCGTAACCACTTGTTGTGTAAATACATTCATTCGTATGAATGTATGAATGTGTATCGCTTTGGTTACTTTATTTTGTATACAAAAGAATCAATAAGCTTATTTTTCGCGAGCCCTTTTTAAGAAAAACTGCTTGCACTTTGATCGTTTCTATTCGCCCCTTGATTCGACTGCTTTAAAGCTTTGAGCGGCTTTGAGCCACTTTGAGCTTTCAATTAAAATACTCCTTGTAACAAATCCCTAGGATTCAGTGCTGAGAAATATATAGATTTTCAAATCAAGAAAGTTCTGATTTCTTACTCTTTATTTTTTTTTACTTTCCGACACATAATTTTTAAATGATTCCCGATGCATTTGTCTTTGAATAAAAAATTTGTCTGTAGATCATCTTAAACAAACAAAAACCCAAATACAAATTCAGGAAATACTGGGAAATACTTCAAAAATAATTTATCGATTTTTGGTTTTTCGTTCGGCACTTTCAGTTCTATGTAGCATTTAATTCAACCATAAACTTCGGAAAGTCAAAAGACAAACGATTGTGCGTAGATATATATATACATTTAAATATATTTTTTTATTGAATTGTATACAATCATGAAAGGAGCTGTTGAAACATTACAGTACTACTAAGGAATATAAAAATTTCCACATGTTTGTGCTTACCGGGATAGTTAAAAATAATGTATTGTCAGACATGAAACATTGTGTATGTTTATACTCTATTTTTTTCTTCTCTTTTTAGCGCATTTTTGCTATAATATTAAACACTTTGGGTCATTTTTTTTTTTGCTTAATAGTCGATAAACTCATTCACGAAAAGCAGATTACAAAATTTGTTTTCGTGATAAGTAAAATATAACTTTAAAATACAAAAATTCAGAAAAATGATAATAAATGTATACCTTAAAAGTCATATGTCATAAAATATCTCTTTTACTTGTGCATTATTCATACTTTTTTGACGGGCATCCTTATTAGTTCTGTAACATGAAACCATACTCCCTTAGTCATAAATATTAAGAGCATGTTTGTCATACAGCAGTAAAAAAATACAATTGCTATCTATTTTTTTTTCATTTGACTGTCCTTAGCTGCCAGGTGTCAGTGATTCCTATTATTCTCACACAAATAGTCTCTATTTATCATTCAGCATGAATGTACAATGAAATATAAAAAAAAAAAACAATTTATTTCAATGATCTGAGGTACGAATCAACTGATGTTCATTTCGATTTCATTGTGACAAAACACTCTAATTTTTCCTCTAAAATAGTATTAATTCACATGTATATTTTTATACACACAATAATGACTGTTTCCCTCGAAGCTTTAAAAAATCGACGACGATTTAGTAAATTTTCATCTTTCCAACTGTTCGTACATGCTCGAGCTATAGAAAAAATTTAAAAAAGAGAATATTAAGAAATTAATTAAGAAGTTTTTGGAATATCAGAAGTTGTACATTTAATTTGCGCTGCAAAATTGTGAACTCAATTAAAGTTAATTAAGTGAAATCAAGTGGAGCGAGTAAAAGAAAATTTCTTTGCTGTAAGGTTGTGAAAAAATCTGTACCTATTGCCTAAGAAATCTCTGCCAAAAAAATTTAACGTGATATTCTAACTGCTTTTCTTTTATTTCACATACTTAAATTTGCAGCCGGTGTCAGACGAGGAAAATCAAAAAAAAAATTGTTGTTTTCTCTTTCATTAAAACAAAAAAAAATCTCTTTTTACATACAATTTCAGCTGTTTTGTCACCATTCATACAATGGGGAACTTTTTGTATATATACTCAGTATTGTCTATTAATAGAAGTTTCTTGGTTTGAGAGACTTTCGCTATATAAAATTAAAAATCTTACTCTTCTTATTAATAGATATTTTTACAAGACATACATGATAGTAAAAATTCACGTTGTTTATGTATATTTTTAAGTGCCTCCCAGAAGTCTAATTTTTGCTCATTCCTCAATGAGTTTAATGCTCAAATTCTTTATTACTTACGCACACAATTATCAATCCGGAGGAGATATATTATAATAAATTGTAGTAGAGCTGACATACTTTTCATATTATGCTCGCATCTCATTTATCTACATTCTGAATGACGCCGAATGACTTTAAATTCCTAATGTTTTAAAATTAGGAACATCCTTAGTCTAAATTGTATAAAGTTTTTTTGCAAACAAGCTGCCTCGATTTCTTCATCAACTAAAGCAGATCTCATTGTTTTGTACTTCTGTAAAATAAATTTATTATAAGGCATATCCGTAGTTCTGAAGTATGAATAATTAATGATTATCAAAACCATGCGTAAGTCCCACATTTAATCAATTCGAGAATTCAATTTACGTCAATTATCTCTAATGAAATAATTGTCGTGTACTTACTTAAAAATGTCAAAAATAATATTGAGTATAATAGGTGAATTCCGCTAAAATTTATCAGCACATGTTGGAAGACAATACATGCCTCCCGAAAAAAAACTGTAAACATATAAACAAACAAATAAACAGAAAAATTGAACGTAATCAGCTTATTTATAGCAACTCGCACTGAGATATATAGAATATAAAATTTCTGCGTATAGATCATGTGCAAAATTCTCATCTTAAAAAGCGAAAGAAAAACATCAAAAAATTGATTTTCCTCTTATTTTTTTTAAAAAATATTAATATTTTTTTCTGCTTGTAGTGTAACTGATAAGACATAAAAAAGAAAGTGATTGAGTGATAAAAAAAGACACAATTAATTAAAAAAAATAATTATAAAAAAAAACAAGTGAATTTTATCAGCCATGTCATCACCACCAATACATCCAAATTTACAACAACGTCGTGAAAGTTTCGCACGCAGAGCGGAGTCTTTAATCGAGCGAGTAAGATCATTCAATAAGATTATTTATGAGGTATCTTAAAAATCTTCAAATCAGGGTGAGATATTCGCAATCTTAACCATGGTCCTTTCACGATCCTTTAGAGTTGCTGATTGCTTCACAATAGACAAATATGCGTTCATGACCCATTCAATTTTCAGAGTTGTCCATAAGACCATAATTTTTAATGTATTGTATTTAGAATTTTGTAAGGCCTACATAATATTAACATGATCAGAAATGTCTATTGTCCACACACTTTTTGTGGCTTTAATCACAATAACTGCTCTGTTCGACTTAATAATATTAAATAGGTTTAATTTGCACTTACTTTTATAGAGCATGATATTAAGTGTGGGAAAATTTATTGAGGAAAGTTCAATTGTAATTTTTTTTGTTCATCATTTCGTACAGGAAATTCTATAAGATTCATGTCGTTTATATTTTACGTTCCACCAACATTACATACATTGTTTTGAAGAAATTGCAAACACACCGGTAAATTCTCTATTTCATGTTTTGAAAGTTTGCCAAATTGTGTGATGAAATAGGAAATTTTGTTATTTAAAACACAAAAGACATTTATATACTTTAATTTTTTAAGCTAATTACTTATATTGTTGTTGATTTTTCATTTATTTATGAAAATCTTATTTTCAGATCCCAGGTTAGGGTATCTATGTAATCTATGTACTGTAATAATCACAGTTTTGTTTCATTACTTGATTCTCACTTGAATTTTTGTTTCTCTTCTGAGAATAAAGTCGAGACGACTGGTACAGACAGTATCTGTAACAAATTCCCTACATATTGAGAGCAATTTAACCTTGCCAATAATTTAATTATGTGTTTGATTTTTTGTCTGTTTTAATTGAAAAACTATACTTTATTTAAAAAAATTGAGTAATCGAACCTTGAGGAAAAAAACTCGTGCAGGAACTGATTAAAAAAGCTATTATCACACTTTGTTCAACTGTTAAATTAAAAAAATACATGTGCCTTTTTGGTGGTAATTTGAACAGGAATTTAGCACATCAGAAATTATGTTTGTACAGTAATAAACACGATCAAATGCGATGAACGATTCTTTATTATTTTTCACATCGCAAGTAGTCTTAAAATTGAAAGATCACGAGTTGTTTTTAGACGAGAACTGTCCAAACATTATATAATCTAATCAACATACATTTTGAATGATGAGCAAAATATAGAAACTGAGATAATAGAGGTAGAAAGAAAACATTTGAGTATTTATTAAATCCTTTCCCTAAATTTCGGTTAATCCTATTAAGAATTATTATAAAGTATAATAACAAAACGTGCCACTTTACATGTATCATCACATTTCATCTATTTATATTTATTGTGCCTTTGTAAAGCAATTCACTATGAATTTTCCATTGTGACATATGTGAAAGCAAAATTGTTGAGATAAATAAAGTACAACGCATATAATGACAACCAAGTTCATCTGTTGATAAACAGTAACGGCATGCAATTGTAATTTTTTCAGCTTTGTAAAAGAATACAAAAAAATAAATAATTTAAATGGAGCAGTCTAGCTCAGTGCAGTATCATGCTTGACTAGTTAATAGCAATTTGTAAGGCACGTTGTTATATCACTTTATGTCAATTGTTCGCGCGAGACAAACATTATTCTATATTTGTCAAGTAAACAGAGATATGGAGCTACAGAGTCCATTAGAAGCATCATTAAACTATTTATGAGTTTTATAGCATGCCGGCAATTTTTTTCCTACGACATCATCTTTAGCACATAATTATTTCCTTTGAATATTTCCACTCGGACTGTCTACATACCGCAATAATAATTTTAAATTCCTATGTTATCAAATCGCAAAATTAAATTCCTCTTTAGCATTTAATAAAAAAAAAATCATGTAAATATTTGCGAATTTCACTAATCATTTTTTTCCTTAATTTATAGATTATTTATAGAATAAATTCGATTTCTTGACGCAAAGAAAACATAGAAAAAATATATCAAGATATGCTGATTTCGATAAATTAGATAAATTGCTACCTCAGACGCATGCTGAGAATCTCGCAATGTGAAAAACTTTATTTGAGGCCTTGAATAGGAAGCTCTAAGATAAAAACGCTCTAAACTTTTAAATTCATTGTAATCTTTTTTACGTTCTTAACGATTCAAATAACGCACATCATTTAGAATTTATTAAAGTGCGATTTCACTATACATGTAAATTGGCAAAAGCGATGCTGGAAAATAATGAAGATTGATTATAGTCGGATATTTTAATACAGAATTTATTATCATTTCTTCTCTAATTTACATTTATTGTGAAAGGCATTTTATATATGTATGCATAAACTTGCACAGGAAATGTACATTTTTTAATTGGTGTGTACGACAGATCGCTGATAAGGATGATAATTTTACGTAATGTGCAATTTTTCATTTCATATTTATGAGCATATTTTTGAATAATGCACGAGATAGACATAAACGTGGATGTTTAATTTATTAATAAAGTACATATATCATAGACGAGAAAAATGTATCACAAAAGTTCATTAACATTTTTATTTTCTACGGAAGGCTATAGGAGCCTTACATGATGGAAAATGTGAAGAAAAAAAGAGAATGGAAATGTTTTTGTGAAAAATCATCAACACGAGCCATACACATACATTAGTAGCATAACCAACACATTGTAACCCAAATGATGCACGAAATATTTTGTTAGGATGATACAAAAAAGAATTGAAGCTATGCAAACATGCTATTTTCAAAATTTCACTACCTTTCCACATACTGCCATTCTTCTCTTTCATATTTCAATAACATACTACAGATAAATCATCTCAATATAAAGAGAAAACAACATCAACAGAAAGGAAGCCGTTTTATTCTTTCTCGTTGGTAGACGATGTTGAAAATTGTTGTTGTCGTTGTGAGAGAAAATGTTTTTTTTTTTTTTTTGCAAGAGTTTTCCCGAGATTTACATCGCTCTGTACGAAAAAGTTCTCCAGTTGATGAAAAGTTAGTGATCAAAAAAGGTCACCTTTCGTGTTGTAAATTCGCAATTGCATTAAAAAATTGGATAACAATCGGTTGGATGAATTTTAATGAATAATTTTGTTAATTAAAGAAAAAAAAGCCTCTTTAAGCTTAAATGAGAAGTTCAAATAGGCTCAATATTGAAAATAAATTTGTTGCAAAATAAGACTAGTTCCTGCCATACCTTTGCTACCGTTTTATAATATCAATAAATGAAACATTGTGAAGCCATAGTTTTATAGTATAGTAAAATTACTGAAAGTTTTTCCTAATTTTCAATGCTTATTTCTAGTAAAAGAAAATATAATATGGTGACGACGCTACCGAAAAGGGCGCGGATTCTACGTTACTGAATAAGCATTTTTCTTTTCTTTTTTTCACTTTATATTTACTCTCGTCTGTTATGTGTTAAAATTGATACGTAGTAGATTGGATTTCCTTTCAACTTTAATTTTTATTGCAAAAAGGGCTTTTTTTCTTTAAAGTTTTCAAACAAGTTGATCTAATTTAATTTCATCTGTTCATTTATGCAAATTAGTGAGGAGAAAAGTCGTGATAAAGTCAAATACGAAAAATATATGTTTTACGTACTTATAATAGCAAGGAAGAAACATAAGGACATTTAGATTGCTATAAAATAAATAAATAAGGCTCCTATATTGAGTAAAGGAAATACAAAGTAAATTTTTGGTAAGATAGAAAATTGTTGAAGTGTTGAAGTAAGAAAAAAAAATGGAAAAAGATTCAAACAAAGAAGATTCGGCTAAGACTCAATCATCGCATTCGCATCACCATCATCATAAAAAAGATAATGTCAATAATGTGGTGCATGTATGTATTCATCAAAAATTTATAATAACAAATTGGCAATTACCATTTTCGTTCATTTATTTCATTATGATTTTGTCCCGCTCCGTATAATTTTCGCATTTTGTTTTGCTCTACTAAAGCTCGAAAGGCTATGTGACAATCAGTTGTGTAAATTTTTTTTATTAGCAACAAAAATGCGCTACACATTAAGAAATTAATCGAAATGTTTTGGAAACATTTCCACGTTCTTTAAGTTGATTTTTTTTTGCCCAAATATACGCAACTTTATTCTTAATTTTGGAAAGACGTAATATTTTGAAGAGAGCAGATTGCGTTTTATAAATTTCTCTTTTCTCTCTGTTTATCCATGTACATATGTATGTTAGGGCAAACAAGTGAAAAGGAAATGATGTAAAGAAACAAACTCGAATTTTATGTGAAAGGAAGATTCAACACCATTACAGTCTATTGATTTTTCTTTCCTTCTCTGAAGTTTATATTTAATATTCCGCGTGCTTCATGAATTTTTTATATCTTCTGTTTACTATTTTATCTCTCAAAGAACTTTCAACTGTAACGACTATTCAATCAAGTGCGTTTTCATAACACTTCTTTGTTAATTGTTCAAGATGTCAATAATTATTGTAAACATTTCTGAAATTATTCAGCACTCAATATGCTTTTGATGTTATTCTCTTCCATATAATAATTGCGAAATACATTTTAAGTAAAATTTAGAAAAAAAATGAAACAGACTGTTTTTTGTTTATCCTAATAGTTCAACATCATTTAAATTAAATGGCAAAAAATATTGTGGTTTTTAAGAATATTTAAACATTATTTTTCAAAAAAGTTTTGTTTGAAAGGTTTTTTAACCTATGACACAGGACGTAGATAGAAATAGTTGAATGAAAAATTTCATTTCTTCTTAAACTTATATCCACCCAAAAAATTCAACTCCTATCAAAATCCTAGCTAAAATATTACAAGATGTTAATTATAATTTTTCTGAGTATGATAAATATTCGTTACTTTAGGACTGATTCATAAAACATTAAAGTGCGGCTTAAAGCTAAAATATTCAATTTACTCATATTATTCGATAATTAAAAATTATTATTAAATTATTAGCTTTCAAAGCTTTAAAAATGAAACAACATTTTTGATTTTATTTACCTGTTGAAAAAATCATAAAATTTTGAAATGGGTGGGGTTTAACCTAGAATATCAGGTATACAAAAGAAATAGAAGGATTATTGTATTAATTTTGTAGGTCAAAATTTCTATTCTGCATCCAGTGGCTTTATTGTAGAAATTAATTGATAGCATCATACATCCAGATTCGCTGAATCTTATTCAAAATTTTTGTAGCAGTCTTGAATCCTAAATCTACATGAGATTGATTTTCATACTAACTTCCTCTCACTCCATTTCATTCATCTGTTATATCAAATGAAATTTTCATTCGATCATTCATGCGATACATGATCATTTTCATATTTCACTACTGAACGAAGAAGAAATATTAATTTAATAATAAATAAGAAAATGATAGGCTTTGTATAGACTAGTTGTAAAGTATAAACGACAGAAACCAATCAATTCAAGAAAACGTGTTTCCTCTTATACATACTGGTACATGCCGGTAAATAAATTGATTTTAATTGAACTGAATCGTCTTGCGCATAGTTTTTAATTTATTGAGAAGTAATGAATTATGAGATCCAAACAAAATGATACAAAACATTCACACAAAGTCATCAATATCATTTTATTTTATTCATATTTTGAACGCAACAATCCCTGATTAAAACTTTTGTATGAAGTTTTTTTTTTGAAGATATTTTAACAATTTTATTACCTCACTAGTGCTGTCAATAATTCGGCGATTAATAGTCTTTTCGTCGATTATCAAAAATCGAATATTTATTTTGATAATATTAGCTAGTAATAATTTTAATGAATTAGGCTTAGTTGAAGTAATATTCATTATTACTTAAAAAATATATATATATTTATTAATATTAAGTTCGATTTTCGATATTGACATCGCTATAGCTAACAAAGAAGAAAATATTTCTGATAGGACCGTTATGCTAATAAATTGTTCTTTAAATGATTCTTGTCTAATTTTCAATAGAAATATGCTATATCTACCGACAAATCTGGAGAATTAATCATCACAGTTCAGGTAAAAATCTTTTTTGAATATTCATAAAAGAAATTACTAACATTTCTTCGAAACTTTTGCATTTTTCCCATCTTTACAATTACTTACACGCCTTTATTGCTAACAAAAATTTCCATACTTTATAACATTGTGAATATTCAATGTTAATGCAATAGAAAAATCAGGTACGGTATGATGCTGATACTACTAACGTTATTAACATGAATTTAATAAATAAACGATAAATTTAAATATGATATTTTATTTATTAGGGTGATTTAACACAACAAGAAAAACGTGCTGTATTTCTTACTGTTCATGACCTAGGATGCAATCGTAAGAATAAAAGTAATTTTAACTTTTCACCTTAATCTATCAAATTTTTGGTATTTTACTAGATGCGTCATTCCAAGATTTTGTTAATAGTCCGTGTATGACAGAAATTAAAGAGCGCTCATGTTTCATTCACGTTGATGTACCCGGACATGCTGATAATTCTGGTGCACTTTCAGACAAGTAAGTAAATCAAGAATCCAAAAATAAAGAAGAATCAGTATAACGAAAATGCGATTGCATAGTTACATAATTTTTATGCCATTAAGTAAATAGTATATGCTATGCTGACTGCTGAACTTAAGATTTCATCAATTTATTGATTTCTTTCCTTTTTCTTCTGCCAGCTTTGCTTTCCCATCTTTGCAAACATTGGGAGAAGATCTTGTTACCGTATTAGATTACTTGCATGTAAAATATGTAATTGGTTTGGGCGAGGGTGCTGGGTAAGTCTGAGAAATTTTGACATCTCATTTTAAATGTGTTATAAAACTTACATTTCTTTCATGTTAAAGTGCCAATGTTTTAGCACGTTTTGGATTGAAGCATCCATCAAGATGTCTTGGATTAATATTGATCAACTGTACTGGATCTGCAGCCACTGTTTTGGAAACATTTAAAACCAAGTTCATTTCATGGAAAGGTGATGAAGTAGGACAGGGTGCAGAAGACTTCTTGTTATACCATAAATTTGGACATGTAGGTTTTGCTTATAAATTGTCTTAATTTGATTAACTAATTTGATATCTCGAATTGAATGTTAAGTCTGGCAAATTATTTATTTTTAATTATTTAAAAGTGATTTCAATATGTCTGTATGTGATTTAAATGAACTGAGAACATATTAAATTGTCAAGTTTTTCGACAAAAAAATAATATGTTCTGAGTTCCATAGCGTTCAAAATCGTAATGATTAAATTAATTAAGTAACATTTTAAGATCGGATAAAGATTTATAAATTTTTCATTTTCAGTTGTGTTTAAAAATAATCCCTAATTTTTTTTTATTTTTTCTCGTTTTTTCTCCCAATATATGTTTCTCAAAACTTTTTTCTTTGTGTTTCTTCATGCTTTATCCGTAAACCCAAATTTATTAATTTGTAATTAATTAATAAAAAAAAAATTGAAAATGTTTATTGTCAACGTGTATCACATTATTATTGATCATTGTGATTCGTATCGTTGAATGGACCAACTATTTATTTTACACGCATTAATCAATATAATAACAGGCTTTTAACGAGGTATATTTTTTTGATTTTATAAAAATCTATCATTTTCAATTCTATTTCTTTTTTTGTGCAACTCAATTTTTTGTTTTGGAGTTCACTTTCACATTATTTCTGTTTTGATTTTGACAATTAATCTTTTTCATTCTATTCTTTTTACACAATTATGCAAAGAAATTACAAACAACTCATAAAACTCAGAGAAATTGTCGATAAAGCAGTGCAATTTTCTTCTGATTTTATAGCTGTCAAGTAGAAAGCTTCGTTTAAAAATTTTTGTCTCTCATATCAACTTTTGTATTTTACAATTTTTATAGTATTTCACTTTTAGCCATTATTATAACCATTTGCATGTATTCATTGATTAAAAAGCTATAATTATTCTATTACCATGTATCACGAGAAAATTAATCAGCATATCTTTTCATGCAATTAAGATTTATTTTTATCGACAAAATAAAAAAAAAACTAGTATGCAAATTTTTCTATCCAATTTTACCACGTTTTTTATTAAATTAGTTGAGAAATTTCTTCCTTTTAACATTTGGAAATTTTTATAGACTTCACTTAAGAACATTTAATTTTTCAATGCGTGATTAAAATAAATTTTGAGAAATTTTTTTGATTAAAAATGTTTTGTAAATTCCCAAAAACTTTTCTACCTTAACTGTGAAAAATAGTATGTAGCTCTAATTTCGTATGAAAAGATATGATAATTTATCCGAAATCGATTTTAGTTTGTGAATGTACTCATTTTTAAATTCATATTTTGACAATTTTTCCTTCTGATAAATGACTATAAAATAGTTCAAGAAGGTGATTGTTAGCATCATATCTTTTTTATCCACCATATTTTCTAATGACCTGATCAAATTATATTTTCTTCTGGTTTGGTTTTCCTTTCACATATTTCACAATACTCACATTAAAAACTCAACATTAATAAAAAAAATTTAGCAATTGGTTGGAGATAATCCAGACAAGGAAAAGATTGTTCAGGACTTTCAAAGTCGCTTACACAGCACGCTTAATTCCAAAAATGTTAAGCAGTATGTCAAGACTTTTATGACGTAAGTGCAAATATAATAATTAAATTTTAATAAGCACAAAATTTAAACTGATGTTGAAATTTTAAATGCAAACTTAAGTCGAAAGGATTTACCTTTGAAGAACTGCAAAGTTGACATCTTACTTATTACCGGAATGTTATCACCATATTCAACTGTTGTCGAAAAATTGCATAAAGATACTGATAAGGAAAAGGTTACAATGATGAAAATTGAACGCGCTGGAGATGTCCTAGCTGATGCTCCAGCCAAAGTTGCCCAATCAATTTTACTGTTTTGTAAAGGACAAGGATTGTTAACATCTGTCGTCATGCCAGGAGTTGATCGTCAAAGAGCATTTTCCACATCAAGTGGTGGATCAAACGGTGAGCCAAGACGATTATCAAGAGGTAAAGTTGACATTACGGATCACATTTCTAATTGGTCCTTTTTTTATTACATTTTTTTGTTCTCAAACAGGAATGAGTATGGAAGAGTATGACAAACCAAATATTCGTCGATTATCCATTACAGTTAATGACCAATTGCCACCAATCCAATCAAAGAAGTAAAATGGTTCATAAATTAAAAACATTTTCGAAAACAAGACATCTTTTTCCAATATGATACCTAATAATAGTAATAATATATAATAATAATAATAATGATATAAATTTAATAGAAATAATTTTCTTGGGTTTTGTTTAACTAGAAGGCTAAATTCTAAGTTATTAAGTCACAAAACGCGAATTATCATTTATACTAATTAATAACATAAGTTTTCGTTGCAAAGCAATGTTAAATGCACATGGCTTTTTAACTTTAATCAAAGTAAAAAAAAACACACAACGTAAAGTTATCAATATCGAGCAAATAATATATTGAGAAAAATACTCTCCGTGCTTAATTCGGAAGTTATATATATCGTGGAAATTTGAAAAAAAAGAAGTAAATTGATTCAGAAACAGTAAGAAAGTTAAGCAAATCAAAATTTTTAAATCATTAATAATGTTGTTTAAATGAAAATTGAAGTAGAAAATTTTACCTTAGACACAACTTTTAACTCATAATGCATTCGAGAAAATCATATTAAATTTATTACTTTGAAGGAAGGAGAAAAAAAAATACTTTTAAATGAAATATCTTTAGTTTATGAAGTAAGATGTCTTTTTCGTGATATAATGCAAAGATCTAAGGTCGTAATATAACAGTACGAAAAAGTTATGTAGATGAAATTTTTCACAGGATTAGATAAAATTTTTCTAATTAGATTTGACCCAAACTATGATAATTTAATGACTTTCAGTTTATTTTCTCATAATTTAACTATGGTTAACTTTGTATTCTAATTCTTCTTTAAAATCAATCATCGCGAGTGAAAAAAAAGCAGGTAGAAGGTAGAATTATTTTGTGCTATTTGAAGCACTCGTCGTCAAGTTTAAAAAGAAATATTGCAGTATAGTTCAAATCAAGAACATTTATTAAATAATAAATATGTCAAGATGCGAATATTTAAAGCTACTAAAATTTCACATTTATTAGGCCTAAATTATAAAGCTTGGCTAATACTACTAAAGAATTCATCCCAACTTTGGAAGAATCTCTTAAATACTCACAGCTACTTATGGATAGAGCTATAGATTCTAGCTTGCCGTCATTTTCTCCTTTCAGGTAGCTAGAAGCTTATTTAATGGCATCTGTTTTATACTCTGGCTGTTGGAGTGGGATATGATAGAAAAAAAGGTTATTTTTTGAATATATTTTTTTAAAAATTTTGTTACTGCAATCATGTGACTAGATCATAGCAAAATAAAGCATGTTATGCACCAGGTACAAAATGAGTACACGTCAAATGATTGATCTGCTAAAACAATTTATTTAAAATATTGTTCAAAATTGTTTTAGAGGCAAAAAGTCTCTTTAAAAAATCAAAAAAAAAAAAGGCAAAGAATGTTATAACTTTCAAAAAATTATTAATAGATTGTCCGGCTAGAACAAAATATAAAATAAAATATATAAGAGTAAGTTCTACTGCCGCATATTAGCTTCTATTTCTACTTTCTCAGTAGACCGAAACTCAAATAAAAAAAAATTAATAATAATGTTAAACGTAGTGATTTAAAAGTTGTAGTATCGCAAATATATAGTAATGCAAAATTGATACATATACTTTAAAAACGAGAAGGAAAAATATAAAATGTACCTTATACATAAAAGCAAAAATAAAGTATCATCTTATTTACATTATCATGAAGCCGTAAATTTTTCATAATGCAATATCGTAAGTTCAATATGAATGCATAATGTGCAATGAAATGAAATTTCTATGCTCATCTTTACACAAAAAAAAAACCCAAAAAATGTCAAACACTTTGTATGTACGCTAATATATTGCAAATAACATGATTCAGTTATTAAAATATTAAAAATAAAAGAGTTCGGTAGTTAGAAAAGTCACGAAAAGTTTTTTTTTTGATTTATTTTGAAGAATATTGAAGTCCATTTAAGATAGAATATCGAATTAAATCATCCAAATTTGTCGAATCTTCAGTCAATGATTTAGAATTTATAATTTTGTTCATTAGCTGATTTAAAGCAGCTCGTTCATTCGTATTAAATTTCTTTTGACTTTTTGGTTTTTTTTGTGATTCCTTTTGACGGAATTCACATTCAATTTGCTCAGGTTTTGAAAGACTTTTTGAAAGTCTACATTCTAATCGTCGTCGCTTATTCTCAGACATCAGATGTCGAAAACGGACTATTGAAAACTTCAGCAAAGTTCTTTTTGGTGTAGCCAATTCTATTATTCTCTCTTTGTTGACTGAACCCATACTTTTTGGTTCCATCCTTCTTAAAAGCTTTTCAAATTTCGCATGGGTTTGCCAATGAACATCATTAGCATTTAATAATTTAATGCTTTCCAAATAAGTCTCAAGTTTCAATTTGTTTTGTATCATACGTTGAGTATGCGTTAAAATTTTCTCTTGTTTTCCAAAACCTTTTTCTTCCTCATCTTCTTGATTTTCGTCATTAAGCATGAGTATTTCGCAAGTGTTTTGACTATTCAAAATAGATTCAATGTCATCCCTGTATTTTATATCATTTCTCTTTTGCTCTATCCATTTGATGTATGAATTGAAAGAACTTTCAAGATATTTTGTTGATGCTTTCGATGTTGAAATTGGTGAACGAAGATTTTTGGCTTTATAACTCGAAGGAATTGGTTTTCTTTTTTTTTCTTCTTTAAAGCATAATTTGTGGTGGTAGAAAGTTGATCGTACACCCGGTTGAGGTAAGACACTCTAGAAGATTAATTTTATTAAAATGGAATTAAAATTGAAACAACTTCGAAACTCACTTGAAGATATTCAATTGTTTCCCTTTTTTGTTGAATTAATGCATTAAGTCGATTGATTCTTTCTTTAAGCTGTTGATATTTATCAGGTTTATTACTTTTCAAACTACTATCTTCTATTTCATAATTGTCGTCTGATTCGTTTTTAGATTCTCCTTGAGTGTTACTTTTCATCACCTGATTGATGTTTTTTATATCATTTTCAAACTTTTCTAAAACATTTTTATGAACTTGTAAAGATCCTTCTAAATTTCCAATCTTTGGAAAGGCCAACTCATTTGTTCTCTCATCATAATTATAATTTACTATATGACCTGACTCATCAAATATTGGATACACAATTTTCTTTTCTCCTTTATCATTGAAGTTATAACTTTCCGTTTGACAATGTGCTTCGTCTTGTGGTAAAATATCCAAAAGTTTGTGTGTAAACATAATATTACGCTCAATCCGTTGAACTAAGGGCTGTATTCTGCCTTCGACCAAAGTTTCTTGCTCTAGAAAAATATATAGACAATTAAAAATAATTTTTTAAAAAAATAAAGTTTCTCTCACTTTTACGATATCCAGTTCTTTTTTGAATTTTTACTAAATACGATTGATAAGTTTTAAGTGCATCCTCAAGACGTTTTCTTTTTGGTAGGTCAATAGAATGTGTATATTGCATGATCGTTTTATTTTCAGCACTCGGTTCAGAAATAACTTCATGATATAGTGAGGATGTTTTTGCAATTTGCTCAAGTTGTTGTAGATGAATAAGTTTTTTATTAATATTGTCAATGGTGGTATAGATTTGATTTAGCTCTTTATCAGTCCATCTACCTATTTCGTTTGCCTTTTGTATGTAATAATATCTCAATCGCAAGAAAAATGTAATTGTATTAAGGATGTATAAAAGTTGGGGATGAGCAAGTTTGATTGTTGTTTCATCAAAATCAACTTTGAGTATTCGAGAATATGGCTTGTCTCCTGTAGGTATTTGCCAAATATTGATTATTTTCTTCTCACATGATGCAAATCGAAAGCATGGACGAATTTCAGTTGGAAATTTTGCATTTTTCAGCAAGCAACAAATATTTTTTCTATATTCCATCAATTCAGCATATCGATTTAACTTGTAATTGTTTTCCTTATAATAATGGTCACTTGTGATTGCCCTTATCATTTGATTAACTTTCATTAGGGTTTCCTTTAAATCTCTTTGCCGGGGTTTTGACAATTTTTGTAATTTTTCGAGAGTTTCATCTGGAATATCCCCATTAATTGGATCACTTTTATTCATTATTATGAAATCCAGTTCGTTATACATTTTGTGAGACATTAAAAGTTTACGAACTCTATTACGAATGTCCTTCATACGATTGATATATTTGGTATTAACATTAATCATTTTATCTAGACGACTCACTCTTGCATCGAATATTTCAAACGTATTTTTGACATGTCGATATTTTGGAACTGATAGCGGCATAGGAGTATCCATAATTACAAAAATTTAAATGTTACAATAAATTTAAAATAAGACTTTTTACGACAAATTTTCTATTTTAATTGAAATAAATTAACTCAACTGATACTCGGTTTTTAAATTTTTAAAAAATTCGAAACTCGAAGATGATCCAAAGAAAAAGTTGAAGAAGAAAATCAATAAATTATTATTTATTCCATTTCTAAAAGCATGATTACAATTATTTCAATCATATATAAAAAATTTTGATTATCAGTTAATAATATTTTAATCTATACATGCTGCTTCAAACATCTTACACTTAGCAATTCATATTTTGCATCATCGACCATCGAATCTTTTGTTGTCATTTTTAAATATTACTTCTTGTCTTAAAAAATATGGCAAATCTTTATAAATATACAGAGCTAGTTAAACTACAAACACCTTATGCAAAACGAATGCAGTACTTATCAAACCGGATATTTGGAGAAGTTGGTCAGTATTTGATTAAAAGTAAAAAATCAAAAAAAATTATTATCTTGTACATATTTCTGTAGCTAGGCAAACAAATGAAAAATCCATGAAGGTTGTAAAAATGCTGGAAGAGGAACCTTATCATAAACGAGACTATGTTGTCAATTGGTACCCAAGACATGTAGAAACGCATTCATTAATGTGGAATTTAAGAAATTATGGATTATATCGAGATGAACATCAGGATTGGAAGGATGAGATGAAACGATTGCGTTATCTTAGAGGCAAGAGACCACCACAAAAAGGACAGGGAAAGAAGGCATCGACAAAAAAATAAAATGGTCGATTAAAATGTAATAGTTAACTAGAATACAAAATAAATAATAACTTTATTCATTTAACAAATATGAACTAATGTTTTAAGTCATTCAAATAGAAACAAGCCGTATACATGTGTACTAAAAATGTAAAAAAAATCTTTTTAAAAAACACGCTATTATCAAAAACCAAAAAGTTGAAAATAAAATAAGATCACACTTTTAACGAATCAGGATTTTAAAATTTTCTTGTGACATCTAGAAATGTAACATAAATTTTTTTCAAAATATTCTGATTAAGTCCAAGAACACAATGACTCTAAAAGCGTGGGGCTTTAAGATTTGACGCTTCTCTTACTTAAGAACTTAGTTGAACTTAGAAATTCATCCTTAAATTATGTTACATTTCTAGTTGTTACAAGAAAATTTTAAAATCCTGATTCGCTAAAAGTGTGATCCTATTTTATTTTCAACGTTTTGGTTTTTGGTCTTTTTGATAAAAGCTTGTTTTTTAAAAAGTTTTTTTTAACGTTTTTTTATTTGCTACTTTTTGAACATAAATATTTTTATCAACAAACAGTGGGCAAATATACGAGTGGGCTAAAGTATCAGTGGGTAAATATATCAATGGGCAAAAGTACCAGTGGAAAAAAATGTCAGTGGGCATATGTAGAGTGGGCATATGTAGAGTGGGCAAAAGTCATTGGGCAAATGTCGGTAACCCATTAATACAGCATTTATCTTATGCTCAAACTATGTGTGCTAAATGCATATTTGACTTTGGGTTACCGACATTTGCCCACTGGTACTTTTTCCCCAGGGGTTGACACGATTTCATCTTTTCATCATTTTTTTATCTCTCCATACAAAAATTCATCAATATTCATCTTTCTTCATCTTTTTTTCATCTTTCCATACAAAAAATTCATCTTCATCTTTCTTCATCTTTTTTCACCAATTCATACAAAAAATTCATCTTCCTTCATCATTTTCATCTTTAAGAATTTCACGTTTTATTTGGTTTGTGAAGTATATAATTTCATACAAATTACATTTAAAAACCTTTTTTAAAAAAATATTGATGAAAAATCGCTTTTTCACATCCCAAGTAAGGAAATCGAGGCAAAAATGACTTTTCCAAGGGTTTTTTCATCTCATCTAAGAAAATCTAGTCGAAACTAGTGTATCGGGTAGAAACCCAATGCGGATATATTCACACCGTACCATCAAAAGTCTTATGGATAGACCAAGATTTGCTCAGCATAAGTTTGAAGGGTGGGCGTGAAGGACGACCGAGACCCATATCGACACAGTTTAAAAGTTATACCTAATTTATGTCATAATTATGGGAACACTATGAACCAGTATAGCTGATTTTGGTCCAAATCTCGGCCATACTTCACACTTATTTGAACCACATTTTCTCGTAAATGTTAAAATATTATTAAAAAGTGATTAAGCTACGCATTACAAAAAATAATATTGGTATCTGATTTATGTCAGAATGTCAATTCAAATAAAACATCCAAAAAATTTTTTTGACCAAAGAACCAAGGGGCTGTTCACTTATTACGTAACGCGAAAAAATGACTTTTTAGACCCCCCCCCCCCCTCGTAACAAAATTTGTATGAAAAAAAAATTTCCTTGTTTGAACCGTAACAAAATCTTAGACCCCCCTCCCCCCCTAAAAGCGTTACGTAATAAGTGAATGGCCCCCAAGTAGAAATACACTTTTAATTATGAACTTGGGACAGGTCTAGTCAAAATCTCGTTTTTCACTTTTTTCCCTTCGAGGATAAATCCAAATACAGTAAAACTTTGTATGAGCATTCTAATCCTCAGGTCACACATTTCTAAAAAAAAATTTAAGTCACGTTGTTTTTGAATGTAAAACCAAATTTATAAAATTTGGGTCTGACGACATATAGAATACATTTCTTGCTTTAGATATTTAAAACTGTTTTGTATAAATATTAGTATACTCACACAAAGTTTCACTGTAATTGGATAAACCTTCGAAGAAAAAAGTTAAAAACTAGATTTTGACTAGGGTCGCCTCTAGTCCAAAATTGAAAATGTATTTCCTTCTTGGTTCTTTGCTCAAAAAAATTTTAGGATGCTTTATTTGTATTTGTTTTAAGCACTAGAATATTTATGAAAAGTTTCAATCCATTAGTATGAACCCTCGAAGAAAAAAGTGACAAAATTGATTTTGACTAGGGTCGCCCCTAGTCCAAAATTGAAAATGTATTTCCTTCTTGGTTCTTTGCTCAAAAAACTTTAAGGATGTTTTATTTGTATTTGTTTTAATCACTAGAATATTTATGCAAAGTTTCAATCCATTTGGATAAACCCTCGAAGAAAAAAGTGACTAAATTGATTTTGACTAGGGTCGCCCCTAGTCCAATATTGAAAATGTATTTCCTACTTGGTTCTTTGCTCAAAAAATTTTTAGAATGTCTTATTTGTATTTATTTTAAGCATTAGAATATTTATGCAAAGTTTCAATCCATTTGGAAAAACCCTCGAAGAAAAAAGTGACTAAATTGATTTTGACTAGGGTCGCCCCTAGTCCAAAATTGAAAATGTATTTCCTACTTGGTTCTTTGCTCAAAAAAATTTTAGAATGTTTTATTTGTATTTATTTTAAGCATTAGAATATTTATGCAAAGTTTCAATCCATTTGGAAAAACCCTCGAAGAAAATAGTGACAAAATTGATTTTGACTAGGGTCGCCCCTAGTAGGGTTTTGGGAATCTACTATGGGGCAAAATTGAAAAAAGAGGGACTTTCACATTGATTTTGGGACTTTTTCGAATTACATTCTCAAGTGAATTTTTTCTTGTAGAGGACATAAAACCTGACTTCTATGCCAAATTTCAAGTCATTTGGTGCTGTTCCTGCAATTTTATGGCTGTTTGAAGTCGGAAAATAGCAAAAAAACAGATTTTTTCAGTCCAACTTTGAAGTCAAAACTCTCTGCAACGGTTAATTAAAATAAAAAACGGGTTTCAGTTTCTAGTAGTCCTATATAAGAACTATATTTGGTGAAGTACATAATTTTTTTCGATAAAATTTTTTTTACTCATATGCTAGTAAATGTATGAAAATCCTATGAAAAATATCTTCAAACACGCCGCAACTATCTTAGATGACGACTACTTAAGGGGTAAAACCATATCATCATAAAGCTCTTGACTTCTGGTTTTCAAAACTGTATGAATTTTAAAATTTTATTGGTACACTTTTGAGATAAATTGATTTTAATAAGCCGTTGAATATTTGATCAAAATCAAAAATATCTCATAAAAATTACAAAACAATAATTACAAATATTTTTTTAATGTTTTCTAATAGAAAATAACATTTAAAAACAGCATGCGAAGAATTTTTTTCAAAAAGTTTAAAATATGTCGATATATTGGGTACATTTGATATCTGACGACTTTTATGGTTTTCCCACCACTTAAAACGCTCCAGCTTTAAGAAAACAAAATATTTTTAAAATCTGTTTTCAGTTTGTTATAGTTCAAATCAAGATCTTTAAAACGATATAAAATACTTGATGGTTGGGTATGATCTTAGTCATGATTATGTGCCTTGTTTGTGAGCGACCCAAAACTGAAAAAAATATCAAAACGTCATTTGTAAAAATATGACTTAGATGCAAATTTAAGTATTGATTTATACTTTTTTATGATGATTTTTGATAGTTATGACTATTAAAACTCAAAAATTAGCATTTCATAAACTTTTTGCTATCTCAGGTAGCTTTTAAGGTACGACCCTAGTAGTCTCTATTGGCTCTGAAAATCTAAATGATCAGATTATTTTTCAGAGTTTTATTGATTGATATTTCATTTTAGAACATATTTGAATCAAAATACATTACTTTTAGATAGATTTGATGGGTAAATTCTTGGTTTTGCCCCGTTTTGCCTATTTCATTGAATTTCATCTTGCGTCGGTCACATTCAAACCACTCCAGGAGCAACTTTAATGAACTTTTGATGAATTGATATACATCATTACAAAGGTATTGACATCAGCTAGCAATAAAAGTAAACAGGAAGCAAAAATATTGATTCTGAAAAAAGTTCTAGTCATTTGAGTAGATCAAAAAGTACACAAAACCGCAACCAGCATAGGCAAAACTACAAAAGTTGTAAATTTCTTACTTATCTTGCCAAGTTTTAACTATTTTGTGATAAGAATATCATTTAAAACTTCTTTAAATCCTTTGTTGTCAAAATAAGTAAGAAATTTACAACTTTTGTATTTTTGCCTATGCTGGTTGAGGTTCTGTATGCATTTCGATCCACTCAAATGACTATAACTTTTTTCAGAATCAATATTTTTGCATCCTGTTTACTTTTATTGCTAGCTGATGTCAATACCTTTGTAATGATGTATATCAATTCATCAAAAGTTCATTAAAGTTGCTCCTGGAGTGGTTTGAATGTGACCGACGCAAGATGAAATTCAATGAAATAGGCAAAACGGGGCAAAACCAAGAATTTACCCATCAAATCTATCTAAAAGTAATGTATTTTGACTCAAATATGTTCCAATATGAATTATCAATCAAAACAACTCTAAAAAATAATCTGATCATTTAGATTTTCAGAGCCAATAGAGACTACTAGGGTCGTACCTTAAAAGCTACCTGAGATAGCAAAAAGTTTATGAAATGCTAATTTTTGAGTTTTAATAGTCATAACTATCAAAAATCATCATAAAAAAGTATAAATCAATACTTAAATTTGCATCTAAGTCATATTTCTACAAATGACGTTTTGATATTTTTTTCAGTTTTGGGTCGCTCACAAACAAGGCACATAATCATGACTAAGATCATACCCAACCATCAAGTATTTTATATCGTTTTAAAGATCTTGATTTGAACTATAACAAACTGAAAACAGATTTTAAAAATATTTTGTTTTCTTAAAGCTGGAGCGTTTTAAGTGGTGGGAAAACCATAAAAGTCGTCAGATATCAAATGTACCCAATATATCGACATATTTTAAACTTTTTGAAAAAAATTCTTTGCATGCTGTTTTTAAATGTTATTTTCTATTAGAAA